TGGAATGTCAGTAATGAGGTGTATGCGTCTGCGTGTAAGCGTGCGCGCGTGTGTGGTGGTGGTGGTGGTGGTGGTTGTAGGGGCGGGGATTCGAAATGGGGGTTGGCTGCGGTGCGCAGCTATAAAATGGCCCTCTTTTCCTCTTCTCTTCTTCACGCTCCTCTCACCTCTTTTTTTTTGTAAGTTGCTCTTTCTCACTTGATTTTCAGACGTGTCTTTCATTCACTTTATGCCTTTAGCTCATAGGAACAAGGACAAGATATGACAAGGCTTCTACGACGTAATGGCGCCTGTTTGTTAGGCAATGATGACAAAAACACTGCTACCGCTGATAGCCATCATGAATGAATATTCGTCCTCGTCTGAGCCGTTACATAACAACTTGAGCCTCTACAAGAAACGTCTACAAGGACATGGCTATTACTTTAGACTAGTATATATGTATTGTGTATTGTTGTTTATCAAAGTAGTAACACGTTGAGTATTCTATAAAGGCTATAAAGACGTCTTCCACTTCTTATTGTTTTCCTTGTGATCTTCACTTTCTTTGTCTTTAACTTGCGTACACGTGTGGAACGTTCCAATGATCGCGTTCTAACTTGCGATCGGGATTCGTTGCATTGGCAGCGATCGGTTTACTTTTGGAATTGCTACACTAGATCTCGTTTGAAATCGTCTACAGAGACTACCTCAATGGAAGAGGCACATGCGTTAAGTGATTCGCAACAAACGTAAAGCTGAGGTGTGCCCGGTTATCAACAAGGTGTTCCACTCGACGTCCACAAAGCACAAGTCGTTCTCGTATTCACCTCTCTCCAGTCGTGGACACTGGTGGTATACCCTACAAAGGAAATTATGGGTCTTCAGCGTTGCAACTTGATCGGTGAAAGTAGTTCTTTACGATAATAATAAAACGTATCGTGTATTATCAATAGCTATGGTTGTGAAGAAGGAATAAAGTATGAAGTTTCAGGAACGACATCATTGTTGGCATGGATACCAATGACGGCTGTATCTCAGCAACAATAGCCCCGATTTATATGAAATCAAATGCCCTATGTTATCCTCGTATTGATTGAAAGAATTACAAGACAATGGATCGGGGTCGTGCTGCATAATGAAAACGAGGATTGATGGTGGATGTCAAATGTAAACGGATCGCGGAGATGAAAATTGGACGTGCACAGACCATTCCCCCCACACGGACGTTGCTGCATGTTTGACATGCTTAAGTTGCACGACCAAGCTATGATGGATTTGATTATCGTTCGAACAACATGCTTGATGTTTAGAAGGCTGGCATTCTAGCTTGTGATTTTAACATCTGTTTCAATCAACAACCACAATGGTGATGGCGATGGTGTGCTCAACGGCTGCCTTGGATGGATGGAATATCACTCCTTGTGAATCACTTTCTGTGCAACGTGCTTATTCTTCATCACTACTATTAAGTATATAAGGCTATTGCATGTGGACTATAAGACCGAGGTATATGGAGGATGGTGCAATGATGAGTGATTTATGCCTCATCGCACTTTTTAAGTTACGCCTTATCGCCAGCTTAAGGAGAGGCTAGTATAAAGTATGTGTCATTCATTCAACCACCACACATACATACACATGCCAAATGTATCTATTTTTAGCAGTAAACATTGATAATACCAATCAAAGTATGAAGGGAATATGAATGCAAATCCCCTCACCATATCATTGTGATACACCCACACATGGATGTGCCGGACAAAAAGTTTGGAGCATCATCAATCATCCACCAATAATGACAAGTCATGCGAGAATTTCAATGGCGAGTAGCCAGGCTTCATCATTTTATTACAACAATGACACTAGCGTTGCCTATGCAGCTTTCTGTTTTGGGATGATGGCATGGTCTTATTGTTAAACGAGATAAAGATGATTCATTGTTTCCTTATGCTATGTAATAAATAGTGATAGAGTTGATGGCTAGCGATATCCTCTGGGATGGGAGGTGACATTTGTTGTGTGTCCGAAGGAAACTCATTGATGGTCTTGGTGTGCATTTACCAGTCATAGGGAAAAAGTCATCTTGGATCCAGAATTTCTTCACAACATACAGCGGCTAGAGACTGGCATCGTTTGATAGGAGAGGCTGATGGATCATGGATAGGCAGGTTGAACAGCATGATTGACAACAAATGGTTGGCTGTGTGTGCAAGTCACCTGACATTGAGTACGAAGAAGGGTGGCTTTTCCATTTCAAGAACCACTTATCTCTTTCACATATCCGACACTTACCACTCACCCACACATAATACACTTCACATTATGCCCAAGAGAAAGCACGAGGAAATCGTCGAGAACGACAGCGCACACAGCGATTCTGACAATGACAAGTTTGATTTCGAAGACGAGGTTGCCTTTGACGATTCAGAAGAGGAAAGTGGAGAGGAATCCCAAGGTGACAGTGGATCCGAGCTAGACGACGACGATGAGTTTGATGACGATGAGATCACAGGTAAAGGATAGCTTCGGGTAGTTTTGATGCTACCAGGAAGGGTTGTGCGATATGCTGATCCTTGTGGATGATAGAGAGCAAACCGAACAAAGCAAAGAAGCAAAGCAAAGAAGCATTTTCAGATGCAATGACCAAGATTCTTGCAAGTCAATTGAAGGGAACGGATAAAAAGGTAGGTCAAAGTGAATGGGTATCATGGATAGGGATCTTGTATTCATCATGTTGCATAGCAACCCATCATGGCACGGTCCAAAGGCACTGAACGCAAGATCGAGGAGGAAAAGTTGGAATACAAGGCACGCAAAGTGTTGGCTGCTGAAAAGAAGGCGCTCAAGGAAAAGGGTCATGTGATTCCAGATTATACAACATTCGAATACGAAAAGCGGTTACGAAAGGTGGCCACTCGTGGTGGTATGTGTATTGATGAGATGGCAGGAATGGCAAAGGTGATTGACATGGCAACCATTAGTGGTCAAGTTATTCAATGCAGTACGTATCCAACAAAAGACAACCGAGCACGCTGTATCAGAGGTACAAGAATATCGCAAGGCATCATCAGCTTTGGAAAAGGCAAAGAATGGTAAGACATTGGCAAATAGCGAAGCAAATGAGATGATATTAACGGGATGCTTGTTTTGATAGTGTCTACGATGTCCAAATCCAACTTTTTAGATTTATTGAAGAGTGGCAATTCATAAAAAGCATTCATGTATACTATCGCGCATTTGATACCGAATCTTTATCATCGTCTTTTGTTGTTGTTGATCTTGTTATTGGGGATGGGGAATGCATAAGAAGCGTCTTTCATATTCATGCAGTAAGCATAGGTCGCACTGCGGAGATTGCATACGAAGAACGCGTCAGTGTCGATGTAGCCGACGTTCACTTGTTCCTTTTCACTCTCGCTACTGCTCATGTTTACCAGCCGATTTCGACCCACCGCCTCCATCTTTTGTCACGCAAGACAATGGACTCAACCCAAGAGACAATTCATGCATGCACAAGCCTTGATTCCCTTTGTTGTCGAGCAAACGGTAAAAAAGAGTCATGGGCATACGAGGGCACTTGACTCATTTCATATTGTTGGATAACAGGGACGTGGTGAAAGGTCATATGACATTTTCTCAAGATTGTTGAAAGAGCGTATCATTTGTTTGAATGGTCAGGTAGGATGATGGATGAAGGGAAGGGGACAGCACGTTCCAGGCAACTAACATTGCGTTTATCCGTACATGGATGCAGGTGGATGATAATGTTGCAGCAGTGATCGTGGCACAGCTCCTTTTCCTAGAGGCCGAGAACCCCGAGAAGCCCATTAGTCTCTACATCAATTCACCTGGTGGTAGTGTCACCGCTGGTATGGCCATTTATGATACAGTAAGTGTGTTACTACTACTACTATTATTGCTACTTTGGATCTCCATCTTTAATGCAAAAGCTAACTCTAATTTACAGATGCAGGTATAACATTTTAGGGAGAGGATTGATGAGATGCAAATGCCGGCATGATTCTAGAAAAGCTAAAACAAACTTGCAGTATATTCGGTCGCCTGTATCCACTTTGTGCAACGGTCAAGCATGCTCGATGGGATCCTTATTGCTAGCAGCAGGTATGTTGTATATACCAATCCGGGTGTTTTTGAAAGGGTTGGTGGTCATGGAATCGGAATGATACGAACCAAACCTTGCTTTTCGAAAATAGGTGAACCGGGCAAACGTTATGCATTGCCGAATTCGTCTATCATGATCCACCAACCTTCAGGGGGCGCTGCTGGTCAAGCATCCGATATTGCCATCCATGCACGTGAAATCTTGCGTGTTCGTGAACGTCTCAATAGGATATTCCAAAAGCATACGGGCATACGTGATCTTGAAGCAATTGGTAAGTGTGTGTATGTGGGTGGGTGGGTTGAAAATGAGTATACTGAATGTATTGACCCGTGCGTTCCTTTTTTTTTCCCCGCCATGGGTGTACAGAAAAAATGATGGAACGCGACTATTTCATGACGGCGGAGGAAGCAATGAATTTTGGTTTGGTGGATAAGGTTCTTGAGAAACGAACAGAGGACACAACGAAAAAGGATTGAGAATAAAGGACGTTTCACACGATCGACGTAGATTTTATATATTGTTATTAATGGTTAATAGAGCGGGTTATAGGTATCATGGAGGGGGTAAATTGGTGGCATATACAATTTTTTGAGCATAGCAAATAACAGGCACCTGCTTTTTTCGTTTCTGGCTTTTTTTTGGTAAAAGATGTCTTGATGAGGAGGTATGTGTTGTGGTAAGCGTGAGGAGAGTCTATAATGCGTGGCTTGTTTCTTTAGAGAGCGAGAAAGAGATAAAAGATTAAATGTAGCATGCAATTTGCTTAACGAGCAACTAATAAAGACCCAAAGGTTAATCATCATTGTACATACATTTGCTTCTTGTGAAGATGACTTACAAGTCGTGCGGCTGCAATCAGGACACCAGCTAGTTTCAAAGTATCGGCGATGAACCAAGCAATAGCTTCTTCCACGGCCGTTGCAGACATGGGTAGTAGTAGATTCTGCACCAGTAGCTTGGGTCTTGGTATTGACAAAAGTGGCTGCAGCGTGATTCATTGTTATGTGGAGTAAGAAAAAAAAAGGAGAAAGAGATGATTGGGGAGAAAGCGGTGGTTTGTCTTGAAAGACGATCTATTTATTCGGTACAGCCGACACACACACCATCGATCGAAATGAGTACAAAAAAAAGGGAGGAGCAAAAGAGCAGAAGACTGTACTAGGTTGCACAATGATCATGATTCGAGGTGCGACATGAGCAGGGATCACAACAGCGTTTTTGGCGGGAACGATGGAATGTGCACCTTGGCTCGGGCTTGCTCGAGACATGGCCCCGTGATCATCTCACGGTGCAACAGTGCTGTTGCACACCTCCAAAGATAACTCACGATAAACATATTCAGTTTGGTTTGTGCTTCCTTTTTTTCTTTGGTCCACAAGGCATGTATGTGTGTGTGTTCTCGATCCAAAAATTGCTGCTCTCATTGTCAGGTCCGTATACCCGGATGGCGGCTATTTTGCATAATGAGCGCATTGGTGAGTGTGTGTGTATGTATGTATGTGTGTGCCATAGATTAGCATGGATACTGCATCTTGGTAAGCAATCGGATGTATGCAATCAGCTCACGTGGCCCCACTGATGGCTGCTTGATAGTGTCCATTATTGTTGGTATGCCATACTTGGGTCATCCAGCGCATCAACATTCACCCTTTGACACTCACATCCTTATCCCATGTACCTCATTCCATGGAATTTAGCATCATTGTATCTTGTGTTATGCGAACTTTTGTATCGATGACGACGGTATGTGTATATGATGTATGCTATGACGACAAGCAATGACATACTACCACCCAATGCAGAAAGTGCGTTACCTTTTTGCTCGGTATCGATGTAGATCTTTTTTTCTCATTACTGCAACGAACACACACGTGGACATAATCTTCCAAGAAACTCAAAGAATTGAAGGGTTCCAAAATTTCTTTTCATAAATTTTTATTGACATTGGTGGTGATAAGCTTGTCCCTATCATCATAAAGGGAAATAACCTTTTTAGCTGATAACACTATCAGGTACGAGGATTAATTATAGCACTGGGAGGGAGCAATCGCGGCGGCAATTAATAATATAGCTTCCTTTGCTCACTTTCTGATAGCAAATAGAGGGTGCGAGGCATATCGGTCATCAACATGTACCTCCTAATGTGTGCATATACCTTTGCATAAGCCGCATGGGGTACCGGGTATTCTTTTTTTGAAAAGGAAAGTGCAACCACGATCGGGATCTATCGTACGCTACACTTTTACGCATTAGCTGCATGAATGAAAAAGTTCAAGTGAACGTGCATACACACATGGAGCAACAACCCATGATAATGAGAAGGCACGAAAAAAACCCAAGCTGTTGTGTGTTGTGTCCCCAACTCTTGTACAGTGTTCATGTGAGTGGATGAGCTTATTTCTTTGGTGCATAACCACGAGAGCTGTTCCACAACAGTGATTAGTTGATCGCGTCTTGCAGTCATCGGGTCAATTTCCTCTTTCTGGGGGGGCCCTTGCCCCTTTTTCTCATGGTTGCAAACTATCTCCCATGATCATTGAGACTTTGCACACACCCACACACATTGGCTAATCTTACAAATTCTCAGCAGCAGGAGATGACGGGATGGTATTGTTATAGAGGGAATGCATGTAATACATGGTCGTGGTGTACATACGGGTGTTTCTGGAAAAGGTATCGATCGCCTGCTGAGCGGGGAACAAGTGTTTGTGTCTGTGTGTGCAAGTACCATTTACGTAAACAGCACCTTTTTCATTGCTCATGGCACATGCAAAACATTTCAATGTGCATTGTACTGCTTACAACACTACACACACGCACACACACCCTCTTTATTCTTGTATACTTGCCTATTTGTTGCATCGTTCTCGTCCTACTATGGGTGGTCGGTTACACGAAAGCACGGGCTAAATCATAGAACCATGCTATTTCTAGGGTTACCGTTGCTTCGGGCAACCAAACAACAGCAGCACTACTACAACAATCCATATCACAACAAGCAGCCATCCACTGCTATCTCATTAACAATGCAGCCTGGGGCTAGACCCAAATGCGTCATCACTGCTTCTCTTGACATCATTCTCCACATTCTTCTTATCGGCTGCAGCATAATCCACATGGTCATTACAACAATTCTAATACTACTAATACGATCCACATTTTCTCATCGTCACCATATGATGCTATTAAGGATCGCCTTTACACGTGGAAAACCTTATTGCGTGGGGAAGAGGTGTGAAAAAAGACATGATTCTTGGATGAGGCTCGGTGTCGCTTTGTTATTTCCGGTTTTCTTTGTTCTATGTAGCAAGATTATTGCTGTGTGTTCTTTGTGCAACAGTGCACGTTCCTTTTCGTTTCCGTGAGATGCATTCCCAATCAAGAGAATCTTGCATAAACACATCAATGACTGTGTTCACGTAATACATCCAATCTACCCGATTCTTGCTCGCTGTAATCACATGGGGGGAGGGTACATGTGCTGTTGGATAGTGAATTGCACGTGTAGCAGCTCGTTGTTGCTATAGATGCATCTACTGCTGGTTGAGGGCTGCTATCTATACCACATCCAGCAATGGGTTATTCATCCATACATGTCCTTGGCGTGTTGCAGCATAATAATAAGGTAGTAAGATTGGGACAGCGCTGATCGATGATATCCTCGTCTTTAGTACTACCTGAGATGATCATCACAGCCGGTATATTGAAAAGCCTATATTGAATGCTACGTAGGTTTGCTGGTGTATATCATATTTTCATAGTATTCGCAGCACATCAACTTTTTGTATATCTCAAACTCAAGTTTGCTTCCCTTAACAATGATTCATTTATTGATGCACAATGAGACATCGATTCTTACTACTATATTAAGCTGCTTGTTGACAAGGGGTAAAAGAATGCGACATGATTCTTGGTGATAATGAGGCTACTTTTTGTGCATAGCATCTCAAGATAGAACCATCACAGCAGTACCATTTGATTTTGAGTGGGGGATGTGTGTGTGTGTGTGATATGGAACGATACACCTTCTTGTTGTGGCGGGTGTATTGGCTGACAACGAAAAAGTTCTCTGCATTTTTGTGTCGGTCCTCTTCCTCTCGCTTGCAAGCGTCTTTTTTTGACATACACTACCCAACATGATCTCGGCCATTCAGTGGATCCGCAAAGGTGTTGCTGCCGAACAGCCTGAAAAGTACAAGCTCGACGAATCAGAACTCGAAAAGATTGGCAAAATCGCTGCCGATCGTCTTGGTGAAGCTAAGGTCGACCTTGCCAATGCTCAAAAGGGAGGCGATATGGACATTGATAGCGACGACAGTGAAAATGAAGAGTAAGTTGATCACGGCGTGAATGGTCGTATGGTAAAAGAGGCTCATTGTATTCGTGTAGTGCTGTTCACGAGAAGGATAACGACATGCGAGAATATGATTTGGAAACAGAGGATATCGCTGAAGCTGAAGCAGGTGCGTTATATGCAAAAGGCGATGGGATGTAGGTGAAGGAGGATATTAACATGGATCATCATTGTCATTAGAGCCTGGCAAATTCATGAATAGAAAGGATCTCGCATACTATCAGAATGAGGAGGATGATCCTTATATCACACTCAAGAACGAAGACGATGAAGCTGAGGAAATGGAGGAGATGCGTGTCCTTCCAACCGACAACATGATGTTGGCCGTCAAGACCGAGGATGATGTTTCGCAATTGGAAGTCTATGTCTATGAACGTGAGGAGAACAACTTGTATGTGCACCACGATGTCATGTTGCCATCATTCCCATTGTGCCTCGAGTGGCTCGATTTCCATACCGGTGACAAGGCTGGTCAAGAAGGCAGTGGCAACTACGTGGCTGTTGGTACCTTTGAACCTGATATTGAGATTTGGAATGTGGATATGGTGGATGCTATGTTGCCCCAGGCCATCTTGGGTAGCTCCAATCCTGCTACTGCTGGTGCAAAGCCCAAAAAGAAAAAGTCCAAAAAGGCCAATAGCAATTATCACGTCGATGCTGTTATGGATCTCTCATGGAATAAGCAACACAGGTAAGAATTTCAATTGAGAAGGAGGGGGAGTAGAATGTATAAGCTGACAACATGCATAGAAACTTTTTGCTTTCATCCTCTGCAGACACCACTGTCAAGCTTTGGGATTTGAACAACGCGACATGTGTACAATCATACAGCCATCACAATGACAAGGTTCAAGCCGTCGCATGGAATCCTGTCGAGGCAACTGCATTTGTGTCGGGTGGTTACGACAAGTCAATTTGTGTTTTGGATGCACGATCTCCCGATAACGTGACCCGTTGGACGATTGAGAGTGATGTCGAATCGATTGTTTGGGATCCTCACAACCCCACCAATTTTTATCTTGCCATGGAGAATGGTATGGTGCAGTACTATGATGTTCGTGTGGTTGCCAATGGTGCAGGTGGCAAAGCTATCTTTACCCTCCAAGCTCATGATGGTGCTGTGAGCGCACTTGATGTCAATCCCGTGGTGCCCAATTGTATTGCTACTGGTAGCACAGACAAGCTTGTCAAGGTGTGGAACACGACCGATAATCGACCTAGCATGGTATCTAGCAGAAACTTTGAATTGGTAAGTTATTGTGTGGATATGCAAATGGGTAGGATGGCGGCTTACAGGGATTCTTTTATGATAGGGTCACGTTTTCAGTGCCAAGTTTTGTCCTGATGAAGCCATGGAGCTTGCTATCTCTGGATCGGAAGGCAAGATCCACATTTGGGATATGAAATCGAATGCTGGTGTGCGACAAGCATACAACATTTCCGCCTAGACGCTCATCTTTCACAATACCGCTTTCTCATCCGCATCCCTATTGAACAACTCTCATAGCACATTGTTTTTATATTCATAATCTTGTTTCAATACACGTTCATATAGACGTGATTTGTCTAAAGGCATTACATACTCTTATTCAATCAGCAGTAATCAATCATGTTTGTTGTTTATGAAAGAAAATGATGTGTGCAGTAAAAAAGTGCGGGATCCAAGGGAATACATGACACGTTCTACTAATCCATATGCCTTAAGGAAAAGAATTGCTTGAGTATCTTTATGAACCTCGTGATCTATATAACATTGTAGCGCATTAAGAAAAAGAAGAAGAAGAAGATGATGGATGATATAATTATCCCTCCTTCTTATGTTTGTTGTATCGATATAAATAACAAAGTTCTTGATCTCGAGCACAATGTTTGATTGAATGGATAAAACAACCAACTGTCAAACCACCATCCTTGATTATGGTGGTGCGTTCATTATGCAGTGATGATGTATGCAAAGATAGTTCATGTATATACCCCGCATAGGAGATCATTAGAAAAAAATGCATCATTGATGATCTTGCTCACATGCAGAAGTGTAGAATGATAGGTAGTGGTGATGCGTAGCTTTCAAAACTTTCATGTGGATGATGGTAAATGTGATTATGTGATGCTTAGTCGGCATCTCGAGATTTGATTGGTGACGTGGTTTGTTATTGGATGGTGTGTAAGCAGAGGAGAGCGCGCGCGCTTTATATGTGAGAGAGGGTCGTGGGCGATACTCTTTATTGCTTTATTGTATATTTCCCGAATGGCTACATTTGAAAAGGGTGTCAAGGAATCTGCTGCCAAGCTCGATGGCTCTGGTCTTCGCATTGCCATTGTTCACACGCGATGGAACTATGCTCTCGTCGACCAAATGTACAAGGTTGTATACGACACGTTGATCAAAAAACACGGTGTTTTGCCTGAGAACATTTACACGGTATGTCTTTTTCTTTCAAACATGGGACGTTGACGCGATGGATCATTGTTTTTTTTCTCACTATGATGTGTGTTAATATGTATCCAGGACACTGTGTCGGGTTCATATGAACTTCCAATGGCTGCCAAGCAATTGATTGATTTGTCACGATCCCAAGCATCCGCTACTGCCAGTGATCTTTTGGGTTCTCCCGCACTTAGCAAGAAGGAAGGCTCAGCCAGCAGCAGTGGTGAGAAGAAGACAGGTGCCTTTGATGCAGTGATTTGCCTTGGTATTGTCATTAAGGGTGGCACGGCCCACTTTGAGTACATTTGTGATGCTGTGACACATGGCATTATGCGTGTGCAGTTGGATACTGGTGTCCCCGTTATCTTTGGTGTCTTGACCTGCTACAATGACGAACAAGCTATCGCTCGTGCAAGTACCGAGGAAGGTTTCCATCATTCTGAAGAATGGGCTGCTGCTGCCGTTGAATCCGCCCTACGAAACTACCGCAAGTTGTAAAGGTTTTTGATAGATGAACTCCCTCTCTCTTTCTTTCTCTATCTCTCTTTTTTTGTGTATGTGTGTGTATGTGAGATGTAAACACGTGTAACCATCCTTGAATCATTCTATGTTTTATCTATAAACAACGCCCTCTTCTTTCTTCCTCCCCCCGATGTGATCGTTTATATACATGCGATGTTACATGTGAATCTTGGAATATAGAAGGGATAAGGTTTATGTTTGGTGTTGGCAAGTATTGGGAAACAAGCAAATACTAGGGCTAGTTACACTACATGATGGCACATACGCATGGATTTAGTGGCACAAGTTATATACCTCGAGCCACTTGGGTGGATGTGACAGGTATGCAATCCATAAACTTAAAGAGAGATCAGGGACCAAAATGGGTTGCTATGGAGATAAAATGCATATAGTATCCATGATACGTATCCAGGGAGGAAAAGGGAGGAGGAGGAGACTATATAATAATACGTAAGAGGATGAAGATGAAAAACCAACGAATAAGAAGAGAGCAAAAGATTCCTCAGGTACACTGCAATAGGTAGGTGACACCATGACGTGGTGATACGAGTTCGGAACATGCACGGGTGTCACCTTGCCTTCTCTTTTACCACCACATCATCATCAAAACCCAGTTAACTTTTTTATCCTCCAAACCTGCGCCTCCCCCTCCCTCTTTTTCAGAACCCAGTAACCGATACCCTAACAAGATATTCACTTGGTAAGCCACTTGTATTCCCTTTCGCGTTCTTACTCCTACTCAACTTCTTCACCCCCACCACTCGAAAGATTTTATGTCCGTTTACAACCATCGTCCCATGATGCCTGCGGTTCAGAGCCGCATTGTCGAAATGCTGGATGCCATCCGCGTGGAATTCGATCAACTTGCTCAAGAAGCTTACGTGTGTAAAAGTCAACGAGATGACTTTGAGCTTAAAAGTAAAAGTCGTTTATTCGCGTTGTCAACTCTATATTGATTATCTTCTCTTCTCTAGTGAACGCGCAGGTGCAAGAGATGAATCATTTTCAAAAGAGTCTGCTTGAACTAGAAAGATCACAAAAAAGCCTGAAAGAACAGTAAGGATCGGATATTCGGTTGGCGAAAAGGGGGGGGGGTAGTGGTGATGTGGATTTGACAGAAGAAGAGCAAGCACTGTTACAAAAAGGAGTAGAGCGGGAAACTCATGGCTCATCATCATTAATCAATCTTTGATCCACGCGTATCCTACCAACAGTTACGAAGAAGAAATCGCTAGACTAAGACAACAACTTGAACAAGCACATGCACGTGGAGGACAACCACATCCTCAGCAACAACCACCACCACCACCTCATCCTGCTCATCCTTCACAACAACCACCATCTTCGTTGCCACCTACAACACAATCAGCTGCTACTCGAGATGTACCTGTTCATCATCAACATCAACATCAACCTACTCCCCCTCCACCCAATCTCGGTCCTGGAGGATCAAATTATTTTGGTGGTATCATGAACAATCCACATGATAGTCCAAGAACAGCTCAACAACAACAACAACAACAACCTGGATTAGCTACTCCACCTGCACATCACAATCAGCAATCATATCCAGGCTATCCACCTTCAGCTACTCCACAGCAGCAACAACAACAACATCCTGGTTACCCCAATGGATCAGCTCCTGCTATGCATCATCCACCATCTAGTTCACAAGGTAACCAACCAATGCCACCTTTAATAATCAAATGCGTATACTCAAATGGGATCCTATTATAGCTCCACCGCCACCTACATCACAAGCAGGATTATACGGAGGACGCATGCCTACATCTCCAGCACCGGGGCCGTATCCTCGGCAGGAACATGGTATATAAAAGAATGAAATTTAGTGGTGGTAAAGTGATCAACCGGATTCTCCTAGGAGGTTACGGATATGCTCGTGTTACTGGTCCATCGTCAGGAGCTACTGCTGCTATACCTGGAACACCACCATTACCAGCACCCCATCACCATCAACAACCACCACCACCACCGCCATCCACTTCAGCACAACAACCACCAACACAAGCTCCTCCACCACCACCACATGATGCTACTGATCCACGTCAGTATACTTCTCCTATGCCACCACCAGCTCGTCCTCCAAGTGCCATGTCTAAATTGGACAACACTACTTCGCCTCATCCACCTCATTCAGCTACTCCTACTACCACAGCACCAGCATCTTTATGTGAAATTGATCCACAAAGTGTCCCTGCAAACATGAAAATGGAAGGCCAAGATTGGTTTGCTTTGTATGTATCATGTCCTTTGTTATAATTCGATCCATGCCACTCACTGCTTATTGCCATTTAGGTCAAGCCCTGTATTGCCACGTTATCTTAGTGTCGATCTTGTTCACTCACTTGAGCATGCTAGTGTGGTGTGCTGCGTCAAGTTTAGCAATGATGGAAGATACATGGCAGCAGGATGCAATCGGATCACTTACATCTACGATGTGGCTACAGGACGACAATTATGTGCTCTTCAGGATGATAGCGTACAAAGAGATGGTGATCTTTATATTCGTTCGGTATGTTTCAGCCCTGATGGCATGTACCTTGCAACGGGTGCTGAAGATAAACAAATTCGTGTAAGTGTTGGACCCATTCCTTCTCTTTAAACGTGTGTGCAAGTGGACCCACCTATATGAAATTAGATTTGGGATATTGCTCGTCGTATGATCCGTACACGCCTTTTGGGTCATAATCAAGATATTTATTCACTTGATTTCGGCCGTGATGGTCGCGTTGTTGTATCAGGCTCGGGCGATCGCACAGTGCGCATTTGGAGCATTGAAGAGAGCCGTTGTATTCATACATTGCCTATTACCGATCCAGAGCAAAAGGATCCTGGTGTCACAAGTGTAGCTGTATCACCCGATGGACGATTGGTAGCTGCTGGTAGTTTGGATAAGATGGTGCGTGTTTGGGATGTCCAAACCGGTCAACCATTGGAACGTCTAGAAGGACACAAGGATAGCGTGTATTCGGTCGCATTTATGAGCAATGGACGTACCCTTGTCAGTGGCAGTCTTGATAAAACGATCAAACTTTGGCAGCTTGGTACCGATCGCGGCAAAGGTCAACATCCTTGCAAGATGACATTGACAGGTCACAGGGATTTCGTTCTCTCAGTCGCATGTACACCTGATGATCGTTGGATTGTATCTGGTTCTAAGGATCGTGCTGTTCAATTCTGGGATGCAAGGACAGGTCAAGCTCAACTTATGCTTCAAGGACACAAGAATTCAGGTATGCAACTTTGGGGTTTATTGATAAGGGTTGATGACTAAAGATGCTGTTTATAGTGATCTCGGTGGCAGTAACTGCTAATGGTCGACCTGTGTTTGCTACGGGATCCGGTGATAATAGAGCAAGGATCTGGAGTTACGAACGTGTCGCATAGTGCTTTTATTTTGTGATGATATAAAGAAGAAATGATGATCAAATGAACAATGCATGAATGATGATGTACAATGGGATATATGCAATGAGTAAAAGACAACAGGTGTAATTATGGGTTTTCCTTGATTGCATCAAGCCATTCTTGGAACGTTTTATCTTGATAGGCGAGATCGAATGCAATGGATCCATCTTTGACGAGATTTCCTTCCTCGATGATCTTGTTGATTGATCGTATATCCTTGTCCACTTGTTGCAGTTGCTGAAGTCGACTTTGAACTTTGGATCGTTGCTGTGAGAGGAATAGGCCATGCTTTGATCTGATGTGTTCTGTAAAAGTGGAAAAGGGGGGATCAGCATCCTATTCTAATGACAACAACCAAAGAAACATACTTTTGAAAGCATCTCCCGCTTGTGTGATGGCATCAATAGAATCCTCGTTGGGAAGCGGCGTTGGGACTCGAACATCACGTTTATGCAAATCATCATGCCAATCCCCCACTATCATTCCAAAGGTAAATTAAACGTTTTCCACATAGGTCATATCCTCTCACCTAATGACTCGAGCGATTCTCGGATATCGGATTCAGGAGGGTCCATGTGTACAAGTGCATCAACTAGTGTTATGATTTTATCAGCTTCAATAATGGTTAAGAAGATGGTTATTGATTACCTCGCATGAGTGTCTCACCGAGAGTTTGGATAAGACCCGATCTTGACTACGACGATGTGATGATTGAAAGATGAGATGTGTGTATATATGATCGTGAGTGTGGTATCCACAACTTACTGGATTCAGATATGGGTGTAATGCATCCTTGATTTGCTCTAAACGTGTGCTGTCACGGGATTTTGGAATGACATTGTAGCTGTATAATTGTTGTCAATGATACCAGCCTGGATGAACCATGCTCTACGAGAACCCACCTTTCTGGTTTCAATGGTAAACGATGAAAGAGATCGACATGCTTGCGAATGCTGCCCGTCAACACGTCCAATACTGATTCCAATTCTTCTGCTAATTCCTCCTGTGCTTCACTTCTCATCGCTTGATCCTAGAATAAGAAGACGTGGTATAAGCTTAAAGATCGACGACATGTAATACATTGAAACAAACCTCTTCATGAAAATCCCGAATCATTTTTGCGCAATCACGGTTCTCATCCATCAATTGTACTACTCGAGATTGTCTTTCAGCCTGCGATAATACCTTATTAGCCAAATGCGATCATAAACCAGGAACGGTTTGATATCTTACCACTGTATGAATCAGGTCATCCATTGTGTTGCTCTTCTCCTCCAATTCATCAGGTAGTTCACTCTCAAGTTGATCCGCAATCGCTTTCAAGGACTTTAGCTCCGTGGCACTTGCTCTGCTTTCGGCTCGCATACGAATACATTGCCTGGTATGTATCCTCTTAGCATCAAAGCAAAACTTCCATCCTTCCTCTTATCTTACCACAGCGCTTCTTGAATGTTTGAATCAGGGTAAAAATGGTTGACACGTGCACGCACTTGGTGAGATAGATCCCGTACACGTTGTTCTAACTCTGTTTCCTTTTGTTGTATCTCGACGAGCTGATCCAGAGATATTCGCTCATGTTGGATATGCGTTCTTTCTTGTTGTTCTGGCTGTGATGAGGGCGGTGGTATCTCGATTGGTAACGTGTCCAAATAATCTCTTAAGCGTGCCAATGCTTGATGTGTTGTTATGGATGTCAGGTATTTTTTGATGGATTCGTTGGTGTTATCATCGCTATCGTTGTTGTTGTACAAGAGTCGATGTTCCAAAAGTTGACACAGCTGTTGGATCGTATGGCTATCGCCATCGTCATCGCCATTATCATCATCACCATGTTGCGTACGCCGTGCCTGGTCCTGCTGTTGTATCTCGGTCAACATTTGCTGGTATGCCTTTTGCTGAGAGATCCATTCGTTGCATTGGTGTTGATAGCATTGTAATAGTGACGATCGAACTTGTTTTGCTCGAATCTCGCTTTCGACACGTGCAAGCTCATGTTCTATGCAACGATCGTCAACCTGGTGTCGCTTGACATGCATTCCAACTCGTGCGTTCTACTTGCCTAGTCTTTGCATACGCTCCAACGTCTCCTGATTCCTCTTTTTGCTCTCCAGGTAGCGGGCTTGCTGCTGATCGTCATTCATAGGCACTTGAGCACGTTGAAAATGTTGATAAAGAAAGGAACAGGATGTGCCCTATTCAATCGGATTTCCTTATCCCACCCTCCCACCCCGACATCTTCGTATACACACGCACGCACATAGCTATACGCATAAATAAAAGTATAAGGACATTCATTTTACAATGATCATGAGCTACGTGTTGGGCGTCCTCTGTATTTCATGTGATGTGGAAGGGAAGATTTTAAGGGTCTTTCATAAAGGCATGCGCTAAGCATTCCAATGATGTTAGTAGAGGGCGTTTTACATGCATCCAAAATGCTTCATGGGTGTGATACCAAGAACGAGGATAAAGCGATTTGATCCATATCCATAGGAAAAAAGCAAGAACTTGTGTGTTTTGGGGATGCGCAGTCATTGTCTAAAACCAGTGATTTAGCCACAAATGAATCACGGGAGGTAGCTACATCAAAAGAAACGGGATACGTATATGGGTATGCGCTTCATCAAGATAGATGGCTATATCTTGTACCTCATAACAAGAATCAAAAAACACAATGACGACCACAACGACAACGAAAGCATAATAACAACAATGAAAGAAATGCTAAAAATGACCACAACGATCAGCTCTAATGCACAAGGTTAATATCCATCTTGATACTGTGCCCATGTAAGCTATGCTTAGGATTGTAGAGTAGTCAAAGAGATATGATGGAAGGATAAAAGAGAGGTGTGGGATATGACTGATAGGCGACAACATGATTTCCTTTTAGTTGTGTGTCATTGGGCGCTTGAATTTCTATGCTCACAAAGAAAGAATTGGAAGATAAATGATTGCTGGGGGAGGTAATGCATGATAACATGGTAAATTGGTGGACGTCTTCACTAGTAGTATGTTGTTTGTTCTCTTCTAAGAAGAGCCTAGGTGTGTTGATTGTCCCAAATTAACTTAGGTGGCATTAAGCAGCATCAAACAATGAATCAATCTGCTATCCTTTTCAGACATTTAAGAATCATTCGTAGTGCTCCTATATGCATACCCTATACTAGAGATTTGACATGGCCAGGCTACGTAAATGGTATGACACAAGGCCACGTAGAGGTTTTGAAGTATCCCGCTGTATGGAAACATGGCGACGAACACCATCAAACATCCAATTTCAAGGTGTGATTACCCTGCATGTACGTTTGTGAGTATGAGCTCTCCATGATCGACATCCCAAAGCCGTGGTATCCAGGCAACAACATACTTTTAATGCGACTATATTTATTTAAATGTCCGCATGATGGCACGTTGCCACACGACCAGGCACCTGTCCAATAGCTTATTGTGAAACACAAGTGCCAATGATCGGCATATTCCTGATTTTCGGAGCACACTGTGATGCAAAAAGATAGGGTACCGCTTTATGGTGGTGGACTGCTTTGAATTGCAAGAGGTTCGGGACGCGGCTGCCGTCATATAAAAAGGCGTATCAGCTTGCAAAAGTTTTTCCTTTTCCCTTTATCTCCTTTTCCATGGCATACACTTCCCTCGCTCAAGTTGACGACTTACCCGAAAGTGTACCGGTGTTGCGTCTCGATGGCTATGATTCAGATCTCAGCAGCATCGATGAACAAGATCCATTCGGGCGCATGACACTTGTTGAAAGCTCAACTCCTCCCGAGTATGGTGCTATTGGCAAAGTGACATTTGAATTGTTGGATACACCTATTGAATTGGCTCAAGATCTGAGTGGTGGTTGTGGCGGCAAGATTTGGGAAGCAGCTGGTGTTATGGTGGATTACATGCTGTGGAAGCAAAATCAAACGCAAGGTCTCTTTTTGCAAGGAAAGAAAGTACTGGAACTTGGTTCAGGCACTGGTCTAGTTGGTTTGGCTGTTGCTAAGGGATGTGCCAATGTTGACACCATGGTTATCACCGATCAAATGTAAGCATCAATTTTTTTCCTTTTATGTCATGATAGAGCCTTGGCGTTGACAAATCAGCTGTGCCGTTGCTTTGTAGTCCCATGATGCACCTTATGAGCCAAAACATCACACTTAACAAGCTGGATGGTCGAGTGCAAGCCAAAATCTTGGATTGGTAAGAAGCAAATGCGAGAGTGTTTTTTAATCCACGATGTTAACTAAGCTACAGGGGAGAGCCCATCTCATCTGATATCCCTGTCCCGGATGTGATATTGGCTTCCGATTGTGTATATCTAGAAGTGGCATATCAACCTTTGATTGATACGTTGGTAGCATTGTCAAACAAGGATACTGATATTTACATGAGCTATCGGAAACGAAGAAGAGCCAACAAAAGGTTCTTTCAAATGGCAAGGAAAAAGTTTCATTTAATTGAGGTAAGGAATCGATGAAAGAGGTATATAAGGATTATGTATTTACTCTTTTGGATTTAAAGGTTACCGAAGATCCCAAGCGGGAGCAGTATACCAAGGATGGTTTACGATTGTATCTCATGAAGAAAAAGTGCTAGTTGTATATGTTTATTGCGAATACCCTTGATCATATTGTCATGTTGTAATATACACCATCACCGTTTCATCCATATTGTAGCGCACTGCATGGGTTTTATTGTTTTTCTTATGAACATGGTCTTTGTACAATGAGCAGTAAATGATGATTTAGTTGATAGAATCAAGGATAGGGCCAAGAGTTTCAGTGACCTTGTCACCGATTTGAGTAGTCGATTGGTCACCGCCCAAGTCGCGAGTACGCACACCACCATCCAAAACTTGACGTACAGCGGTCTCAACAGCCTTGGCTTCCTCTTCGAAACCAAGCGAGTATCGAAGCATCATGGCAACACTGAGGATGGTAGCAATAGGGTTGGCAACGTTTTGGCCAGCAATATCAGGAGCTGATCCATGGATAGGCTCATACAAACCAACACACTTGCTCTTGCCATCGGGGAGACCATTCAACGAAGCGGATGGCAACAAGCCAAGAGAGCCGACAATGACAGAGGCTTCATCCGAAAGAATATCACCAAACATGTTCTCAGTGAGGACAACACCATTGAGCTTCTTGGGGTTTTGCACCATAGCCATAGCAGCTGAGTCGACAAGATGATGCTCGAATTCCAATTGAGGGAACTCACGTTCAAGCGTTTCAGTGACAGTCTTGCGCCAGAGACGAGAAGTGGCCAAAACATTAGCCTTATCAATGGAATGGATCTTGCCAACAGGGTTTTGCTTCAATGCCAACAAGGCAGCGAGACGAGTGACGCGTTCAATTTCTTCCTTGGAATAGGGGAGAGTATCGTATGCTAAAAACACACGCCCATATGAATACATGGATACCGCTGGCTGCCATTGCCTCTATGATCACTTACCCTTGCCATCTTCACCAGCTTCCTTACGATCACCAAAGTAGATGCCACCGACCAATTCACGAACAAAGACAAATTCAACACCTTGAACAACTTGATCCTTGAGGGGGGACAAGCTTGTCAAGCTCTCTGATGCAAATGTCACAGGACGCAAGTTGGCATAAAGGTCAAGGGACTTTCGAAGCTTCAACAATCCTTGTTCAGGACGAGGTCCACTGCCAATCTTGGCACCAGGAAGACCACCAACAGCACCAAGCAAGATAGCATCAGCAGCCTTGCATGCATCCAATGCACTATCAGGAAGGGGTTCGCCTACGCAATTCAAATGTCAGCTATTCTCCCACGCATACCATTCACGTCCCCTGTACGCGTCTTCACCAAGCACCCATTCCTCATTTCAGAGTCCCAATGACAAGTGTGTGTGCGCATGTACATACCAGTCTTCTCCAAAGCAGCAAGACCAATGAGCTCATTCTTGAATTCAAACTCGACATTGAGAGCCTTGGAACGGTGAGCAGCTACCTTTTGCAACACCTTGACAGCTTCGCCAACGACTTCGGGACCAACGCCGTCACCAGGAAGGCACACAATGGATATTTTCTTGGGAGAAGCCATACTTGAAGTAGTTGAAGATGTGAAACGATAAAACAAAGAGAAAGAGTGAAGCAGAAATGACAACCACCGCTCGATCCTGCTTGACCACCCGATTCACCGTTACACGATGAATCACTATGGATGCATCTCTTTTGATTGGCTGTTGCTGATCCATCAGTCATCGTCGCTCTTTATGGATATCGTGTATTCCTCGTGATCTTTTGACATGTCGCTCCCTCCCCCCTATTTTCTATCTATCATTTGTCATTGGTTGATCCATATGAAATAAGGTTACATCGCCCATCTTTTATACACTGCTTTCATATATAGAAATATCATCATCTCGCATACAAAATACATTTATCGTTATCCTCAATCAATGAGAAGATGTAAAGTGTTTATTCCTTAGAAATGACAGGGATTCTTTTTCTGTACAAATGCAAACGGGAAAGAAAAGTAGTAACTTTTTCAGGTACAAAAGGGAATTATAGGTGTGTGATTGGATACATTGGATAGGAGCTATTGTGTGTGTGCTTTGGATGTTTGAATGGGTGATGCTTAGTTCTTGCCAACGTTCTCAGGACGAAGTTGACGAACAGTCTTGCCAGCACGCCAGATTTCAGATTCACGGATTTCCTTAAGCTCTTCCTCGAGCTTTTCACGGTAATCAGGTTGAGAGTTACGATCAAGGGAGCGAGCAGTCTCGGAACCATCTCTGACGGAAGCATAAAGTTGTTCAAAGATAGGCTTGGAGGCATCATGGAATGGGCGCCACCAATCAAGAGCACCACGTTGAGCAGTGGTAGAGCAGTTAGAGTACATCCAATCCATACCACGTTCACCAATCAAGGGGTAAAGAGATTGGGTGGCCTCTTCAACGGTCTCATTGAAGGCTTCAGAGGGAGAGTGGCCATTGGCACGAAGGACTTCATATTGAGCTTGGAACAAGCCTTGGATGGCACCCATCAAGACACCACGCTCACCGAACAAATCAGAGTACACTTCCTTTTCAAAGGTGGTCTCGTACATGTAACCAGAGCCAATACCAATACCCAAGGCAATGGTGCGATCACGAGCCTTACCACTAGCATCTTGGTAAACAGCGAAGGAGGAGTTGATACCACGACCCTCTTGGAACAAGCGGCGGACAGTGAAACCAGATCCCTTCGGGGCAACAAGGATCACATCAACATCTATGGAAAAGATATGATGTGTCACCACTTTTGCTGCAAGCGCACATACCACCGACATAGATTCCGAATCCAAAAATACACTTACCCTTGGGAGGGACAATATCAGTTTGGTCCTTGTAGACAATAGAGAAACCATGGGAGAAGTAAAGGGTCTTGCCAGGAGTGATGAGAGGTGCCATCTCGGGCCAAATAGCCTTTTGGTAGGCATCAGAGAGCAAGTTCATGACAACGGTAGCTTTCTCGGTAGCCTCAAGGATAGGGAAAAGGTTCTTGCCTGGAACCCAGCCTTCTTCAACAGCTTGGTTGAAGGTCTTGCCTTCACGTTGACCAATGATGACATTGACACCATTGTCACGCAAGTTCAAAGCTTGACCACGGCCTTGGGGACCATAGCCAAGAACAGCAATGGTATCATCCTTGAAGGTCTCAAGCAACTTTTCACGGGGAACATCGGAGCGCTCATAAACGGTTTCCTCAACACCACCAAAGTTAAGGGTCTTGTAACCGCGCATAGGAGTCATCTAAAATATACACCGAGTGAGTGACGCGCTTTAGATCACATGGGACACAACACACTACTTACGGAAGCCTTGACAGCAGTTTGCTTCAAGTTGGCTGAAGCCATAGCAGCAACAGGGCGTGCAACAGCGGGCACGATAGCACGGCGGGAAGCAGCACGAAGAGCAGTAGCAAAGACACGAGAGGCCATTTTTTGAAAAAAGTGAAAAAGGAAAACGATGTGAAGGAAAATGCAACACGCGCAAAGTGTCAGCCTCTTTTAAGCAAGTGGGGGTCATCGTGACGGGGTTTTAGCATGTGTAGCGGCAACCCGTGTTGCGGGTAGCATGTCAAGTCGATTCATAGTGTGATGTGGCCAATAGGCGCACTGCTTAGGTTATATCTTATCAATACAATGGCCAAGCGTGAATTTGATTGGTGTGACTCATTTCGATGTAAAGGATCCCTGAACAAGTCATGACGACCCAAAGATTGCACAAGCGCCTTATATAAACCCCATTGATCAAGATCTGGTTCATAGATCTACCAAGATCGGTTTCCTTACTTTGGTGTTAAGCATCATTACCTGGTAAGACTTCTTTAAACATGGGGCATGTCCAAGGGGATGCAAATGCAACTGACTCACTCTGATTTGGATGCAGATTTAACGCCCGACTCCATCGAAAGTTTTTCTTAAAGTTCAGCCAAAAGAGATTATCTCTTTTATTTTTTATCGGATTACACCTCCTCACATTCTTCCTCTTTCCCTATCTTTTATAAGCCGTCTTTGGGCATTTATCTTTTTATCTTTTTTGCATATCCATCATGATGTCCACTGCAGCATTTCGAATGTCATCAAGGCAGCTCTTTCACCGTTACACTGCCACCAGCGGCAAACGAGCAATGGCCGCTTGCATGATCCACACTTCTCGCAAAGCTACTGGTGCCGCTGCTACACAGTACGTTGAACAAAGAAAATCGGCCACATGGTTTTTTATTAACTTTTTTTGGATCATAGTGCTGCACCCTCTCATGAGCGAGCTGCTGTGCAGACGCTTCCAAAGTCCCAACGACGTCCTCAACCTCTAAAGTATCGAAAGAACAACGCTGTCGAAATGGATGACTCGTTTGTCGGTATGACAGGTGGTGAAATCTTCCATGAAATGATGTTGCGTCATAATGTCAAGCATGTCTTTGGTTACCCTGGTGGTGCCATTCTCCCTGTATTCGATGCCATCCATGAGTCAAAGTACTTTGATTTCATCTTGCCTCGACATGAACAAGGTGCTGGTCATATGGCTGAAGGCTATGCACGAGCCACGTAAGTTTTAAAAAAAGGGGGGGTAGAGGTGGTTAGTGATCATCCATCCAAGGTAGGCTAACTTTTTTATTTCATTTGATAGTGGCAAGCCTGGTGTTGTCCTTGTAACCTCTGGTCCCGGTGCTACGAATGTTGTCACTGCTATGGCTGATGCTATGGCTGATGGTACTCCTCTTGTTGTTTTCAGTGGTCAAGTTGTGACTTCAGCTATTGGTACGGATGCTTTCCAAGAAGCTGATGTTGTTGGAATTTCACGTGGTTGTACCAAATGGAATGTGCTTGTCAAGGATATCAGCGAACTTCCACGTCGTATCAATGAAGCCTTTGCTATTGCCACAAGTGGTCGTCCAGGTCCTGTTCTTGTTGATCTTCCCAAGGATGTCACTGCTGGCATCTTGCGTCGTCCTATTCCTAGCAACCCATCGATTCCATCACGCCCTACTGCTATCCCTAATACTGCCATTGGTGCCTTTACGGAGGAAGCTATTGCCGCTAAGCGTGACCCCGTCTTGCATCGTGCTGCCGAACTCATCAACATGGCTAAGCGTCCTGTCATCTATGCTGGTCAAGGTGTTTTGAGCCATCCTGAAGGTCCTGAAACCTTGCGAAAGCTTGCTGATGATGGTAACATTCCTGTCACCACCACCCTTTGTGGTTTGGGTGCCTATGATGAAATGGATCCCAAGTCGCTTCATATGTTGGGTATGCATGGTTCTTGTTACGCCAACCTTGCTATGCAAAATGCCGATTTGATCATTGCCCTTGGTGCTCGTTTCGATGATCGTGTCACTGGTATCATTCCTTCCTTTGCTCCTGAAGCTGTCAAGGCTGCACGTGAAAACCGTGGTGGTATTTTGCACTTTGAAATCATGCCCAAGAACATCAACAAGGTCGTTGAGGCTACCGAAGCTATTGAAGGTGATGTCACCGAGAACCTCAAAATGATCTTGCCTCATGTGGAAAGATCCGAACGTACCGAATGGTTCAGCATGATCAATGAATGGAAGGAAAAATACCCCTTCTATTACGACTTGCCTGCTACCGACAAGGATGCCTTGAAACCCCAGCAATTGATTGAAGAACTCAACAAGCAAACCATGGACAACAAGGAAAATGTCATCATTACTACCGGTGTGGGTCAACATCAAATGTGGACTGCCCAACTTTATCGATGGCGCCATCCCCGTACATTCATTACCTCTGGTGGTCTTGGTACCATGGGCTATGGTCTCCCTAGTGCCATTGGTGCCAAGGTAGCTCAACCTAACAAGACTGTCATTGACATTGATGGTGATGCCTCATTTTCCATGACTGGTAAGCACGTGATTTAATAATGGCCTTGTTGTTGGATCAATATGACTAATTGTGATTGTATATACAGCTATGGAATTGGCCACTGCAGCTGAGTTTAACATTGGTGTCAAGGTTCTTTTGATGAACAACTCCTTCCAAGGCATGGTCAAGCAATGGCAAGATTTGTTTTATGAAGAACGGTATTCTGGCACTGTTATGAAGAACCCTGACTTTTGCAAATTGGCCGAGGCTATGGGCGTGAAGGCTATTCGTGTCACCAAGACTGAAGAGATTCCCGAAAAGATGGCTGAATTCTTGGCTCACGATGGACCTGTGCTTATGGATGCTGTTGTTTGCAAGCATGAACAACTCTTCCCCATGGTACCAGCAGGCAAAGCTTTGGATGACTTTATCATCCATCCCAAGATCAAGGCAAGGCTCAGCAGCAGCAGCAAGCAGTAAAAAAACAAACACAAAACAAAAGCATTTACATACACCCCATTAATCCCATCATCCTTTTATTCCACCTTTTCTCTCTCACAAAACGAGGATGATGTTTCCATCAACAATAACCTTTTTCTCATCGATAATTATGCTATGCCCCCATCACACACACAACATCCTTTTTTGCATTTGTTTGCTTTTCTTGTAGCTTGTCATTTTCATTATACTCGTATCCCCATGCTTTGCGCAAAAGAATAAAAAAAAACTGCATGATCAGATCGTATACGTGAAACCCGACTCTTTCTCTCTCTTTCACACACACGCTTTAAAGCCATTTCGTGTCCGCTGACGCTTTTGGCGGGGGAAATATCCAACGCTTCTCTCTTTCCATCACCAACATGTCCATGGCTGTATGTCGCTTTCACACCACATGCTTCAACGTCGGCAACTCCATGCTCATTTTCTATTTTCGTTCAGAGTCTTCTCGGTCTTTCCACGCCTGTGGACGTGGATATCACCTTTGCTGATGCCGATCAACGCAAACATGTGGACATCAAAGTCGACAAGGACCGCACAGAAACGTATCCAGTGTATCTCGATGGCGAAACTGTTAGCGGCAAGGTAATAATAAAAGACGACTCGACTCGACACTGCCTATCAAAAAGTTGGATATCTTGTTTATCATTCTCTTTCAACCAGGTCAATATTCGTTTGCGAAACGGCAAACGACTCGAACACAATGGTATCAAGGTCGAGTTTGTGGGAAGCATAGGCAAGTACAAGATAGGCGATTGGATGTTCTATTGATGTATGTAGGTCGAAGAATGGGCTAATACGTATTCTATCAGAGCTCTTTTACGATCGAGGACGCCCGCATGAATTCTTGACCCTTTCTCAAGAAGTAGCAGCTCCCGGCGAACTTCGTCAAAACACCTCATTCGATTTCGAGTTCAAACGCGTGGAGAAGCAATATGAATGTTACAATGGTATCAATGTGCGATTAAGGTAAGCAAAACAGGGTGGAAAGGAATCGAGGTTGCGTGGGATGAGGATCTTCTTGGCATTATGGGAAGGTCATTGGTTGCTTGCTGCGCAGTTATACATACTCAGCTCACACACTTGCGTGTTCCTCAGATACTTTGTGCGTGTTACCGTATCTCGTCGTCTTGCCGATCTTGTTCATGAAAAGGATATCTGGGTCTACTCTTATCGAATGCCAACGGACGTCAACAACTCTATCAAAATGGAAGTTGGTATTGAGGACTGCTTGCACATTGAATTTGAGTACAACAAGTCCAAGTAAGTAGGGGTATAGGAAAGGGAAGGAAGGTTGCTCATATCAACGATCAAACCAGGTATCATCTAAAAGACGTCATTGTCGGCAAGATTTACTTTTTGTTGGTACGCATAAAGATCAAGACAATGGAGCTGGCAATTATTCGTCGTGAGACGACTGGAGCAGGTAAATTGAGGAGAGAAAGAATGGGCTAAAATTAGCATACGATTGACCTTGATGTTTTTAGCACCCAACCTGTACAATGAAAGTGAGACTGTGACCAAATTTGAAATCATGGATGGTGCTCCAGTGCGTGGCGAGACAATCCCTATTCGACTGTTTTTGGGTGGTTTCGATTTAGCACCTACTTTCCGAGGTAACGATGGCGTATAGGATGGGATGGATTGCATGTTGGGTACTTAATTGCTTTGGGTATATGGCAGATGTCAACAAGAAATACTCGACAAGATATTACCTCAACTTGGTATTGATTGATGAAGAAAATCGTCGCTATTTCAAGCAGCAAGAGATCACCTTGTTTAGACGAAAGAGTAAGTTTAGCACAATGGATTATGAACAAAACAATTAACTTGGACCTTAGTTGATGACGGCTACCCACCTGACGATGAACCTGTCGTCAATGCTTAAGCGCTTGTACTACCATGTATCATTTTACAGACGCATGATTCCCCATTTTCCCATTTTCCTGTACTGCCCTCTTTGGACGACAACTCCATTCAACAACAATAATGCATAAAGCGATATTTGACGATGAATACTACCACCAGCTCCTTATTATGTATACTTGTTGTGAAGATCAAATCAGATGAACGTTTTTACTATGATGATTGAGGACCTATATACAGTGCGTCTTTATGCTTCTACGTCTAAATTAATTCCACATTGCCTCCCAGCAGCAAATCTCGAACGACGTTGTATCGCAGGATATAAATATCGTCTTTCTCGAGCATTGTAGTCTCTTCGTCTCTGTATAATAAACCACCGTGAGATGTGTCTTCATATTACAAAACGTAACGCACATACCTTTGATCGAGCTGTATTGGCCCACAATTTTCCCTTACACGGATAAACACGGGTGCCTCCATATTCGCCCTTACCACTATAGCCATCCGTAAGCATGTTGTTGTGTCCTTGAATTGATCCTCTTACCCATATCATAATCAGCCACCTTTTCATCTTGCTTGTGTTGACCAGCTGGCATGAGATGTAGAAACGAATCATGGTTGTGAGATTCCAATAGCTCTTGATACCTATACATCGAAGAGTCAATACACCATCGATTCAACTATCCTTGTACCTTACCGCCTAGCATATGCAGTCTCTTGTGGAGAGAGGATATTATCATCTTGATGCGCCCTTCGAAGGATTTCTAGTGTGCATTTTTCGATCTACTCCTCCCCATCCATCAATTTGGTTGCCGTCTTACATAGCTTCCCCACACTCAATCAATACCTTGTATAATCGTGTCCGCAAGTAACTTCGAACCACAAACTTGATACGCTCGATCTCATTTTGAAAAAGCATGGATATAAACTTGCGTTGAGGATTGTCCATAGTCTCCATGATGGTCTCGGTCTAGTATCGTGGATAGATGGGTAAGACAAGGGCGTTTAAGGAGTCGTTTAAAAGCTCACTTGATCCTCAATAGCCTTGAGTAAAGGTTCGACAAGATAGCGCTTGTATGGAAGAAGTTCAGGGGAATTGCGTTCATTGATCCAAGCTTGGGTAAGATTGGCAACTGTATCTGCGTGGTCGATGCGAATGCTACTGAAATCGTTGACGCCGAGAAGGGTATCATCTTGAGTTAGGTCGAAAGAGCCACCCAGCGATTGGCTTTGGCTTGGTGAATCCTCTCCTCCCAACATTGTGTGTATGAGTGCAAAGATCTTATTTGGGTGACAGCAAGACACGGCAAACCGCGTTCTAGGAAAATCCGAGCAGATCACGCGTGGTGTCACTAATGGATTCCGACCTCGTCGTAGTAGATGAGCTAGCTAGCTATTCATTGTTTCTCGTTTCCATGGCAAGCCATAAATCATCCTTTCTTTATACTCATTTACATTGTGTTTGTGTCATGTTGTCCATTGTGCTATTACTTTACAGTGGGGAAGATCACGCCACGCTTCTCCTTGTGCAAGGAAATATTTCCATTAATGATAACAAGACAAGTGGGGTGAAAATGAGGCAACCTCATGATTGTTTAATACAAATCGCATATATAAAACGACTTTTGTGAATGTGGACTAATCCTCAGTAGCTGGGTGGTTGACCTTGGGATTGAAGAAGAGAGATTCGGGTCCCCAGAAAAAGTCGTGTGCACGCATATTCAAGTATGGATAATGAACCCACTTGTGTGGATGATGCTTCAAATGTTCTTCATGTGCCATGGCAAGGTTGTAAGCGTTGATACCGGTTGCAAGCAAACTAAAAGAAACAAAGAAAAAACAAACAAGGTAAGCTGACGTCGACAAGTGGTTTGTGTGTATGTGTCTCATACACAATCAACAACTCCTTCTCTTTTCCTCTTCCCCACCCCCATACAAAACGTTCATTATCACTTACGCAGGAATGCAGACAAAGAGACTGATCTTCTTCCATGTATCAGCAGCCTCTAAAGTAAATCGTGGTGGGAAAATCGGTTACACGGTCAACGGACTTTTTCTACTAGACATAATAATAGCATGATGATGATGATACATACTGCCAGCATGCTCCTTGACAGCATCACGTTCACGAGCAAACTTTGAGTTGAATGTAGTATTGAAGCGCACACCAGGACGCTTTAGAGAGCGTGTTAGTTGGGTGTTGAAAAGTGCACGGGAAGCCATAAGGGAAATAATAATGGAAAGAAAAAGAAAACGACGCACGCTGGTGTGAACGGCTGCAGGAAATTTGTGGGCGCACAAGAAAGTCCGATTCCTCTTTGGACAAACATCCCCTTGCGTTAAACATCTCGCAGCCCTTTCTATTGCATGATGCTATTGTAGGAACGTATTCATATGCCATCAACCTATCCATCTACGCTTGCAGCCCATTGTAATTGAGGAGATGGTGGAGGCAATCACCCAATCAGAGAATGTATAATACTATCAAGATCACCTACAATGTCTTTAGCCGCCAACTTAAGCCATAATTGAATGTGAATTGATATACACAGGGATGTGTAGATAATATAAGTTGTCTTTGAATTAGGAAGCTATCAAATTGTAATGCCATCATGACAGCTATTAGTCTCTGACACTTAAACGACTTGAGATGCTATTGGGTCCAATGACGTTGAAAAGGCATTCTTTATGTATCAATGTGCAAGAATAACAACCTACATTATCATCGTAGCAGATGTCTACTATAATGTCTTACTCTACAAGTGGTAGTCGATGGAGAGCGGGCACGTGATGTTGGTGGTGGATCCGACGCCAAAAATTGAACGCGTGCACCAAAAAAAAAAAGTCGCGCTGGGGCGGCGAGCCTATTTCATTTATCGCCCTCTTCTTCCTCCACACACATATCCACAGCATGGTCAGCGTAAAGAGACGCCTTTCTACCGACGAATCAGAAGGATCGAGTAACAACAAGGTCGCCAAAACCGATGAACTCTCACGAGAGCAACGTCAAGAGCGTGTCTTCGCCAACATGCGACTTCGACGCATCATTAAGGAGAATCACGCCAGCACCATTCACCAACTTGCCTTTTTCTTCAACAACAAAAACTTCTCCGGTCCCGTGGGCATCGACTTGCAAAAGACCTTTGACAAGCGAGGATCGGTTCAGCGAGATCAAACTGACACGAGCAATGTCCTTGCTTCTGTGGGTGGTTGTCAGGTACACACACACGCACATACGATTTCATATGGAGAACAATGAATGACGCCAATGATCGATTTCTTTTCTTAAAAGATGAGCGTATACGACAATGAACACTGTGGCGACCATTTGGATATCATGTCCAACTTTGACCTTTCTCTACAACAAGACGGCGAGGTGAAAAGGGTATGATCATGTGATGATGGATTCGATATTCGCTAGCGTTAACACCAACACTATCAGGAATTGCATACGTTCTGCTGGCTATATCGAGAAAACGACGCATGGTTAGCAGCTGCTGGTACCGATAGCCAAATCCATATCGTCAGCTTGGCCTTATCACAAGAGATGGTGATTCTTGAAGGACATGCGAGTAAGTCAATGGGGTCGATCGGGTGGAACAAGTAAGCCTTTTATACTCAATCGTATACGTAGAAACCATCCATGATCTTCAGCCCCATCCACAACGGGATAATTACATCTTGTCGACATCCAAAGATGGTACGATGCGATTATGGGACGTGGATAAGAAGAAATGCCTTGCTATTTTTGAAGCGGATGCCACAGTAACGGTAAGCAATCACTCACTACATCCATTGTATGGCCTACCATTGATATGTGTATTTGCTAGTGCTTTTCTCCTTCAGGCAACACATTTATCTCGGGAACATCGCGTGGTGAGCTTCGCCAGTGGACTATCCCTGATGGCTTGGACGAGCATGATGAGCCTATCCGCGTGCAAAAGAAACAATCAAAGCTATACAAAAAGTTCCATGGTGACAACTATATCGGTACGTGCAAAGAAAATGATGATCGTGATACCTCAAGAACTAAACACCGCATCATGCTTAGATTGCATTCGCTATGCAAATGGTCACGTCATTTCAAAATCAAGCAATGGTCGTATTGAGATATGGGAAGCTGATACAGAAAAGGTTCGTTTGGATGGAGAGTGTTAGCAAAGGTTGATGCTAAATGGCATCTTATGATGTAGCATATTCGATCCATTAGGATACGAACCGGCGAGTGCTGTTCACGATTCGATGTGAGGTAAAAGGATGAAGGAGGAAAGTTATTTGGAATGCAAGGATCTTACAAAGCTTTTCGTTACATGAAGCTTGGACGAGAATTACCTCTGCGTTGGAAATAGCTCAGGATCTGTATTTGTATATAACCTTCATACGGGCAAGTTAATCACTGAATTATCACATCGGCGCTCCAACAAGGCGGTGCGATGCTGCACGTTCACACGTGATTGCCGGTAAGCACGACAACAGGTGGCAACGATGGGATTAGCATCCATTAACAATCATCCACTGTTTTAGTCAAATTCTTGTTGGAGGTGAGGAAGGGTTCATGCTGCGGTACGATTACATCGACGATGCTACTTTGGAAGAATGGGCAAATTGGAGAAAGCCGGATAACTCTTAATGCAGCTCGAGTGTATATTTTCTGGGAAGAATAAAGACATCCTGAATTTACGTTTCATTGTGCCACGTTGCGTATGAGTACAGATGTCTGTGCTTGGTGCATTACTAAAGAGCTCCCATAATCCCTTAATCGATGCTTCATCCGTGATCTTACATCTCATCTTGGCAGCTAACTTCCGTAACGATTTCTTTTTCAATCCACCAAGTGTGGCCACCATGATAGGTAGTTGACGGTCTTCACATGCCAAAATCACCAATAAATGTGCGATGTCATTACGACACATTGACACCATCATCACTTGATCTTTGGATACGACGCATCAATAATAGATCCACGTGGTTTAACAAGAAAGTGAAAAGCTTTGTAGATTATAGCTACCCTCATGTACGAATAAAATACCCCTTGATGGAGCAACTCTTTTCTCGATATGAATGTTTATCCAACTACTGTAGCCCACCATCCACTTTCCACAATGTCGGGTAGCGCGCGAAGAAAAGCTGAAATCATAACCACATATGCATAACCCCCAAGTGTTGTGGATGATGGATCCATAGATTCGGTCCACACCGCCAATGCTTTGATGTAGAGTGTGGTACACCAAGCTACCACGTAGGTGTAACCATGGATTGCATCGTGGTGCGTTTGGTGGACCATCACACGGATCGACAAGTTTGATTTGGCAAATAAGAAAAAAAAGAGTTGTCGAAATCAAGATTCCCAGTGCGGGCTGCACAAGAGCGTGGTGACACGACATGAGCTCTAGTATCAAGATCGCTCTTTTTTCTTTACTAACGTAAGCAGCAGTAGCAGCAGCAGCACCTTTGCATGTCGTACCTTTTGGTTGGCTCATCATCATCATCCGCTAAAAAGAGGGCATGTATCCTTGCACAACAAGCACCATACCATTACCACCCTATCTCCAATACTAGAACGTGCTGCATTTAAAGGGTGATACCATACCACATGCTGTTGTGATACCACTGGGTGATGTAGCAATAGAGAGAGAGAGAGAACCAGAACGGGGGATATATGGAAATCCTTGCCCATCGGAAAGCAACACGTTTTCTGACGTGTGCCATCCTCCTGGATCAATTACGCACACATATATAATACTAACCAGCCCTTTCCCCTAGAGCGTTCGACATCATGAATGACGACGGTTGCCATGGTTTCAGGTGAAGCCATGCTACAACATCATACATTTAAAGGGGGGTCATGGATTTGAAGGGAATCGTATTGTATGTGACAAGCGATGATGGCACGTATGTATATATATTTATGTGATGGTAATACACGCAACATATACGTACAATTGTTTGTGTTGGTCAATGTTCCCATTGTTTTCATTGCTTGCTTGTGCAACAATGATGGCACAAACACCTTGTCTCACTCACTTTCTCTTTATTCTGGGTTTGACATTCCACCATGGATCCCAGTCTTCGTTATTCTGAAGGGCGTAGTAGTTGGGGGAGGGTGTACGATCCAATAGACAAAAAAGGCCAAGATGCGGCTCTAAATGCGTATCCATGCCAACGGCAGAATTGGCTGTAATACCTTCAAAAATGTCACCAAAAGTCAAACTTGCCCCCTTGCACATCACACAATAGGAATGCATACTCTTTGTCTCACCCACGTGTACAGATGGCATTTAAGCGAAAAGCAGGGTCGGGACGATGGTGAGGGGGTTGGGGCAAAAAAAAAGGACCAAAAGCAAAATAACGTCATTGTGCAGGCAACTTTATTGCACATTACAATGTGTATCAAGATGTGAGTAAAAGAACAAAGGCATATCCATATTACGCAATTTACAGCTGTAAATGTGTCATAGTGATGATGTATGTGAAGTTTTCAATGGGCTTTTGCTTTTTCGTTTTTCCTTCCCATAACATAAAACAGTGGTGGTGTGTGAGAATAAAAAGGCATGGTGTTGGCGAATAGGGGCATATAAAAAATGACATACTACAATATCCTATTGGCAAGTGGGTGCGCTTTTACATGTGTGTATACAAAAAAAAAAGAGAGAGAGAATGGATAGAGGGGTATCAAAATTTCTGTATATATGGTTTGTTAGCTTGAAGGTGACCTGTGTGCAGTGCTTGGAGTAGCAGGAATGCAAAAGAACCAACGCAACTTTGACTTCATTACTTTGAGGTAAAAAGAAAGACGTCGACGTGCTGTTGAGCGTGTTGAGGATGATGAGGATGATGATGAGGATGATCCATTACTGCGATATTCGGCTATTGGCGACGCGATGGGATTCATTTGCTGCTGTTGTTGTTGTTGCCGAGCTGCATCGTCTGTCGTCGTGTTGGTGGAAGATGAGGTGTCAGTAAGGTGCTGTTGTCTTCTGCTGCTATCATAGCAATCGCAATCCACAGATGATAAAGACGTGCTCGTATCTGCTGTAGTAGTGTTGTTGTTGTTGTTGTTGGATGAAGATTGAGGAGGAGGTGCTGGTTCGGGTCGTGGTGGTCGTGGATTGTTTGGTCTTGGTTTCTTCAATTCATGATGAAGTGGTTTTGGAGGCGATACTCCCGCACTATCATGATCATCCTGAATCGCCTCTAGCATCGTTCGTCTCTTTTGCATAGATAAAGGACGACCGGTGTGTCACGAAAAGGAAAAGATCGACACCACTACAATGCACGCACCGTGCGTTCAATAGGATGATGGGGAAGAAGCAATTATGGTAAAAATTCTTGACGATCATTCATGCTCAGGCTATATATATGAGAGAAACCTGGAGGAGCAAAACTCGACAACAAGGATTCCCATTTCAGAACACATGTATCACTACGTATGCTGAGTGTGTTGCGATGCGTGTGTATATGTGTGTCTCAAAGTGTGATCGCAACATGAAAATGAAAGTAGACAAGGTTCAAGGGGCGGTTCAAGCTGTAAGATGTTTCTGCTTTCGATAATTGATGCGCGTGTCCATTGCGCGTACTCTCGCCGCTTGGTGCTGTGTGGCATGTCGACATTTATCCATCAGCTAAAAATGGCAGTGTACAGCGTCATGGCCCGAGTGGAGTCGTATATTAAAAGTGACATTCTCCAATGTGCACTAGGCACCCCTAGCTCTTTTTTTTTTCTTTCCCCCCTCCCCTATCTTTGACACATGCGCACATTAGTAAAATAGTAGCAAGAGAAAGAAAAAGCGAAAAGGAGTCTATGGCCGAAAACCATGTCCATGATGGGATCTCTCGCTCGCTCTCTCCTTAGCTAACCAACAAACAAAATCAACATTAGCTCTCCTTTCCTATTTTCGAATATGTATACCGTTAGCTTGGCTATGCCATGTTGTTGGATAGATGTTATGCTGCGCATCTTTTTTTACTCGGCATGATTTTGTGTAAGCAACTTTTTTCCCTCCCCCTCTGGTCCAACAACCAAATTCATCCAAATAAGGTGTATATCCGAAGATAAGTGGATGCAGGGACCATGCACACAAATTCCAAGAATCCATAGGGATGGTGTAAAAAAGGTGTTCGGCGTATGACTTTCACCCCACCACCTCCTCCCTTTTGATATCCACAACCTAACAGGACCCCCTCCCTGCTACTGCTGTTTTTCGCTTGCTGCTGTTTGAGAATATTCGTTTCGCTCTTTCTTTTTCCTTTGTTGGCCATTAATGGTTGGTGACCGATTGTTTGTTAAGTACCATTTATGACATGCCACGCGTTAAGGGCTGCAATCAAAACATCTAAGAATCCAGATCATTAACGCTTTATTTACTCAAGTTACGGTAAATGGCTCCCCTTTTAACCGCTACTGCTATTGTACAAAGATGCCACGTTTTGCCATATCCTTCTCAACCACCTCGATCGCATGAGACACTTTTTGGAAGAAATGATCTTGACCCACCAAGTCGAGTAAGCCTGACTTTTCAAACATAGCCATCGGGCGTTCGCGTAATCGGACAAAGTACACCATCACGTTTCGCGCGTGGTACGACTCCACAATCTCGTACAAGATTTGGACAGCACTATTGAAACGGGTGGGACGAAAAAGGAACATGTTACCATGTGCACTACTCTCATTGTCCAATCCATACCAGTTACCCAGATCTCTTTGTCTCACACACACATCCACACACATCCACACAACCTCTCAACGCCCTGGGGTGGTGCGTAGCACATTTTTGTGGTCTCTTTGACTCATCATGTACTGTACCTTGCATCAATGTCGGGCATATGATCTGCGTCGAATATGGTATACGACATGCTGTTCATGCGAGGTGTCTCCGATGGATGGGTTTCCATATCACCGTAGTATTCCAAACGCCGTAATCGATCCTTGAGCTGGCCTATATCGGAAATACATAACCAACATCAGTGCCAAAACAATCATCCACTCCTCATGCATTGTGCACCCAAAGCAAACGAATCAACCATCCCCCACCGGTGTTTGTTTTACCTGTATTGGCAAAAAATAGGGGTTCCTCAACACGAACAATGAGGACATCTTCCAAATGCTCCACCTCATCTGGATCTTCATGGATAGCTCGAAATTTGTTGTGGGTTCCCTTGACTCGCCCCTACATGGATAAATGACATGCATGAGCGATTATAAGCTTATTTAGTGTGGGGTGCATTTGCAGGGGGGTTGTTGATGTTGCTGAGTCAGGAGATGGGGATTGGGATGATATACCCTGATGATGGATATTTGAATGGGAGGGGAGGGGGTTTGCATATACATTACCATGATGGAGATACGTGGATAGCTGGATTGTTTGATCGTAAGGAGAAGCGATAACGTGATGGCAACAAGGGTACCAAACTCCAGAGAAATGATAACCGTGCCAAAGAAAGTGACTAGCAGTAACGTCAAATCACGCCATGCATGCACCTTGAAAATGAAATGCAAATCCTCAGGAAGCTCTCCCAAGAGCGATAGCACGGCAACAAAGATGATGGCTGATAGCACGGCCTTGGGCAAGTAGTAAAAGTAGGGTAGCAAGAAAAAGATAGCAATCAAAGCAAGGACACCAGTGATCAATCCAGCCATTTGTGTGCGTGCACCAGCACGGTCGTTGATCTTACTACGTGCGACCTGCATAAAAAACACACACGTTGAGTGGTGGCGCTTAATGCACGTAATCCTTTATCACACCCATGCATTCGATTTCCTCGCTCTCTTGTTTTTGCTTCTCTCTCGCTCTCTCTTTCTCTTTCCATTACCTGTATTGCCCTCTTTTTTTCTTTTTCCTCCTCTTCTCCTTGCTGCTCACCCTTACATTTCCCCCTTTCAATAAAGGTATGTGAGATCGTGCATGGCATAGGCACTTGCTTCGCTCTCTCTCTCCAAGTTGATCCTACAATAGGGCCTTTTTTTCTTTTCCTCCTGAATCCACACATCCCCAATCTTATTTGACAATATCCCTTTTCCGAAAATCCCCCTCATCGTCCACCACCGGATATCAATGCAAAGGTGACTTACGCTTCCAAATGCAGGTATACCCTGAAACAGACCGCCAACGATATTGGCCACACCAAGAGCAACGAGTTCTCGATTTGCGCTGACTGTGTAATTGTGTCGACTCGAATAGGTCTTTGCAATCACCACCGATTCGACGAATCCAATGACTGAAATCATAGCCGAAGTCACAAGCATATCCTTGAGATGATCGCGATCGGGCAATGCTGGTATCGAAGGCATTGGGACACCTCTGCTATCAATCTTGCCAAGGATAGCCAAACCCTTTTCATCCCAATCACATGACCATGTCAACACGGTGGATACGACGACCACCAACAAGACTTCAGGGAACAATGCCGCCTTTACAAACTTTGATTTCAACACGCGAGTGACCAAGAGGAACGCGACCGAGACAATGGATACCCATGTTGTCAATGCATGCGAATTTGTAATGTAGCCCCATAAAAAGACAAGACGATCAAGCGTTGAGGATGCTTCTGTGACGCCGTGTTCTTCGCTCAATTCCACAAGACCAAGTAAGATGATGCTTTGTTGAACCAACACCACAACAGCGACACCCGTGATAAAGCCTCGGAGTAAAGCACGGCTCATAAGGCTGTCCAAAAATCCAAGTCGCACAATGCCTAGCAGAAATGTGAAAATGCCGACAAACAGCGTCATCAAACAGGCCCAAGCCAATGGATCCACTTGATTGCCATGTTGTTGTTGCTGAGCAATGGTTGATCCAACAAGTAACGACAAGGTAGCTTCAGGACCCACGCTAATTTGCCTATGTGTATACAATCATCATGTGAGTGCCAAACAAAATCGGAGTCAATGTTTGTGTGTGTGTGGTATTCTTCTAATTCTTACCTCGACATGCCAAAGACTGCATAGGTGATGGCGGGGAATGCAATAGCATAAAGGCCATGAATAGCATCGAGTTTGCAAAGGGCTGTGGCGTAAGAGAGACCTTGAGGCACCAAGAGACATGCGAGTGTGAGACCTGCAATGAGATCTCCTAGCAACAGGCGGTGATTGTAATGTGGCAGCCATGTCAAGATAGGAAGATAGTACCGAGCCCGAATTTTAAAAATGCCCCATCGGTCTTTGGGTGAGTGGTCGAGTCGAATTTGTGCCGATGGAACTAAGATCTATATTAGTAATATATAAAGAGTATAGTGGAGGTGTATATTTACTTGGGGAGGATGTCATGTAACGAGGAAAAGGTTCTTGTTCAGGTAAAAGTAAGGAGCGTGTTTCATCTTGAGATCCGGTTGCGGTGACATTCCTTGGTCTAGGCCGTAGTCCACTACCAGTAATAACGCCTGAACGGGTTCCTTGACTGTTTTCATCATCGCTGCTGCTGTTGCTGTTGCTGTGGTGACCATCATCGCTTTGATCCATGTAGATCTCAATCGACTGCACACCTGAATAATAATAGTAATAATGATAAGGGTTGATAAAAAGTGTGAAAGGATTCCTTTTGAGATATGCAGCACATACTGTCGTTGTGGGGTATAACACCTTGATGTTGTTGTGTTGCCATGCAAGGAGGAGAAGGATATGTAGATCACAATAGAAAGGGGGAATGTTTTTTGAGGAGGAGGAGAGAATAGTAAGGAAGAAAGGGAAAGTAAAAGTGGGAATTGTAACTTTATATGGATGGTGGTAGATGGTTTTGTGTGTGAGCGGGTCATCAAAGGTGGGAAAAGCGAGACCATTCATTCCATTGCGGTGTGTGTGTGTGAGAGTGCTACTATGTGCATAATCAAGATTATTAGACCCATCATTTTTTTCACAATGTCCCTTCTCCACCACCCTTGTACCATTGGCTTTTGTCGTCGTCGTCCCCTGTTGTTGGTCAACAGCATGCTATTACCCCCAACAATAAGAACTTGTTCTTTATTCCCTTTTCATTGTTGTTCTCTTGTTCTACTTACTTGTGATGGATCTCTGTGTATCCGACAGCATCTCTCCACCAGCAACACCTCCTTCTGATACCATTGGTTCATACCGGCAACCATCAACAACATGGGGTCATCAGCATCCTCCTCTACCTCCTCGAAAAGATATGCCTTGTCTACAATACATTGCATCAGTCAAAGGCAGCTTCATGCAGTTAACCGCCCAACAACAACAACTCTTACTCTCGGAACTCGTGCCGTGTTGCAACAACCAGCAGCTCTCCTTCCTTCATTCACTCATCGTCCCACGTCTCAAGGTTGATTTCATTCGCCAATTGCCAATCGAGCTTGCGTTGCATGTGTTGTCGTTCATCGATGACGATCCTTATACCCTGGCACAAGCCGCTTGCGTGTCGTCATGTTGGAATGCTGTACTCAAAGACGAGTCGGTGTGGAAGTCCATGTGTCACAAACATTTGAAGAAGAGACGACGACCCCTTTTGCATGGCGGTAGTGGTGATGATGATGATGATGAGATGATGATGACCATGTCCTATCATGCGTATTATCAGCATATGCATTTAGTGGAGAAAGCGTGGCGTCATGGAGGGTCCGTGCGCACATGCACCAATTCAATACGATCAGCACTGGTGACAAGCCTTCAAATCGATGATCCTTTTATTGTCGTTGGATGCGATAATCACAACATTGAAGTTTTTGACAGCAACACGGGTGATTCCCTGTATACACTCTCAGGTCACCAAGGAGGCGTATGGGCTTTACAATTCGTCAAAAAGAATGATCATGAAACGATCCTTGTATCGGGTGGATGCGATAGGTAACTTTTTGCTTGTTGTTTGGTTGCATCATAAACTGATTTAGAGCATTACAAAGGATACTTCGTGTATGGGAGCTCAACACTGGCATCGAACAATACAGGCTGACTGGACATACATCGACCATTCGCTGCGTCAAGATGTGTATGGATGATCCACGAATAGCTGTCACTGGATCTCGTGATGCAACATTGAGGATTTGGGATGTGGAACAAGGTCAAGTGCGACATGTATGCTGGGGTCATCAAGCAAGCGTACGATGTATCGATATCCATGACCATCGAGTTGTATCAGGCTCTTACGATCACACAGCACGGCTTTGGGATATCAACACTGGCGAATGCATACATACCTTCATCGGCCATCGATCACAAATTTACACGATCCTTTTTGACGGCACACGCATCATTACCGGTTCGCTTGATTCTCATATCCGCGTTTGGTCAGCTGACACAGGTTGTTGCCTAGCGACGTTGCAGGGTCACACATCTCTTGTTGGTCACTTGCAATTATTACCTTCCGATCCATCGATCCTTGTGAGTGGTGGCTCTGATGGGTGCTTACGTATATGGGATCTCGATCATTATGAATGCAAAACTCGGATATCAGCACACGATAACTCGGTTACATGCATGCAATTCGATGATAGACATATTCTCAGTGGTGGCAGTGATGGCTGTGTCAAGTTATGGGATCTTGAAACGGGTGCACTCATTCGAACATTTACCGATCCAGCACGCACTGTTTGGAAATTACAGTTCAAGGATACCAAGGCTGTGGTCGTTTTGCAAAGACCTTCTTCATCGGATCAACCAACGACAACCATTGAATTGCATCACTTTGATCAGGATAGAATAGAATAGCTGTATTATGGAAACTTTTGTACACTAAAAACCATCACCACCGCCATTTGTATCACTAATCTCGGATCTGCCACCCGCTGAGGAAGGTGTCATCTTGTGGAACATGCCACCAATCGGGAGGTAACCTGAAATGAGTGCCACGCAGTATTATGAAATGCGTTACCATTGATTGAAAATATGAAGAAATCAAGGTATGTATTCTTACCTCCCACAGTTGCAATACCATTGTTGCCGTCGCATCGAGCATATTGATCCAAAAAAAAGTTGCCTTGGTGATCCAATGATGAGATGCCATCATCCCACAACATCTTGATTCTTGAATAACACAAACCTCCCATATACGACACCTTCACCAAGAATAACATCTCCATCTCAACCCGATCTTGCCTTCCTTGTGATACTTGAAAGATGCATATTCCTTCATCGACTTTGGATCTTGCTGCCTCGGCACATGCTGCTGCTCTCAACTTTGATTATCATCTTCGTTGTCAGGTCGTACGAATCCATCATACTTACCGATGACATCCCTGATAATATGGTCTTGGGTGTTGATGTTGGAGAGTATTTGAGCTTTGGATGGTTGTGCTTCTCGACCATAATGAAACAAGGCACGCATGTGTCAGCTTCTTGTATTATCCCACTATACAACGTGTTGCCGTTCTCGTGAGCATGACAATCGGGTGAACACTACCACAGCATCCATCTTGCGAAGTTCAGCGCGAGACATCGAGTTGGCTGATCCCATCGTTGGCGAAGGTCAAGATTGGAGAAACGTGAGCAAGATAACAGAAGCTGCGCCGATCTTGGTAACCCCTTCGACCACACTTACAATGAATCGTGTCTACATGGAATGGGCAGTTGCCATGGGAAACAAAGGTAGACGAATTGCTTGCCAGTGTCATGGAAATAAGATACGACGACTTTGGTTGATTTCTGATAGTGTCCTTTTCCACCAACAAGAAGAGGCGTTGACTTTGGGTGCAAAACTGTAACCAAGGAGCAAGAGTGTAGACGATCCAAGACCTCCCCTTCTTTCAGCGCGATTAGCAACTCAAGCAAAAAGACAATCCACTTTGGACAAGTGCGTCAGGCGTATAGTAGTTTCATACGTGATTACTGGTAGCATGGACGTGGGGCAATAAAAAGACAATGAATGATCAATTTGACCCCTCCACACGTTTTTCTCGTCTCATTGATAACAGACGTCTGGTTGATTATGTATGACAAAACAAGATGACGGCTTTATTCGCAATTAGAATAGAAGTGGGTGGGGTGGGGTTATACGTAGAAACAAATGGTGGGATTATTCATAGAAGTATTATCATTTTCATTGAGAATATTGGAGATGTAGTCGAGAGTACAGACAACTACCACAAGGTAGCCATCATTATTACTCGATCAACATGATTTATATAGTCAAAAGAGCATATCGGACAACCACCACAAGATGGCATCCTTTGACTCAATCAACTTTATTAATGTAGTCAAAAGACATTATTAATGTGGCCAACGGAGCTACTGTGGACAACCATCACTCAAGCAGATAGCCATCGCTTCACTCATAATCAACCTAATTTTAAGCTAATGGAGAATCCGAAGACTCTCAGATCAGCTCCTTACTTCCTGGCTTTGGGCTGCGACGGTGGCTAGTTGGTTGGGGGATAAGGGATGGGAGTTAACTCACGAGACTAGCTCACAAGTTACGTCAAGGTAATGAGCGAGATCTACTAAGCCTAGCAAAATCACAACTCATTCTTGGTAGTCATTTGCATTTTGCCGCCCCGTAGGGATCGCAGTGGACCAAACCACTTCAGGAAGAGTAAAGAAAAGAAAAAAAAAGAATTCGTGGGGAAAAAAGGCCCTTCTTTTATACCTTTTTTTCATTCTAATCCCGCTGTTCTTGATTTGGAAGGTTCCCAGTCACTTTGGGTCATGTGCACCTATGGAGACTGCCTTTTTTGGTATTCTTTAACTTGCAACTTGTGGGTCTGTAGAAAAGTACACTTTTTGGAGTGAAAAACATACTTCTTGGAAGTGAAGGTGAAGTGTAGTTGGGAATATGCATGGTAAGACACAACAATGAAGCGGAGACATGTGCCCCTTACTTTATACAGCTAAAATACGTGCACAGACCACTGTTTTGGGACACTTGTGTGAGATTAATTAGTGCAACAGTAGCAGTTGGGTAGTCAAGGTGTGCTAGGCAACGTGTTTGTTGGGTTGCTATGCAACCAATCGTGTGCTCATTTTATTATCCGTATGCAGTTTAGAATGGTCAGCAACGTGTGTGTGCAGTAAGCGGATGGTCCAACTCATTACAAGAATAAAACAAGTGAGGCTAAATTTTCAAGCGGCTACTTCTTACTCCTTGTCCTCCTTCCCCAGCTCAGCAACACTCGTACACCCAGCTCACCACGCCACAACGTTCACGCGTCTTCCATCTGTTATCCATGTACAAGTTGATCTTTCGAATGGGCCCGATCTTTTGTCGTCGTCAGCAGCAACCGCATTGTGCCGCACGGATCTGTACGGCTTCTTTTATTTCTGATCCACTCCATCTCGCCTTTATTGGAGCCTCCTTCATATACTTGCTTCAACGTCGCCGTCAATGGAATCTAGGTTTGTGTTGACATTGACAGGACCAAGGTTTTATTCTCTTCAAGTCCAAGGCAAGGTTACGTAGCAAGGTGTTTCTGGTTGGCGTGATCAAGCTATCATTCATGTGCAAAGGTGCCCTTTCGCAACGCTGCCTTGACTTTTACTGTGTCCGTACGCTGTCTATTGACACCGTGGAAGGATCGAGTGAATGATAATGATGAACTTGGTATGTAACAAGGAGACAATGAATGATGGAAAGGTTCTTTGTTCATGTAGAAGGATTGGATGGATGGTTTAGGATCAAGGTAAGTTGCCTTTGACACGTTCAGGTCAACATCATGGGGACAGCAAGGAGGAACAGGTGTTGGCGATCTTTGAATCGAGGATACTTCAAGTATGCGATGTGACGATGTATCATCTTTATTATCGTTTACCGCTCCCAGCGCAGCTTCTTCGGCACGTTTATTATATAGGAAATGGATAGAGCAGGATGCTGAATAAACAGTGGGCTTGATATACCTTGTCACACACCGTTTCTTTTTCATGAGAATGAACTTAAAATTGAAGCAAATGGGATTCATTATTGAGTGAGATTTGAGAAGCTTGGAATGATCAAAGAAGCAATGAGGTCAGGGTGATGTCACAACAAAGAACAACCTCGTTACAACAATGACCATCATTTTCCTCACAGCGCTGCATTTCCTCTTTCTGCTGAGTAGCACCATTAGAAGTGGATAAAAAGATGCCATAACATACAGGCTCATGATAAGCTACAAAACATGATCAAATCAAGTCAAGAAGCTGTAAGGGTGATTGACAAGTCCATGTGATAGGAATTCACACGTTATGCATCTCAAGGCTATATAAAGTGCGTATTTTCTTCCCATCATTCACAACCATCTTTTATTGTGCTTTCCATGTCTGATCGCAAAAACTACTACGAAGGTCTTGAAAGAGGCCCAGAGCATCCCGAACCTGGTTCTGCACCCACTAGGCCAGGGCTGAACAATCCTCGAACCACAGGTACATCGATGACAACAATGTAGCTATTGATTTTCTCATACCTACTATGTATAGCTCTCATTGCTGCATCACGCCGTTTGGAAAGAGATGTCGCATCCAGACGTTCCAGTGCTCAATTAGCGAGTATCAACTATAGCGAAGGTATAATATGCATGATCGATTTCCTCATTGTGTGTGTGTGTGTAACCCATCAGCGTTGACATTTTACCACGACCACCCAAATATGTAGAAACGGGCCATCCTCTTTACATCACTGCTGATGGATACGCTCTCAAGCCTGAGCAGGTGCCTGAACACATCAGACAAGAAGTAGACAGAAAATCAAAGAAATGATTTAAGATCCCTCAAGTGCTCGCTGTATTTGCTCACTTTGCTCAATACCAAACCATCATTTCTTTTCTCGCTTGGACCTTACATTTGTACACAGCGTCGATGGGGTGGTGATGATTAATGTCATACATTGGTGATGGTGGTGTATTGGGTGGGCTGAGCATTATGATAGCCATTGGCTACAGCTATCAAGGGGGCTTAATCCCCGTGGTTTTACAGATGCCTATTATCCTATATAGTATACCCGTTGTGAAGGGCACGCGAGACAATGGTTGCTCAAATCGAGCCTCATTCATGGTTACAATGACAAAGCCACTTGAGAGATCCGCTCGAGCAAACATGATGATCCATCCCAAGTTGACTATTCGATCATCGATCATGCATAGGGGGTGGGGTAGCATGCAGTAAATTTATGATGATGATGATGGCGATGGTCAATGTGTACATTCACGAGATGTCAATGTTTATTTTTCATTGTTTTGAACAATGAGCTAATGCAGTACACAGAATATTATCTAATCAAAAGACGAGGGGGGGACGTGTTCGGCACATGTTCATTCCGCCAAGCCCAAACGGCCGACCTGCATTATCCCGCATATACTACATTATATATAAACCATCCTCTCTACTAGTGCTTGTCATCCCTTATCCTTCTCTTTTTCTGCTACAGTCATTTTCATTCAGTGACGACGCATTTATATTCAAATGCATCATATTGCATACATCATCTTGTCTTTACTACCATGTTTTTCATTTTGCTTCTTGGCTCTTCCCGTTGAAAAATACAATGCTCGGCAACAAGCTTTATTGACCTTTATCTTGGTGTGCGATTTGGGGATCCCATTCTACTTTGCTGGCACCTATACCCCAGCGATTGGAATGTGTACGGCAGTGATCTCATGGGTCAGTGGTCTCAAGATGGCAGTATGGCTCTTCTGCATGCCACAAGAAGAACGACGCAAACGTCCCTTTTACGGCACTCTCTTTTATTGGCGTGATCGTCCAAAGTCAACATCGTCGGCATCGGTTGAAGTCGCCCATGACAAAGTGAATGGCAATGCAGGTCCTCCTTCGAAACCAGCCACGTCGTCGTTGCCAAGCAAGCAGGAGAATCAAACCCGCGTCGTATCGTTGAGGAGGTTTCTATGGAGCTTTGTAAAGCACGAGGTCACTTTTAGCCTTTTACATGTGGCAATATGCAGTCTGGATCGTCATCAGGCTATCGCTGTGTTCCAGCATGTAGTGGATTTCTTTCAACTACGAACAACAACTTGGCATAAGGAACTCACTCCAAGTGCAATCATGTCAAGCTTTTGGTTGTGCAGCATGTTCTCCATCTACTTGCAAGGCCAAATGCAGCTGACTTACGACTTGTTCCTCATCACCTTTGGTATCACGTATCATATCCTTCCATGGTTACGGATGAAATGGGTTCAACAAGGCGTTGTCAAGGACTACATTGAGCAAGCTGCCGACATGCCACCTGCTTTTGATTCTCCTTGGGCATCCACCAGTCTGCGGGATTATTGGTAAGTACTACAATCATCATCATCATCATCATCATCATCATCATCATCATCATCATCATCATCATCATCATGAGGGATGAGAGTAAGTGTCTCATTTCATTTATTGTAGGAGTAATCGATGGCACAAGTTTTACAATGCATGTTTCTATCGCTTAGCGTATCGTCCGGTACGACGTCTTTGTGGAGGGATTCCTTTACTCAGAAAAAGTTTACCCACTTGGGCTGTCTTTGTACTATCGGGTCTTATGCACGAATATTATTTGTACTGCGCAGCAGGGCCAGCATTATACTTCTCGGGTGCAGGTGGATGGCAGCTGATATTTTTCTCGATTCAACCCATTGGTATCCTCATTGGTGATGCATTCTTTTCGTCCGGCTGGCCGGGACGATTGTGGGCTATTACATGGATGGTGCTCATGTCGCATTTGTTTGTGATACCATTTTTATTGTGCAACTACTTTGACACTTTGGTTGTACGCGCTTCCCCTTTAGATTCATTGCTCTTTTCTACATTCCTCGACACCGCTAACAGTGATATCCTTAATGACTTGTCCTCATAGACGACCATCCATCCTCCTCTCCCACACATACTTTCAATAGACCTTTTTTATTAGTTGCCATTATACATCTCTTCATGTGATAAGAACGATTCATTGTTGTTGCCTTTGGTTTATCGGGATATACACGTATGGCAGGGAAATGTGGAGAAACGACGTAGTGGGGATCCTCAGCTGTTGATGGTAGTATCGTGCTCCAGGTACATACAATCAATGCAAGCTGCATCAGCAACGTGAAAGCATCCAACACCTAGCAAAGAAATGAATAAGACACGAATAATGGAGTCGATCCAAAATCACTCACGTTGCATTGGTGCGAGAAAAAGAGGCCTACCATTCCTAGGAAGGAGTACGATTTCAGAAGGTATGCTTATCCGCTGGCAGCTTCGTTTTCATCAATGTGGTCGACTCCTTTGATCTTTAGAACACGTGTGAGGTGCTGTCATATAGATTGCCGCTTCTGAACACAAATTTACTTACCACAATATGGCTGTTCAAGTCATCCAGACCTTCTTCAGGAGGCACAAGAGATGATGCATTCGTAGGTCGATATCACAATGGAAGCAGCAGTCATCAAACAAAGCGCATAAATGGGTAACATCCCATAGCTCCATATCTTCCTTCACTTGGTGCATGAGCCTTGTACTCAATAGTTTTGTCGTTGGATGTGATGCCGTTGTGCGTGAAATGATGCTCTGCTGATGGAACTTTTGCGCGAATGATGCGGATATTACACGTGTACGGTGGTGACATCTTTGAAGACACGCATGAATAACCCCAACAAGGAGCCTAGATCGACGTTGTAAGCATCAAGCGTAATATCAACCATCATCAAGCTATTCGACCTTGACTCACCATTTCACTCTTTCGTCAACAGCATCATATAGAGACCATGGTAGAGATATAGCTGTTATGCCTTGAAAGATATACATAAACGCCCCGATTGCTTCATTGCTTATGCGTTATTGGAATGCTGCTTGGCAACTACATGGGAGGAACATACACGGGATCAGTTTCCAAGCCGACGCTTTGAATTTTTTCAGGCACAAGGTGCTCACCTATGAGGTAGCCATCAAATGTCGGTGAACGATGGAGGTGGGTTGTAGCATCGAGTGGCAATGGGTTGAAGTTGTGCAAAAGTGGGTGAAGGAGAAGATGACAATGAGCCTTTTATCTCAGCCAACAACACCATATACAACAATGAAACGAATACAAGCGAAGTATGCTTTGAAACAAAAACTGCCTAACGATTTATTTATTTCTTGGCAAGATAGTTGAATAATTTTAGCGATTAGAAGAGTTGAAAGCAAAATAAAGCGATTACCCAGGTTGAAAAGGGCCAGAGGAACGCGAGGTGTGAAAGATCAAAGGGTATTAGCTGTTCATACACCCCTCAACCCCCCGGAATCGCTCCCATGAAAAAATATAAACACGCAAGACATTTTCTCTGTATAATTTAGCACGGAGCTGTTGAACTCTTAGCTTACCTTTAAACCCCAACTTCTGTTGAAAAGTTAGGCCCCACCTTCTGTTGAAAAGATGGGTAAATATAAGAAAATATGATAAAAAGAAAGAAAGAGGTACCAATTCCTTCACAATACACTTTAGGCTTGAGCCTTTTGTGCACGGAAGTACTTGGCAACCTCAACCAAGTTGATCAAAGCGGCTTCGGTCTCTGGCCTAGAGAATTGAAATATAGGATTAGGAATCAATCAAACAATCAAACATCATCCCCATAGATATCCATCAACCAAATACATACCATTGTCTGCTCTTCAAACCACAATCAGGGTTGGCCCAGAGAAGGTGTTCGGGAATGTACTTGAGCATATCGGCGAAACGGGTCTTCATCTCCTCAACGGAAGGCACACGAGGCGAGTGAATGTCATACAAACCAGGACCAATCTCGTTGGTGTATTGCTTGGTCTCGAAGATCTTGAGAAGCTTCTCATCAGACTTGGAGTTCTCAATAGTGATGACATCAGCTATAAAAGTAAGAGAAAGATGAAATTAGTATCCAAGTCATATACAACAATGATAATCATAATCCAAAACTTACCATCAAGATCACGAATAGCATCAAAGATATCGTTGAAATCAGAGTAGCACATGTGGGTGTGGATTTGAGTATCATCACGAATACCAGAGGTGGCAAGGCGGAAGCAAGCAACGGACCAATCAAGGTAGGCATCCCAATCAGCACGGCGAATAGGCAAACCCTCACGAATAGCAGGCTCGTCGACTTGAATGCAAGGAATACCAGCAGCTTCAAGGTCAACAACTTCATCACGAAGAGCAAGACCAATTTGGGAGCAGATTTCCTTTTGAGGAATGTCATCACGAACGAAGGACCACTTCATCATGGTGACAGGACCAGTCAACATACCCTTCATAGGCTTGGAGGTAAGAGATTGGGCATACTTGATCTCCTCAACAGTCATAGGACCACGACGAGCGACATCACCAAAGATGACAGGGGGCTTGACGCAACGAGAACCATAAGAGACAACCCAGCCGTTTTGAGTAAAGTCGTAACCATGAAGCAAGTGACCAAAGTGCTCAACCATGTCGTTACGCTCAGGCTCACCATGAACCAAGACATCCAAGCCAACCTTCTCTTGGAAATCGACAACCTTCTTCATCTCGGCCTTGATGAAAGCATCATAGTCGGCATCGGAAAGTTCACCCTTGTTGTGCTTTTGGCGGTTGATACGGATCTCCTTGGTTTGAGGGAAAGAGCCAATGGTGGTGGTAGGGAAAAGAGGCAACTTGAGCTTCTTGACTTGAGCATCACGACGCACAGGGAAAGGAGAAGCACGCTTCCAGGCCTCAGTAGGGATCTTGGCAACACGATCACGAACAGCAGGGTTGACGGTTTGAGGAGAAGTGCGACGAGACTCAACAGCAGCAGCATTGGCAGCCAAAGCATCCTTGACAGCATCACGGCCTTCGTTCAAAGCCTTGGCAATGACAACAATCTCGGCACACTTTTCAACAGAGAAAGCCAACCAGCTGAACAACTCGGGGTTGATCTCCTTGATCTTGGTTTCGAAAGAGGTGGAGAAAGGAGAATGGGCAAGAGAGCAAGAAGGAGCAATGAAGACGCGATCCTTGCCAAGAGCAGCAACAGCCTTCTCAGCCAAACCAATGGACTTGTCCAAGTTGTTGATCCAGATGTTACGACCATCCACCAAACCAAGAGAGAGCACTTGATCAGCCTTGATCAAAGGAAGAATGGTGTCAAGTTCCTCAGGGGCACGGACGAAATCCAAATGAATGGCATCCACAAAGTCCTTGACAGCATAGACGTTGTTCTCAACACGACCAAAGTAAGCAGCAACCAAAAGCTTGAGAGTGGATTGCTCCTTGAGGGTCTTGTAAGCCTTCTCCAAAGCAAGCTTGACGTTGGCATCCAAATCAAAGATCATGATAGGTTCATCAATTTGCACCCAATCAGCACCAGCCTCAGCCAATTGCTTCAAGAGCTCAACATAAAGAGGAAGCACCTTGGGCAACAAGGAAAGGGTATCAAAAGATTCACCAGTCTTTGCAGGCTTGCCAAGATACAAGAAAGAAACAGGGCCAACAAGAACAGGACGAGTGTGGATACCAAGAGCCTTAGCAGCCTTGAATTGCTCAACAGCACGGGGTTGTTGAAGAGAGAAAGCTTGGTCAACCTCGAATTCGGGGACGATGAAATGGTAGTTGGTGTCGAACCACTTCTTCATCTCCATAGCAGGGACATCCACCTTGGGGGTAGTCTCAGTAGCAGGCTTTTGAAGACCACGGCCCATGGCAAAGTATTGGTCAAGAGGGTTCTTGATGTGCTGGTAGCGTTGGGGGATGGCACCAAATTGTTGAGCAGTGTCGAGAACACGATCATAGAGAGTGTATTCACCAGAAGGAATGTGCTCAATACCAGCATCCTTTTGCAACTTCCAGTGGGAAGCTTGAATGTCTTGAACGCCCTTGTGGAGATCAGCTTCAGCGATCTTGCCGGACCAGTAGGACTCGACCAACTTCTTGAGCTCACGCTTAGCGCCGACGTAGGGGAAACCGAGGTTAGTGGCAACAACCATTATGATAAAAAGTGATAAGAGATGTGTGAATACGGAAAAAGAAAACGCAAACGCGCATCGTATTTATACTGAGTAGGTTTAAGTTAATGCACCAGATGAGATGGGAAAATTTTCCACCAATGACATGGTGTTGTAAATTGTATCAGATGCATGTTAGCATGATCCATGCCCCACACACTTGTTTCCTTTGTCTCTTTTTTTGCCATCAAAACCCGCTTTACATGCATACCTACACCATTTGGAAAACAACCATTCCCTTTATCACCCTCACAGTATTATCCACACGATGGTTTATGATAGCGTAAAGGTGTGTATTTGCTGTTTGCAGCAAGGGTCGTGTGATTATTGTGTTACAAATCGGATCTGTCATATAGAACGTTTCCCCATTTGCAGGACCGTCGTCGTGGTAAAGATCGGCGATGGATTGGCCATCAAATAGAATTGCGTGTAGGTTGCGTAACATCTAAATCATGCAGCCAAAGCATGTTCCTCTTCATAGCCAATATGCTCTGCTCAATGATGAGGTAAACCATAATTTAAATGCAACCTAATCTTGTCATCCATAAGGGATGCAGCGGCAAGGCCACCTTTGCTTGTGCTCCATAGTCATGGTTGTGGAATGATCATGTGCTTCCAACGCTTAATAAACATTGGCGGGCTTCCTAATCGTAATTTCATATGCCATCTACATCAGTCTAATGAGCCAATCATGGCCCTTGAACCAAATAGGAGTCCATCACTCTTCCAAATCACACCATCATCCCAATAGCAGATCTCCCTTCCACAATCAATCCAAAAATACATCTCCCGCTTTGATGCAAATGAAACATTGCGAGACATAGCTGACCACAATGATGGGGATGTTGTTGACTCATAGCTCGCTGGGATGCGCGGCTTGCCAAAAAGTCCTTGATGCACTCCATAGTCATCCCACATTGCACCCTCCCATTAAAATTTTTATAATGAAGTGTTGGTTCTTTTATAATACAAAGTTGATGAGCATGTCCAAGAGCATCTTGCGTGAAAAGATTCAGGTTCGAGAGGGGCAATCTCAATACCAAGGTTTGGATGTAGTGTGTTCATGCATTTATACAAGAGGTGTCCGCCCTATTTAATTTCCACTTCTTCCCTCTTCCTTCCATTCTCAACTGTTGCCCCATTCATGTGTACAACTACCACCTGCGAACGATTGTCCTGCTTCAACCCCATCATGTCAATGCTACTACTCTCTCGATCCGATTGCCTTTGACTGAATGGCAAGCCCATGGCGTGTACACAGCCTTCTTGTCACTCTTCTACAACACACGAGTCCCTTGACACGACACACGCTCTTGTACACTCCTCTACCACGACCAATCGTAACAGCATTCATTCCAGCAGTTGCTATTAGCAAGGGCTTTTACTCCATTGTCTCAAACAGCGTCCTTTACTTGCAGCAACTTGCCTTACAGCCTTGTTCACGTTGACAGCAGATAGCCATTGTATAGAAGCAGCTTTATTTACGAGTACCAACTTTGTACAATACATACAACTTCTTGTGGATATGGATATGGATCTGAATATTGGTTTGCTATATGGGATGGAAGGATATGGATATACTCAACGCGTTGAATCCCTTAAGCCATTGAGAACGTGATGTCTACTTTGGATGAAGCCATAAGTCATCAACTTTGCCACAATACAAGCAAATCTTCAGCTGGTTGAGCTGCAATCAAACATGACCAACAAAGAGAGAGTGACCAAGGATCGGATGGAAAAGGAGGCATATCAACAGCAATCACTGGGGCTCCTTTCTCCCGACATGTTGGGTTTGGGGTGGTGATCGTGGATGGATGAATGCAAATGAGGATCAAGGGTTGTGATTACTTGTCGCGTTGTCAGCAGGAACGTTGGATGGTACCACGTGGACATGGCTGAGGATGATGATGGATGGGATGGAATTGACGAAAGGTGTTTACAGCAATGGACGATATTGCAGTACTCGATTCAATGCATGCAGCAGCTATTTCCAATCATGGATGAAGGACAATACAATGACGCATTCTTCCCCGTTGCCTCTATGTGATTCAACCCCCATACCTTTATTCGATATCCAATGCTGTTCTTTTATCATATTTACTTCATAAACATCCACATTGCAATGTAATATTACTTTCATTGAATGAAAATCGGATTCAACATGTTATTAAGAAGGGCATCGTTCTATCATTGTATGTGCAAGATGTGGATCATTGGATTGAGAGGGTGGATAGAAACTTGAAGGCTGAAATAAGAGGGATCGGCTCAGTTGCATCATCGTACTACGTATCATTCGCCAAAGCTTAGCTTGATTCAATGTAAGCTTAATTCATTATGTTCAAGAAGAGTGACTAGTGATGCAATGTTATACAAGTACATGAGCATACCATGCTGATCTATGGCGATTTCCAGCTAACGCTATCTTGTGCAACTTTATATAAGAACGAACCATTCTATACAGGCTATCACAGGCGGATCCCTTACCATAGGCAGGGAGGGGAAGGATTGATCATGCACACTCCACCAATAGGATGGATCCTGGCTCCGGGTTTGTTACACAACCAGGGCCATTTGCCTCACTATCTCTCACATGAGTGAGGCGATTGACAATGAACAAAGGCCACTTTTCATATAGCATCACGCTTACAACATAGTAAAAACTCATAAAGGCGCCCGTAACTCAAAACATTACAGTCAACCGTGGGGTCTTTAATAGAACAGTGTTGCTCGGCGGGGAGCAAGGAATCATGTGTGCCAGTTTCACGATCGTGGTGGCCATTCCCAGATTTCGCAATGTTGCTACCAGCCAAACTGGATCTGGGGGGTCAACCTCTTTGACGACGACGACCAAAAATTATTTTTTGGGCTAGTTGCGACATTGAACGTGAAACTTTCACACAAGGTGCTGTTGGCCAAGCCGAGCCCATTGCTCTAATAAAAACCTCACGTTTCATTGTAAAGTTTGGAGATACAGCCACCTTTATGTTTGTAAGCGTGATGCTATATGAGAAGTGGTCTTTGTTCATTGTCAAGTAGGTGGACCCTGGCAGAGCAAAAGATGCAGAGGGACCTCTTTGTGTAACTCAGTTACTTTGCATGACTGCAAGGATGGAAGGATGATATTGCATACTATTGACAATAGCCCATACATTGGCAACTAATAGCCACTTTTGTGCATTCCGAACTTTTGTGCATTCCATCATAATGGAACGATGCTCCTCCTCCAGACATTCATTACCATGATTCAATTATCTTGATCCGAGCTGATTTGGCTGAGCTACGGTCAAAGAGAGATTACATCAATCCACACATCAGCATACATTCGGATGTCTCAGCTGATTAATCCTTGTTCGACCGTAACTCAACCAAATCAGCTCGGATCAAGCTACTTGAATCATGGAAATGAATGTCTGGAGCACGAGCATCATTCCCATCACGTGAATTTCGCAACAATGCTGATTGGATAAAAGTGGCTATTAGCTGCCAATGTATGACCTGAAATGAGGGCTGCGTACCTATCATGCATTGTCCCTGAAGTCCTGACTTTTTAGCTGAGTTACACAAAGAGGTCCTTCTGCATCTTTGGCTCTCCAGGGTCTAGCTATTTGACAATGAACAAAGACCACTTCTCATATAGCATCACGCTTACAAACATAAAGGTGGCTGTATCTCCAAACTTTACAATCAAACGTGGGCTCTTTAATAGATCAAGGTGCTCGTCGGGGTCAAAGGAATCTTGTGTCAAAGTATGAAGTTCATTGTGGGCAATCCCAGATTTCGCAATGTCGCTACCAGCCAAACTGGATCTGGGGGTCGACCTCTTCGACGACGGCGACCAAAAAATATTTTTTGGGCTAGTTGCGACATTGAACGTGAAACTTTCACACAAGGTGCTGTTGGCCAAGCCGAGCCCATTGCTCTAATAAAAACCGCACGTTTCATTGTAAAGTTTGGAGATACAGGCACCTTTATGTTTTACCTATGCTGTAAGCGTGATGGAGTTGCTTTTTCCTAGTGGATGGTGTCGGCTGCATTAACGGAAAGACGAAGAGCTGAGTGAAACCGCACCTGGTGGTTACACAGACACGTCCTTGACAGGTTGCTACACAAGTGGATGGTAATGATGATTGCCTTTTGTGAAGGTACGTAAGTAAACAACGACCGATAACAATGTTGCATCAAAGTAATTGGTTTATATGTGTACGTATACATCACGAGTGTATGCTTGTAGGTACATGATACGTCCACGTTGGGTTGAGCTGCATAAAACTGATTGGTTTAATAATGCCGCACGAACTTCATGACGCCACCTCCTGGCCACAGTAAAACCATGTATAGCTTAATTATGAGGACTATACTCAATTGTAATCTCTATCAGTGGTTGGCTTGTTTACCCAAATGTATAGTGTATTGTTGGGGTGCATATTTACAGTGGCAACTGTAGCAAGCGGGGTGGCGTCGTGGGGTGCATAACAACGAAAGCGAAGACAAAGAACTCCTTCTTCTCCTCTCCCACTTCACAGTGCAAGGTGAGACTAACTCCATCTACAAAGCACAGAGCATTAACTGCTGCCATTGTTGCCCTTCAAAGCAGGGAGCCAATGGGCGAACAGGTGGGCAATGGCGACACTTCCCAGTGACAGCAAATACACGCGTGCGATCCACCCATGACTCAAGCTCCCATTACAATACAACATGTACGTTCACTTTATTATTCAAGTTGGATATTGAGATACTAAAGTTACGTGTAGTTTGCTGTTCTCTCGTTTATACAAAATCCAAGAGGTCCGTTGTGTCTTGCGTGTAATCTTCCTATGGTTGTCGTCAAGGAGACATAGTTACTTTGGGTATGTAGACACGAAAAGAGAATGTAGTTCACGTTATCTTAGTTGCATTTATTATAGCTTGAATACGTTCGATCATCCTAACGGTGGCAGCAACAAGTCATTGATATCGAAGCAAGAGCGCTTGACATGTGTCACTGGTAAGTATTGTTGGTATTGGATCAACAAAGCAAGACCCTTACAAGGAAACAGCAGCGGCACATGATGGATGGAATGGAGCTGCGGCTATTGGATGCAAGAACGCTATTGAGAAATGCACCAAGGTACAGTGTTCATTCTGGGATTTGTCGCCTTCAAGTGCACTTATGTACGAAAGTAATAGAGTGGCTCTCTCTCAACTGTATCGTTACACCATGGCAGCACTTCAAGGATGTCATTGTACTGCATACTTTTTGACGATTGGATGGCTCGTGTACAGGATAGGCGCATTCAACGCTATGTATGTGGAGGAAAGAACGAGTGAATATAGTCGCCCTTCTTACACCTGGTTTGATCCCCCAAAGCGACTCAAAAAGGTCACTGTTGATCTTGCCAAGACCATGTCCATGCCCTTGGAGCTGACAGCAGCAAACGATGCACGTCGATTTCTATTGCGGTGGATCAAGATGCAAAAGGTTAGGAAAGTAGAAAAGCTACTGAAGGACATCCCCTGTCTCCATCATGTATCTTTCATTCGCGATAGTACACCATCACTCTTCGAATCACGTCATCATCCAAATAGCAGATCTCCCTTTCACAACCAATACAAATATACACCCTTTGATGCAAATGCAACATCTTCGAGATGTAGCTGATCCAAATTGTTGGGATATTGAGTCATAGCTTTGCTGTGATGTGGAAACATAGAGAACATTGGAGACATGAGTGATATGGAAGGTCAATGTATATGGGAAATAGCATCCTTGTGCGTAGTATATCAGTGAAAGAGAACAACATGCAACACAAATATGAATTTTAGACAACACAATCTCAAGATGATGAGCACTTCAGGGGTCATGTGAGAAAAGGAAACACGTCGAATCCATGCATCTTTATGTCTCATAAAAGGTGATACGAGCAACTGGGTAGGTATATTATGTGCTGTTGTATATAATATCCAAGGAGTGTGTTATTGACTGGGTCGAATAAGGAAAAGGAGAGAGAGATCAGCAGCCCTTGTATAATTAATTGCAGCCTAGGAGACCCTGTCTATCTAATGTGAATGGGCCATCTATCTTTATTATTTTTCTTCTTTTTGTTAATTGTACTTTACATCCTTAATCTTTTACACCAACCTTTATAATCAAAAGAACAATACACATCGTGCATTCATGTCGTCGGTAAAAATGAAAAGAGATGGGTGGAACAAGGAGGGGAGTTTCGTTAACCATGTCGCTTGTTTAAAGTCATCCAGCGAGTTGGAGCGTCTTGTTCTCAAACACAATCCTCAAGGCGTCATTTACACCCGGCATCTCCTCACATTCCTTGACACCATTGAGCAGACTCATGGACATGCCTTGTTGATCTCTCCTCAGAAGGCGGCGATCGAGCCCTACTGCAAGGCCAACCCCAATGTTGAAATGACGACAAGCGATATCGTTGCCCTGTTGACGCTTGTACCACCCCAACTGCATAACAACAGTGACCAGGTATGCATGCCGCATCTTCTTCTCTTGCCCATCTTCCACTGAAACAACACCTATTGATAGGACAGCAATCCTATGATGCAAAGCAATGAGCAAGAACTACTGGAAAAGGAAGCAAGACGTTATCGTCGATCCATTCAGCTTACGCGTAGCATTCGACGATCTGAGCACAATTTGACATCTTTGACACGTGAGAATGAGGACCGTATCGTGCAACTCCAAAGCCGTGTCGATGATATGAACTCTGAAGTGGCTCGTCAGAAGCATGAAATCCAAGAATACAAGAAAAAGGAAAGCACAAGCCTACAGCAAATTGATGCGGTAAGTATGGATTGTTGGATACTGCTACATACTTGATTCTCATACTGCAAGTATTAGCTTGAGGCGCATATTGCATCCATTGAAAGCACTGAGACCAACCAGAAAATGATGTACCGATCCATGAAGAAATTATACAATGAAAAGTGCCGTAAGTGTTTAATGAGCCAAGATCAGGTGACTAAGCATGCTCACTACTATTCTTAGTGGAAGCACGAGAATTACATGATATGCTGCATCAAAAAGCACGCGTATTGGAAGAAACAGAGCGGCTATGTCAATCCATCAACAATGAATTCCACCATCTCAAGTATGAAAAGAGCAAATTATTGGCTATGCAAAGCACCCTCGAACGAGAACTTGCGACTTCTCGATACACCCATGTACAGCTAGAAGAACAACGCAATGAAAATCAGCGGCTTAAAGAGATCATCGGTGGACTCCAATCCAATCTACTGCAGGCAGATCAAGATAATGACCAACAACTTTTACGATACGATGATGGGTTGGATTACGCGATGAATGATAATACTAGTGGTGGAGCTATGGAGGATATAAGCCAAGGTATGTAAAGGCTAAAAGTGTGGTTGACATGGTAACCATGACTACAACTGATATCATTTCATTTACTTGTACATAGTGAGACAAGAGTTAACGCAGCTCAAGTATGCATTGGATCAAGAGAATATGTCACTTGCAGCAGAATTGTTACGGTTTGATGCGTTTGACAACCCCACAGAGACCTGCCGAGATGTATGTGATGGCCATAAAGTAAGTACAAGGTGGAGAAATCATACCGCCAATCGAGCTCTATCATCTAATTCATGCAAAGATGCCCACGGCTATTTCCTCAGCACACCAAGAGACATTCAACAACAAGGACACAACAGCACTTACAAACACGGCAACCACTTTTGCTTTGTACACGCTATTGGTTTACATTTTCGGCATTGTCACCTCTACGTTTCTTTTGGAGAACGCTGCCGGTTCAAGTAGTGGGTTGGAAGCATTCATGACAATGGCATCATCATCACAAGCAGTGCCAGGGTCTTCTTTTGCAACGAACAAGCTATTAGAAGTAATATTGTATTGGATCGAGAAGATTGTGTTCGAGAAACGGGTGATGGCTAATTAAAAGTTGCAACTATTTCATACATACAATGGACCCATTCGTTGGATGCTGCTACAATGAAAATTCACAATGATGAACTCCCCGGATCTCCCACACCCCACCCCCAAAAGACGATCGGGTAGTACTCCTTGATTGATGTACATAAGGCGGGCTTGATTGCAAAAGGAAACCTAAAGAGGAGAGTGTGTGTGAAAAGATCATCATGATGTCTCCCTCTTGATAATCCCAAAACCTGTATTTTGCTCCTCTTTGATCCACGCACTCGGTATCCTGATTCCTTTATTTTCCTTGCACACGGTGTTCCTGATACCCTTGTGAGGATCGCCATGGTGATCCTTGCTGCTTGTTCCTTGTGATGATCAAACACGATGTTTGGAAAAGCCGATGGTTGTTCATTTTCCTGAGATTAGGGATTTGACATGCATGTGATTTCATGGGTGAATCTTATTCCAGCCCGTGTGCTGCAATCCAACCCGGTGGCTAAATCATGCAAGGCCTGGGATAAACCAACCATTTAGAGCATTTTCATTTACGCAGTCAACAAGCCGCTCTTTCTTTCTCACCTTTTCCACCTTATCGAGTTTTCTCACTTTTCCCACTATATGGAGTCTCGTCTGCAAAAGAGACGTCGTATTGGTAAGCGATGGGTCAACACTTGGATCTTGATCGGGATTTACGTATGCAAGACGCGTCTTCTGTTTCCCGAAACTAAAACACGAAACGTTACTGTAGCCCTTGAAACTGCTCGTGCTGGTGCTAGTCAAAGTAAGTGCATGGTAGCTTGGAACCATTCATTGGATTGATTATTGACTTTATTCCATTAGCTACTACTGATTCTTGTAAATCCCAAGCTCCTGTTGAAAAGTTTATTAAGGGCCATGGATGGATTCACTTACAGCTGCTGGTATCCTAACCACGCCATTCTATAGCACGTCCTCGAATCCCTGTTGGTATCGTAACCATCCCTATTTCACTGTCACCACTTAGCCCTTTACCTCAAGCTCTTGTTGATGCATCTACACGCCCATTACAACAAGTGAAACAGGAAGAGGAAGAGGAACGACAACCAGCACAGCAACAATTGACACAGCAACCGAAACTAGAACCTCGTTCATCTTCACCACAACTACCAAAACAGGAAGACAAACAACCATCAGTACAGCAACATCAACCAAAAGAAGAACCTTGCTCACCTTCTCTTCCTCCATCATCAACACCAACAACACCACCACCACAACAAAATCCTTCTCCATCACTATCTCCATCACCACCACCACCACCTCGTCGTCGTCGTCGTCGGCGCAGACCTGACAATGAGCGTCAAAGGTTGGATGATAGCATCGGTGTAAGTGAACATCAATCAATGATAATTTATCTACTCACACATGTGTCATATTAGCGTCAATTCAGACGAAGCCAAAATATTGAAAGAGAACGACATGTTGAAAATAAGAATTATCGTCGTCGTCGTGTCGCTGCTTTGGTTGCCGAGCTCGATGATTTAGATGATGAAGGTCGTGATGATCTGCTGTTGGAAAAATTGGACTATATCGCTGGCCAAGTTGTAGGCATTGTAACCCGCTGTCATTACCAACACGATCAACAAAGCTGCCGCCAAGTCATCGAGCGCCTTTTAAATGATGTTGGTGTTGACATGGATGACGGCTTCGAGGTTCTCTTTCAGAACGTAATTTCCCGACTTGAGCCTTATCGACATCTTGGTCTCCACATTGACCCACCACCCCCATACGATCCCAACGACTTTATAAACCAAATTACGTGGCATCGCTTGATGACCAATGCATACATCACTTTTACTGCCATGAACACCCTTTAGTTTCTGTAATACTTTTTATTCTCGCATGCTCACTCACACTCACATTCATTCACATTGACACATAAATTGCACGTTTTCCTAATCATATCAAAAAGGGCATTGTTGCTAGGCAACATCATAGGATAGCTTTTTGGGAAACAAAAGGCTTGTCACCAGCCATGCCATGTTCACATGTTTACACAAGGATGTCTTATACAGTACAATGTTTATTGAATGGTGCAAGCACCGCGTGTTTGATCTTCAATCATGACTTGACCAGTTTCAAGCTGGGACTGGAAACCCTGTTTCATGTAATAAAGCACATAGTTGAATGCATGTAACCACGCATCACGCATGGCGGGGCTAAACTCGGTGTCTAATCGTTGGTAGAGTGCAGATACTAATGCCGGGCCTACATGGTCGAGCATGTCTATTTGAATTTGGTGATGTACTGCATGGCGTGCACCCAATGCTTTTAGCTGTTCACACATCCACCGTTCTTCTTCGTCATCGAGTACTTGTTGTATTTGATGCATTTCACGAAGCGATTTGACAGCTCTATATCGTGCTGGAAGGATCGCGGGTGCTCGTACCACATAGGATACAATCCCTGTTAATGCACGTGCTTGTCGTTTCACATTGGGAAAAAAAGTCGTCAAATTTGGATCCAATGCAAAAAGGGCTTCAAAGAAAGCATGATGGAAGGCTGCTGATGCAGATGAGGTTGCGGAGGATAACAGTGTTGGATTGTCAATGCTGTTGTTGTTGTTGTTGATAGGTGTGGATAAAACTCGTTCCCAGCTATCACGGATGACATTCAGCTGTGCTTGAGAAGGAGGTAAGGGAGGCTCATCGGCAATTTGGGTCGGCATGATAACGTTAGAATGGGAGGGAAAAGATGAAAAAGAATAAAAGGATCGGATGGAGTATTATTATTCGACACAATGAATTGGTGGGTGGGTAGCTTTTATACTTGTATTCCAAGCATTATTATGTACAACCCCGTGGGACCAATACCTCCGTGTGGGTTGCGTGTATCAACGTGTGTGCCTGCATTTTTATAACGATCATCATTCATCATCATCACATTGCTAAAGGAGGCAACCTTTTCTCCTCATGAAAGGGTTATATATACAAATACGCGCACATAGTACACTGACACTACCAAACGATCCATTCATAAGCATAAAAGGAGAGAGCACAAGATTGAGATCGATCGAAACACTTTTTTTATGGTGACACTACTACAAATGCAGGAGAGTGAAAAGAGAGATTAACATGAATAAAGGGGACAAGATAGTTAACAGGAGAACACAAAAACGTCATTAAACGGCGCGAGTGCAAAACTATAAATATAAAACCAAGCAAAAGGTTATGTGGGTGTGTACTGTGTATAGTAGATGTGAAGGTGTTTTTGTTGTATGAGTGAGTGAGTGAGAGTGAGAGAAAAGATGAATGTTGCGAGTGCGAGTGAATGTGGGGGAAAGAAAGATGAAGGAAACTGTTTATGACTTGATGCAAGATCCTGGGATAGGAGCAGGAACAGCGGTAGCGCGGTTATGAGCCATGTGAGCACGAACAAGATGACCAGCGGCAAGAGCGGCACACAATGACAACTCGCCAGCCATAACAGCAGCACAAATAATGCGTGCAAGACGACGAGCATTGTCACCAGGATTGGTAGGATGGGGGCCACGTACACCAAGCATCTCAAGCACAGCCTGCTGTGGGGGAAGAGTGGTGCCACCACCAACAGTGCCCACTTCAATGCAAGGCATCGTACAAGAAATATGCAAGTCCTTGCCATCGTTCACAGCTGACATTAAAGTGATACATTGGGAGCTTTCGACATTTTGTGCAGGGTCTTGACCAGCAGCAAGATAAATGGCCGTAAGGATGTTGGCAGCTTGTGCGTTGAATCCACCAACAGAGCCAGCCATAGCAGAGCCAACCAAATTCTTGTCCACATTCAATTCCACAAGAGCAGCCACAGTGGTCTTGAGCACCTTTTCAACGACATGTCCAGGAATGACAGCTTCAGCAACAACCGATTTGCCACGACCTTCAATCCAATTGATAGCTGCAGGCTTCTTGTCGGTACAATAGTTGCCTGATAATGACACGATTTGCATATCAGGGAAATGTTCGCCAAGTACACTCAATGCCTTTTCACAACCCTTGGAAATCATGTTCATGCCCATAGCATCACCCGTCGTGGTAGAGAAACGCACAAACATCAATTTGCCAGCCAATGCCACCTTGAGCTTGCGTAAACGAGCAAATCTTGAAGTGGAATTGAATGCCTCGGTAAGGATCGAGTTGCCTTCTTGTTCAATCCAGCGTTTACATTCACCAGCACTGATAATGTTGGGGAAGCTCAAACAAGGACCACGCGTCATACCATCAGCTGTAACAATCGTTGTTGCACCGCCACCATTGTTAATTGCCTTGCAGCCACGAGATGCGGATGCAACCAAACAGCCTTCAGTGGTAGCCATAGGAATGACGGTGTCGATACCATCAATCTTCATAGGACCAGCAATACCCAATGGAAGGGGCATATAGCCAACCACATTCTCACAGCATGCACCAAACACCTTGTCGTAATGGTAATCCTTAAGAGGCAACAAGCTATGCTCCAATGTCTTGGTGACCGATGCACGAGAAATCAAGGATCGACGTACTGAAACAGCACGCTCGAAATCACCAAGTGTCTTTTCCAATGCGTAGGATGCAACTTTGCCGTTTTGTACAAGTTGAATCACTTCTTCGTCATTGAGAGCTTCAGGGGTCTTGATAAGTGCCATACATTCATCCACAGATCGAATGACATCCGTGCTAGGAGGTGGTGATGATACAACAGCCTTCTTGGTGGCAATGGTGGGAGTGGGTGGTGCTTGTTGTTGAGATTGCTTATCGGTGCGTTGTTCCGTGGGAAGTTGTTTTGGTTGCTTAGCGACGTTGAACAAGTAGGTGTTGAGGAAAAGCGACACAAACAAACCAATAGCGAGCCATTGGCTGATCACGGGATGCTGAATATAGACGGCATAGATTTCAGATAAGGCCTCCAAAGGTCTTGTGATAGATTCGGGAACAAGGCTCTTGTTGGCAGAAGGGACATGGAAAACAACGGCGGGGAACACCTCCACAATCAAAGGAAGGGATGCTTGAGCTGATGCACGATGCTGTTCAAGCAAGCTGGATAACACCGATGCAATGCCAGGTTGAGTAACATCGACTTGTGGACCCGATTGGAAAGCAGTGCAGAACTCAAAAATGTGCATGGCGACAAATGCCACGATCTGTAAAAGTGTCATGTGAGTAAACAAACAAACAATGATGCATAGCTTTCATCTGTCACATTACCATCAAAAGCTTTAGACGGCCAATGAAGGATCCATCCGATTTTTGTGAGTCTCTTGGAGTAGCATTGCTGCTATCATCGCTAAGAGCCTTGACCACAGCACGACGTACATAGCTCATGTTGGAAGGTGCCTGAGATTTCTTGTTGTTGTTCTTGTTGCTGGATGTGTTACCACTGATTTCCCGGATACGAGTCAACTATTTGTGTATACATATCTTTTCAGTAAAAAGGAGGCTTTTTGTTGTCATGGACATAATACATACCTCGAGCTTGAGAGTCAACACGGACGTGTACCAGGTAAATAGGAGCACGACATCATATGCAAGCAAGATAGCGGAAAGGAAACAGAATTCTCGAAGACCAGCGATAGCGGACTTTGCACCCAAGGCAAGAACGCTGATCTCGATAACACAATCGCGTGCAATGGGCAATGCAACGGTATCCACAGCACGAATGATGGTTTCACGTACATCTTGGCGAGTCAATGGTGTTTCCTTGCTGAACTCGAATACACGCTTGGTGAGCTTGTAGGGACGTTCAAAGCCGATAGTGACGACCAGGAAAGGAATAGCCTCGCTGCACAAGAATAGTTTAGTAAGGAACCATCTATAAATGACCCATGTTACACACAAATCAAACTTACGCCAAAACTACTGGAGAAGGTTGTACACCGATAGCGTGCACCGTCAAGAGGGCCAACATGAATGAAAAGAAACCATTCACCGTAACAGCAGATGCTATAGGATCGGATCGGATTAGAAAAAAGGGAACCTTTTGAGTGATAAGAAATGCACCTACCCAAGCTATAACGAGATCCCATGCGACGCATGTTGACAAAGAGCGATACAAAGGTGATGATCATCATGATGTAACCCGCCAGGATAACAAAGATATCGACATTATCGGCCATCTACCAAAATGAGTCTAGTGTGTGAGAGGGATGGAGCGAGAGAGCCTTGGTGTACAATGGAAGAACGAGAGAGACTTACGTCGATCAATTCTTTGAGTCTAAAGACCACGTTGCGTGTAATGATGAAGAGCCATGCCAAGAGATTTTCACCTTCTTGTTGATTTGCTTGAGAGACGAGTTCACCGGGTGGGAGGCTATCGACCTTGTCAGCCCATTGACGAGCCAATTCACGACGAATGGATCCGGTAGCATCGATAGCATAAGACAATACCACTTGGTCATCATTTTCCCAGCTGGGGAGAGCCGCACATTGATTCTCTTCAGTTTGGTAGCACAGGCCATGAGCGTATGAAAATTTGTTGTTGGATAAGGCGGGTTCATCGGGTACAAACACTTGATTCTCAATCATCGATTGGAAACGATCCAACGCTTCACCCTTATCATTGACGGCAAGCTGCTTCATGTGAATCTTGACCGCGTTCTTGGTGATTTCATCAGATGCAGGATAAAGTGAAAATCCATTATCATTGGCTGATGCATGTACGGTTGCTGGATAAAGGCGGGTGCTGGTACCAGAGAAGATGTCGGAGGTACGCGCCAAGTTGTAGAGTGTAAAGTAGCTGAAGGATGCCAGGATGAGAACAGCAACAAACATCTCAATCGGATTGCGAATGGACACCATGGCAGCGCGATGAACGCCTTTGCCCACCAGTGCAGACGACGACTTGAACGCAGTGGTACTTCGTGCAAGCGGCATGGTGATGATGGAAGGAGGGGGGATCAGTTCCGCAAAGACTGAATCAATAAAGGCAAATGTTGAAAGTGAAAGAAAGAGAGGGGAAAAAAGAAGAAGCGGTTGTAGTGTTGAAACAACAGAACGCCAAAAGTGCCTGAAAAATGTGTCCTCTATTGTTGATCATTAGTAACGAAAACAGGCAGCATTTATATATGCTTTTTTTACCGGTTGGGGGGAAAAGGGAAAGAGAGAGAGAGAGAGAGAGAGTGCACGTCCTGAAGATTACACAAAGAAATATGACTCGGAGTCCTTTATCGACTAGCCTCCTTCCATACATCGTTCCCTAACCTCTATTCCACCCCCCGATAAAGCAAGCCCGCCTGTACATTTACATCCCCAATGCCAACTTTTATCAAATCTTGCATCCTATGCACGATCCTGTTCCAGACAAATCTATGATGCTATCATCAAGTTTGAAACATCATTTGAATCCATTGTTACGGGTTAGCAACGGTTATTGTCCATTCACCATGCAACAATATTAGTATAATATCAAGTCCCTTATGTTTCATCACTTTCATTGTCTCTTTTAACCAAGAGCTTCCCACCATACTCCTTCCTCAAGGGGGGAGGTTATGATCACCTAAATAATCATATATACATTCTCTTGTCATTTCTCATCATCCTATTCACATTCACCATTATCGGATGCCTTGACCGATTCTCATTATTCCCCCACATGGGATGTGTGTGTGTGTGTGTGTGTGTGTGTGTGTATCACAGGGACACAGCAACGGTAATACTTCTACCCATGGTCATGATTGGTAATCAATTCTTTGTTGTATTTAGCAATAACAACATGCTCGTTGTTGTTGTTGATGCAATGCAATGTTGATGCTATAGAGTTCAATTGTATCAGATGATGGTCACGAAACGATAGGAGATGGTGATGATGTGAGTTGTCGCGGTTGTTGATATGGATTGCAGTTATCCCCTCGTCTCATTGTCATGCAACCATGTTGTGATCTCCTTAAATATGCATAGTTTTACAACTTTTACCGGTTGACCAACAGCTTTTCTCGCACACATACACTCACACTCTCATCATCTCAGAACAAAAGGAACGACGACTCGATTATTATGCATGATACGGCCCATTACCCTTCTCAGATGTGAGAACGGGGCAATAAGGAGTAGTACTAAGGATTGCAAATGTGTGCATATGTATCAATGACACCCCAACCCCCTCTTTTTTGTGTTTTCTTTGTTTCTAACATGAAGCACAGCCAGCGGAGTGGCGCTCATGCGTCGGATCCAGTGATCACACACACAGGTAGGTAGATGGGCGTGCATCATTGTATTGCCTAGCAAAAGACAACATCACCACATTCTTTATCAAAGTTGCTTTAGGTATCACATACACACACATGGCAATAATAATTCATTTACTTTTGACGTGTAAAACTCTGTTTGCCACAAAGCTTCCCCTCCCCCAGATTATGCATCCCATAGCGTCTATGTGCCAAGTCTTTCTCATCATCCCTGAGATCTCCATCCCCTGTTGTCACTTGACATTGTCAACACGCTATACACATATGGATGCATTATGCGGTCACTCTTCTTTTCCGATGGTTTGCCAATATGTATTAGCAGCAGCGTCTAAGCATTTAGAATTTCTTGATGATGATGATCGATGTATGTACGTTAGATGACAATGCTTATGTATGGTTGATTGTAAAATAAGGTATCATGGAAGAATCCATCCTTTATTCCAGCATCTGAGAATTGAGATTAATGAAGAAGATGAAGATGATAGTAGTAGCATTGACAACAAATGATACATAGGGGGTTGGTTTATGTACAGCAGCAGCCATGAGGAGGAGGGGGGTTGGTAATCTTAATCTTATACACACACAAACATCCATTTTATGTCTTATCATGATACACTGAACAAGACCAAGAGAGATGGGGATGGATGGGGTTGCTGGGTGAACGAGTTAGATTTTGAGCTGGCTGGGCGGGTGTCAAGTTGGATGTGAGTCATACTACTACTACTACTACTATTAGCACATTTTGGTGGTATATCCAATATACTCCTCTCTCTCTTTCTTTCTTTTTGACACTACACCACCACCACACATGTTTCGCAACGCACTGTTGGGTCCCTCGCGCCTTGTAAGCAACTCATGGAACTTGTCGAAGCCGTAATGCCCCTCCCCCCATTACTGATCCGTTGGGAATACTACATATAGTCGTCAGTGCGACATCTTGTCAATGCACAACGCCGGTGTCTTGCATCGGGACCGAAGTCAGCCACTTCCGCCATGGCATTCAAGAAGCACATTCGCCAACGACGATTTGGACCTGTTCCATCGTTTCCAGGACCTTCAGTTGAAGAAGCTGTGAGCAACATTATCTACAATACGCCTCCACCTACACGTGCCCCTGAAACTCGCCACATCCTCAATTGTCTTGTACAAAACGAACCTGGTGTCTTGAGTCGAGTCTCTGGTATCATTGCTGCACGTGGTTTCAACATTGAATCATTGGTTGTCGCCAATACCGAAGTGCCGGATTTATCTCGCATGACAGTCGTCTTTAATGGTCGCAATGTTCACATTGAACAAGCTCGTCGTCAATTGGAGGATCTCGTAAGTAGTCATCATCATGGATGTCTACATACATATATGCATGTATTCATTGATCATATTGATTGTAGGTGCCAGTGTGGGCTGTTCTTGATTACACAAAGACCAAATTGATCGAGAGGGAGTTGCTACTCATCAAGGTATCCATTCTCGGCCCTGAGCACTTGCATGAACAATTGCCAACTGCCAAATTCGACAATGAGGTGGTATTTGAGGATGAGAACTTGAAGAACTCAATGGAAGTGGTACGTATACATATATTGCAACAAGCACAAAGGGATCAAGGGTGATTAAACAAAAGGGTATACATATTATAGGAGGAGGAACAACACCAACCTTCTGGCACTTTGCGTCAAACTTTTTCACATTTGCGTGCATTGACAGAGTTGTCTCGCTTGTTTGATGCCAAAGTGGTCGATGTATCATCCGATTCGATCGTCATTGAATTATGTGCCAAGCCAGGTCGTGTATCATCCTTTATGAAACTTTGCAAGCCATTTGGTATCCTTGAAGCTTCTCGTACTGGTGTCATGGCAATGCCTCGATCCCCTGTTCATGATCATTATCAAGCACAAACCGAGCATTCTTATGAAGATGATTCACCCGCTGTTGATGCCACTATGCTTCCTCCCGGATAAATCTTTATCTATATGACCCATCCAAATAGAGAGAGAGAGATGATTTGCGTTTACACAAGTGTTTATTGAAGTTGGGATTCTGTACAAAGAAAAACGAAAACGTGGAATGGTAGTGACATGGATGGGATCGATGGTGATGGATGGAATATATATGTGTGTGTGTGTGCGTTTACGAGTGTGTGAGTGAGATGGTTGACAATGCGCAAAAGAAAAAGAGGATGAGCATTTAAGGGATAAGTCGTGGTGGTGATTTTTTTGCAAAAAGACAAATGATGCAAATGGGATGTTGTGGGATGATTTGTTGATTTACTTGGAACTGGTGTACTTGGTGACAGCCTTGGTACCTTCAGAGACGGCGTGCTTGGCCAATTCACCAGGAAGGATAAGACGAACAGCGGTTTGGATCTCACGAGAAGAGATGGTGGAACGCTTGTTGTAGGCAGCAAGCTTGGAGGCCTCAGAGGCAATACGCTCGAAAATGTCATTGACGAACGAGTTGAGGATGGACATGGCCTTGTTGGAGATACCAGTGTCAGGGTGGACTTGCTTCAAGACACGGTAGATGTAGGAGGAGTAGGTTTCCTTACGGGTGACCTTGCGCTTCTTGTCACCAGAAGCCTTGACCTTCTTTTCGGTAGTCTTGGCAGGAGCCTTGCCAGCGGGAGCGTCTTTGGGAGCCATGTCGATGATAAAAAGTAGTAAAAGTTGGGGGAAGGGGGAAAAAGGAAACGAATGTGTAGGCTATATATATATAAAACTCATACAAATGAGATGGGGGGTGTGATGAGGAGTATCAAAGTGGGGGTGATAAAAAAAAAAAAGTCAAAAGCAAACAAGGTGGGACGAAGATAAAATGGAAACGCGCGTATAGGTAGAGCGCGTACCGCGTTTTGAAAAAAGCGTGGATGTAAAAAAGTGATGGTAAAACGCGCCCCTGAAACGCGGTCTATTCCAGCTGGTCAAAATTTTGTAACGATCGATGGGGTAGGAGAAAAAAAAATACGCGCGCGTGTGGATGTGTGAGATCGGGAAATGAAATCTTTTGTCATGGCAACACGTATAAAAGCAGCCGGCTATGCAGCAACCAAAAAGGATTTCCCTTCTCTTTTTCTTACTTTTTCAACACTCACATTACTATCATCTATCATCATGTCTGGAGGCAAATCTGGAGGCAAATCTGCTGCTGGCGCCAAGTCGCAAACCCGTTCCGCTAAGGCCGGTCTTCAATTCCCTGTTGGTCGTATCCATCGTCTCTTGCGTCGTGGCAACTATGCTCAACGTGTTGGTGCTGGTGCCCCCGTTTACCTTGCTGCCGTTCTTGAATACTTGACTGCTGAAATTCTCGAATTGGCTGGTAACGCTGCTCGTGATAACAAGAAGTCCCGTATCATCCCCCGTCACTTGCAATTGGCCATCCGTAACGATGAAGAATTGAACAAGCTCCTTGGTCACGTCACTATTGCTCAAGGTGGTGTTCTTCCCAACATCCACTCCAGTCTCTTGCCCACCAAGACCAAGAAGGCTGGTGCTTCCCAAGAGCTTTAAACGGTTCAACAACATCAACATTTACAACACTCGCACACATCTTTCCTCCTTTGTTTATCAACAACTACCTTTAACGCACGCAACATCTCTCGACCTTTTTCAAAATGAATCATTTGCTTTTTCACTTGTCGATTCATCACCATCAATCTTTTTTGGCTTGCTTTTGTATATAATACCACACTCGTAATAAAAACAGGACATTCACAGCATTTTATTGGGGCTATTGGTTAAAGGTGTAAAAGGGACACTCGCATCATGAAGATGTTGTTGGAGTAGGTATTGGTTGCGCATAGTGAAGAAGATGATGCATAGGGGTGATGTTGGAATAGGCTCTGGCGATTTGAATCCTTGCTGTTTAACCTCAATCTGATACCCCATATTAGATTCATGTATGTTTTCTTTGTTGATGAATACAATACCTTGGGTGTGAGGTGTTGAAATAGCTTCCCATCGATTGAATGCACTTCTCGGCACCATGTTCGATTGCTCCACGATGGATCGTCGAAGCATATGATACTGATCCATCATTCACGTACCACTTGGATCGCAGCATGCTCCGCGTATGCACCTTCTACAAGGCCACAGCCGTAGTACTAATACACCCAATGTTACATCTACTTTGTCGCCTACCATTTTGCTTACCTTTCTTGTGTGTAAGCCATTCACCGTCATGGTCTCTTTTGTAGTACACATGTAATCGAACAGGTTGTTTCTTTTCCTCACCTACTATAATGATAAGCATGATCGATACTTTGCTATCCATGGTACTCACGTGATGTTCTTTGATGCCATCGTATTCCTGGTTCCATCCCATTTCACCGAACACTTCATCAGCCTAGCGTAAGGCGTTTTGGGTATGGTGCTGCCTAGAGGTCTCAATTAGCAATCTAGCGAAGAGTGAATAAAGAATGTTACCTCTATACATACATGAAGCTTCTTGCATCGTACCCAAATCCAAATTTCGCTTGCATATGGGTCCGTATTCGGTGTAGTCAACCTGCATTAGAACATGTCAATTTTCGTCACGATTTTCCATCATGATATCATTACCTCAAAGTCGTACCAGCATACGTTGACTTTGGTTGCCATGGCAATAGGTTTCTCTTTACCACCGAAACTCAACCATTGAGGTCGTATACTACTACACACCTCTTCGACACGAGTGATACCAAGAACCATAGGTTTTCGAAAAAGATGTCTTGTCTTCGTCTTTTGCAAAACAAAGTCAACCTCAATACACAGCTAAATGTCATTAGGCACCAATGAGCACTTCAAGCGGTAAAGCAATGATGTGAGCTATAGATGTAAAAAGGCATTGATGACAAGTAGAAAGAAAGGACGTATGATAGTGTTGCTGACAACAGCCTTGTTTATATAAGAGTGGGCGTGGGAGTTGTTGTCATGATGGATTGAACTGATAAAGTGGTCAAGCATCTTGCAAAACCATAACTGATAAACCCACCTGCCACTTGAAAGACGATCTTTTGTAGGTGTCATATGCCCAAGGAAGAAGGGCGATGTATCCCGAAATCACGTGCCTGCATAAATCTTCAATGCCCCCACATATGGTATAAGGTAGGCCATTCTCAGTCACTTGGAATGATGTTCAAGGTACTACACTATCCCACATTTATCCTTGTACTATTATCGAAATGATGGCAGAGATCATTCAATGATGGCTAACAACATTGGGAGCAAACAATGAGACTTCTTTTTTTCAAGTGAACGGCCGTTCATTTTATTTACAAAGGGATCCGCTTATGCAAAAAAGTGAATTACAGGAAAAGAAATCGAAATCAAATCAATGTGAGAGAGAGTATAGGTGATGTTTGTGTGTGCGAGATGGAGAAAGATTTGTAGGTGCGATAGGGAGGATATAGATGACTTTAAGGGTGATGATAGCAGCATTTAAGAGCGTTCACCACGAAGACGACGAGCCAATTGGATATCCTTGGGTTGGATGGTGACACGCTTAGCGTGGATGGCGGCCAAGTTGGTGTCTTCAAAGAGAGAGACAAGGTAGGCTTCAGAGGCTTCTTGAAGGGCACCAATGGCAGAGGATTGGAAACGCAAATCGGTCTTGAAGTCTTGAGCGATTTCACGAACAAGACGTTGGAAAGGCAACTTGCGGATCAAGAGCTCAGTGGACTTTTGGTAACGACGAATTTCACGAAGGGCAACGGTACCGGGTCTGTAACGATGGGGCTTCTTGACACCACCAGTAGAGGGAGCAGACTTGCGAGCAGCCTTAGTAGCGAGTTGCTTACGGGGGGCCTTGCCACCAGTGGACTTGCGAGCGGTTTGCTTAGTACGAGCCATTGTTGTTGATGTATGTAAAGTTGGGAATCGGTTGATGCAAAGTCCAAGAGATAGCAAGCCTTTTATACTCTAAATTTCTTTTGACTCCGATAGGCGCGCGGTGCCATCGCGCACTTTTTTACCTCCCCAACTTTTATTTTTTTTCTACCTACCACGCAACACGCTCTCGCGATGTCTACAAACGCGCCCGCGTTCCTTTTTTTGATCAACCCATTTCTTTATCCATTTAAACATCAACCGCGTTTACGTTACCACTTTAACATAAAATGTCATTGAAAATGCTATTCATGCAATGTGTCATCAATGCTTCAAGCATGCTGACAGGATGTTTTTTTGATAATGGGTGTGTAAAAGTAGCAATACGTTCAAAGTGAAGGCGATAAAGTGGTGGTAAAGGGGTGGTAGCGGAGGTGTACAAAAAAAGAAAAAAATCCAAGCGCGCTACACAAACGCGGTACTCCCTCGTGACCCGCGACACAAAGAAATACTAAATTGGTGCAACGTCAAACATGTATAAAAGGGAGCTCTTTGTTCAGCAACCCATTTTCTACTCATTCACATTTTATTTTAAACATCAACAATGACTGGTCGCGGTAAAGGTGGTAAAGGTCTCGGAAAGGGTGGTGCCAAGCGTCATCGCAAGATTTTGCGTGACAACATTCAAGGTATTACCAAGCCTGCTATTCGTCGTCTTGCTCGCCGTGGTGGTGTCAAGCGTATCTCTGGTTTGATCTACGAAGAGACCCGTGGTGTCCTTAAGGTCTTCCTTGAAAACGTCATCCGTGATGCTGTCACCTACACTGAACACGCCAAGCGTAAGACTGTCACCTCTCTTGACGTCGTCTACGCTCTCAAGCGTCAAGGCCGCACTCTTTACGGTTTCGGCGGTTAAACAACCTTATCCAAACACACACCATACAAATTCAATTGCATCCTACTGTTACCTCTTCAAGTTATCATCCGCTTAAACACACACCATACCTTTTCTCTCTCTCTCCAAATACACCGCCCTCTTTTTTGGTTTTGCATCGACAAGAACCTTGTTCGCATCTCTCTTTTGTATATAGCGCGTAATGTTCTTTTTTCCCAATTAAACAATCAATAACCGCAAAAACTATTGTGCTTTGTCAAATGATGGATGAATCGATCTTTGTTTGTTGTCTTTGAGAAGAGAGAGACTATTAGTGCATGTGTGTGAGTGTGAGTGAGTGCGTGAGTGTGAGTGAATATCAAAAAATGTACATCGATGGTGTTGGTTGGTTGGGTGGGTGATGGTTCAGAAATGATACAAATTATAGGGATGCAATGTAGAAAGGAGTAATGAAATGTGATGGCGGTGATGAGCAAAGATGGGTTCAAGTTTTGCTGATGATGCTGAGAACATGCTCAAGACGACTCACAAGCACGACATGAATGGGTAATGAGCCGCCAGCTGATGGGGTTGTATAAACATATGCAAGAGCGTGATATCGTTTGATAATGTTGCGTAATGTGCTGTAAGCTGAATGACTCGTCTGGTTGAAAAGCAAGTGTACCTGAAATACATAGATGATCAGAAATCACGCTCCTTCATAGTATCATCATCATCATACTTACATCCATGATCAAGGGTTCATTGTTGATTTGCTCTCGACAAGGATTCTCTGGTTTTGCATAAATGTGAATCAAGTAGCCTGTTGCTAATGGTAACATCCAATTGCCATCAGCTTCATCATTCAATCCACCAACTAACGCTTCTGACACTTGAGCTCGTTGTTGAGAATAGGCCACACGATGATTGAGTAGTAACGTTTTGGTGGCACCACTCATATCATTATTGGCCGCTGCTGCTGCTGCTGCTGATCCAGTATCCGATACATTATTCTTGATTCCTCCAACAGCAGAAGATGGCATGCTCGTTGTACTGAATGCTTCTGGTGTTGGTGTATTGGCAGATGAAGAACCAGGCGTTTGTGGATAATCCATCACTGAGGCAATGTTGATTGATGATCCATGCAATTGATCAGCATTCACACGTAATGCCGATTCCATATCAACGCATGTAATAGCCACTTTTGCATCATTCGGTATACAATCAGCCCACACTATGATAAAAAAGAAAATGATCAGCTTCATCCTATGAAAGAAAAAGAGCCCCCTTATACTTACTTTGAAGTTCCTCCAGGAACATCAATCCCACTTTGGCGATCACAAACGTCCACTCAAACCCTGTTCTTGCTGATACTTGCAAAGTTTGCTTCCAAGCATCCTCAATCACTTGTGCCATGGTCTTGTCGTTGTCAATGTATCGTACTGCGTATTCAAGCAACTCGCCTTGGTTATCGGTCCATACAAGAATAATCCACCGTCGATCCAAGGTAAAGCTGTAAGCCATATGTAGGGTAGCGTTCGATTCAAGGATAGTAGGGAATAAATTGGCTGAGCCTTTGAGCGAGAATTGGATGGTATCTGGTGATGACTTTGCAAGGATAAAAGGTGGAGCATACATGGTAGAAGCTATGGGCCCAGCATCTTCCACATCGGGCTACGTAGATTCAAAGAGCAGGGAATCAATACACAAAGATCCATGTCATCATAAAAGCTTTACCTTTGGATGTTTTCGACTCATGACAGGAAGGCATTTGCTATACACAGAGAATGCAATATCCTTCAATCCAAATTTGGTGTAACCGCCAAAAGCCGATGAGGATCGAATAATGTGCTCAATGGGTACCAGCTGCATCACAAGACGTGCACGGCGTTCTTGAAGGCTATGTGTGGATATACCCATGGATGCTGCATGGTAGGCAACCATCAACTTGTGATAGCAACGGCTGAGATCAAAGTGGGATGACATGGTATTGCTGGGGTTGACGATATAGATAACGATATGCATTCGTTCCACCATGGCATTTCCAAGAGCTGATCCAAGGTTCTGACACTCTGCATTGTAGCTTCGTAGTTGTCGTTCTTCCCAGGTTTCATTTGGAGATGAAGGGGCTATATAATGTATATGGAAAATCAATCACATACATTCGCATAATAATACGTTTTACGACTTACGCAAAAGAGGCACCGGTACGAGGCCACGACGATAAGTGCTGATTGTGCCGGAATGATGTATCCCCAAGTGACAGGATTCATACACCGTGCTGAGAGCTTTGAAGAAATGGGAGCATGTCGATTCGAGTTGTTCGTTGGCTGGATACACAACAAAGTAAAGGACATTCTTCCTTGAAGAGTATGGCTCCAATCTCAACTTTTCCCACATAGTAATCATCTGAGGCGATCCTTCAATGTACTCTTCTTCATGACGTCCAGCCAGGATATCGGGTGGTGTAAGGGTATCAAGATTGGGTTCAGCGGGTCGACGTTTGCGTACTTGATATTTGCCATACTTGGATTGTGCTTGGCTGGTCTCCGAAAGATCATAGTATTGTTGTACGCTCAATGGACCTTTAACAGCCACAGTGCCCACTGTCATTGGCAACATGCCACCATCCGCGTTTGTGGCGCTGCTGCTGCTGTTGGCATCAGGCGTCGTCACTGTTGAGGTCCTTGTACGATCAAAGATATTCATGAGCACATCCTTAAAGTCTTGGGAGACACGATGAAAATCATTCGATAGTGAAGGGACATGACTGAATGCTAAAAGAAGAGATGATGGATGATGAGTGATATTTTCCAAAGAACGTATCCTAATCAATTACCTCCATGCGCGCGTTGCAATAATTTCCTTCGTTGAGCAACCAATGCTGTAGTGGATTCGCCGATATGAACTTGACCCAGGTTGGATGATACAGCTGACAAGCCATTGTCGAAAGGATAACCACCCATCACCACTTGCTGACAAAGGTAATCCAGTACCTTGAAATCCTCTTGTGATTGAATCGTCCTTGTATCAGATTTTGTTTCAGTATCACTGCCATTTCTCCTCATGGAGGGCGATGCCACCAATAGCTGGTCAACCACTGAATCATGCACACTTTGTAAACCAGACATCCACCATTCAGGGTCATGCGAATCGGATTTCTTTTTCTCTTGGCTGGAATAACTTTTGATCTCATCTTCTTCATCACACGCTTCCTCGGAACAACTTGACGACGACTCATCATCATCAGTGCTACTGCTGCTGCTGCAACTACTTTCTTCCTCTTCAGCCAAATCGAGGGTGGTTTGTTGTGGCGGCTTGTGGTATTTGTTGACTGCTGTAGTCGAATTATTAGGTCGATACATCAACAAGGGTCGTATAGATGGAGGGGTATAGTTGGGGTATGTGTGCACAATGCTGTTGTTGGTGTCGTCTTTGTTTTTGATCCGCTTCCTTATTCGAGGGACATAATCGGGTCTATACAAGCTGCGTCTCAGCCGACGTTTTCGTTTGATGCTGATAGGATCTCGAGCTGATTCATCTTTTTTGGGTGCGTACATGAATTTCCCACCATCCAAATACTTTGCATTGTCAACGCCATCTGAAAACTGTACAGGTGCAAAATCAGGTGGTACAAAATGATTCTCAAGTGTGGGTTCCATAAGCATAGGTGATGTCGTCATGCCCCTAAGTGACATTGATTTCTCTTTGAATGATGCTGCCGAATCATCAGCTGATGTCTCTGTCGCTGTCAAATTCCCATTGGTCATCATAGGGCTGGGCTGCGTTCCTCCTGATGTTGCTGTGGTTACGGTTGTAGCTTGTGGTTGCCCTTGAGACGAGGTATTGCCAAGTAGCTGATCATCATCCAAGACACCATTGGATCCTCCCAATAATGCATCCAAATCAATTTCTCCATCCGCCTCAGGTACCTCGCCAATTCCTGATAATGGCATTCCTTCCATCAACATCAATCGATCATTCTCGTTGGTCGTAGATGGTTGCTGTTGTTGTTGTAATTGTTGTTGAAAATTCTGCGTTGTCACTTTTAAGAAATCATTGTTGAAATCAGCATGCTGTTGTTGTTGCGAAGCTGGTGCTTTGTTGGATGTCGGCTCGCTTTCAAAGAAATCAAAATCCTCTTCAGTGACATGTAAATCCAAATTGTCGAGATCTTCCATGGCATCTCCCCATCGATTGGACATGTCATAGGCTGATCCACCCAATGCATCCATACCAAATCGAAAATCAAATGCATCATCGGTCGTGGTGGTTGTATTGCCTGCTGCATTAACTGCCATTTGATCTGTTGTCGCGCCACCCGATAATAAAAGCGCTGTTGAATCCATGTAGCCCATCGTATTGTTATTGGAAATGTTCATTGTGGGTGGTGCTGTTGTAGACGCTGTGATAGGAATTTCTTGTACAGGCGTGGTCGTCGTGGTCGTGGTCGTCACTGGTTCAGGTTTTACATCCGGTGATGTAAGCATCGATTGTTGCTGTTGCTTCTCGATTGGATCTGCAAAATGAATACGTGCAAAATCGGCCACCGAAAGCTCTGATTCTTCTTCAACTCGACGATTCTCTTCACCTTCCTTTGTTGATGGTGGCGACATGGTTTCATTCTTGCATCCTAAGCTAGCAGGCGTTGCTACTGTTTTGGATGCCATGATAGGACTTGATCCCACGGGTTCTCCCAATGCTTTTGTAAGAACACCATTGGCTGAGATATTCTCAGCTGTCATTGAGAGTGTATCAAACATGGCAGATGCTGTATGTAACTTTGGACTTCCATAATCCCAGTAATTCAAAAGCGACGATGATGCATGATGATGATGATGAGGATGCTGCTGTTGCGTCTTGTTGCGAGTGGCAATATTGGTGATTTGATCACTCCACCACCAATGATTCCATTGTTGTACTAAATCCTCGGTGTATCCTTGGTGATAACGTAAAACACTATTCATATCAGAGTTGGTAGAAGATAAGGTTGTTGAAGCTGTAGAGATGAAGAGGAGAGCGGTCGGGTAAAGAACAACGTCCCCGCGTAAAGAGCGGATAGGTGTCAAAGCTGGTAGTTTTGGAGCGGCGCACGGACGTTGTTGTCGGCATGAGTTGAGACAGCGGAGGGGGATATCAAACAGCAGCGACCACTCCCGCAATATCTTTTCTTCAAGTTGCTCTGGAATGTCTTGGTGCATCGGAAGAATAGCTGCACGTTCACCCAAAGGAGATGTGATTACTAAAACATAAATGTTAGTAGTGTCTTTTGGATTGAATCATTGAACCCAATTCTTTTACCTGTCGTTGTTGTTCCTTCTTTTTTATCCAGATCGGAAAGTGACAATGGTCGAATTTCCAGTCGTCGTACATCAGGTTGAACAACAAGGTTGGTATTGGATAAATAGACGTTGTATGTACATGAAAGCATGGAATCATTGATGGTGGCGGATTCAGTGGTATAAGGTAGAATGTCGTGGGTCATATCCGACTTGTGGGAAAAGATGAAGAACTCGCCCAGGGGTAGTACTCCTCCCTTTTGCAAGATTGAGCTACGTATTGGGTAGATTAGCATTAGCATATAAGATACCACGATATAGATCTCCCCACCCTTACCATCGAATCAAACGTTTAACAGCTTTCACAAACAAGATGTATTCATTCGATACGCGATTGATCACGGTTGCCACGCTAACCGACGACGACGATGTATTGCCAGTGACGGGTGATGCTGTTGGTGATATGTTCTTTGCAATCGTATTCTCCCAAGTAAAGGATCCCATTTTGATCTCTATCATGATCATCATAATCCCTGGATCAATATGATTTCTCGTATACTTGCTGCACATGCACACATACCTTCAAGCTGTTTAAGCATTTCATTATTATCCACGAGACCAGTATGCCGATCATCGAACCAAAACACCCATAATTCCAATAGCACGACATCATCATCATCATCCTTGTTACTAGCCTTTTCCTCCTCGAGTTGGGTCGTTGGGGCAGGACGCCATACACAGGGTATATTCAACTGGACCAGGTTACGAAAGGCTTGAATGAGAATGCTTTCAGGTTGGTGGTCTTTGGGCCAATGGTGATTACTGAGACTGATTGACTCGGGTACTGCCTCACTTTTCAGGAGACTTGCAAGCTGAGAGCGTTCGCATTGCTGGCTGTACACTCGATAGCGTATGTGAGAGACACCGCTCTTAAAAAAGTGATCCGTGAACAACGTGCATTGTCAAACAACATGTCACGCAATAAACTTACCACAAGAAATATGTTTGTCAAACTTGAATCGGTCAGCATCAGCGTTACCAGCTCATTTAAGTGAGAAGAGTGGAATGAGTGAGTGAGAATAAGAAAGAGAGGAACTGACAGCAAAGGGAGCGTATAGAGCCTGTGCTTAAAACGCCGGCGTAAAGAGGAGGAGGAGAAAGAATAAGAGGCACACAGTGCGCACACACGCTCACACACAGACACTGTGAGAGAGTGAGAGAGAAATGGTCAAAGACACTCGCTTGCGTCACCTTAACCTTGGCACTTTTTGAAGGGAACATACACTTATAGACACCCACCCACACACACACATATATATACACACACATGTATGTACACATAGACGCCTTCATTCGCATTCACGTTCACACCAATACATACTTGATTTTCATATTGGATCATGAACATTGATATGGATGGATGGGTGTTTAACTCAATGCAGAGTGTATTTTAAGGTGTTGTACCTGTCCACATTCGTCGTCAATGGTGGTACAATAAAAACTAAAACATGTGCAATGACTTTTGCCTTATGCTTAGCATACAATGGCTCTCTTTCAAGAAATCATGGATATGATTCATCGGGTAAGATCTTGTTGCTATCCCACCGTTCCCATGGTGGCTATTTGATACATTTTGATTAGCCCACAGCATGACACAGATCACCGGGAACCAACTCGGAGTCAAAATGGAACCTGGACTGAAAAGTAACCGCTTCATCGGCCGATTTCAGAGCCTTGATCTGCTGTTGCACCACATTTTTTCCCAATGGCAGTGTCACCAAGATCATATCATCCAATTGGTTATACCGTTATACAGCATGGCGATAACACTGCTCCATAGATAACTAGATCACGGGGCAATGCGTTGAGTATCATGACAAATGTAATACTGGTCGATAAAGGAATATTAAATCATGTCAGCTTTCCACCACACGGATGCATGTAACTATTACTAGGATGCCGATCATATTGTCTTGGTTGTAACTAGGAATGATGATAGTAAACAATGGTACTATTTGTAGCACATAGCTCGTAGCACTTACGGCCACCATGAACATCTCATATCAGCACGACGACAATCTTTATTACATGAACAACAAAGATCGGTTTCCATTACTCCTCATTGCCTAGCAAGGATCACCTTGACTACTATATCCCTCTAATAATAAACCAGTTGCATGAATAAGAGGGATGATGCGTCACCAACAGGTTGCTCGTCATCATCCAAGAACTACTACTAATGCAATCCATCATACGTAAAACCTTCTTCAATTGCCTTTTTTTTCGTGTACAACAGCACGAATTCATGGGTAAAGATGGTATTCGAAGTTGGGGACAACATCCTACCAGTTGAATCAGATAAATGTCATTCTCTTGGTTAACGACAAGCTGAAGACTTGGATCTCGATCATCATTGCATGTTTCCTAGCTACGTTGTGTAGTAATGCCTTGGATGGCAACAGGGTCAATGGTATGTATGGACTTCTAAAAGTAGAGTATGTGTCATTAGAATGACCAGCAGACGTATCATCATCATCAGAGACTAGAATGGCATGTGACTTGTGGCAAACGCCTTTCCCTGCAAAGCGGAGGTAGGTTGTACATGAAGAAGCAGCCCTACTGCTGGTTTTATAGGTGCCGCTTTCTCTTTCATCCAGCAGACAGCAACCGTGGTGGACAACTAGCAACCAACGTTTTTCTTCGATTGCGATTGTCGACAGTACCGATCAGGCAACGCCATCGAGTATAGTAGTGCATCGTATGGTACATATCTCCTTATGGAAGTAGGCACGGACGTGGTGGTGGGGGGAAGGGAGTCATCACGCACACACACACATACCCCATGGCTTTCGCTTCCCACTCCTCTTTTGCCATCCCCTCTCCTTTATTCAATTGACAATTACTAAAGCACAGCGAGTAGAGAAACTGGTAAATGTCTACAGCGATCGAATCCAGTCTTGACGATGCGATTGCTGTTACAACGGACAGTACACCATCTACTTCTTCTTCTTCTACTACCACTACTACAGCCAGCACCCGAGTCATAAAGCAGCCGTTAATTCAAGTCTATTTTCCCATCACTTTCACACGATCTGTGGACGTTCGCCTCCCAGTAGCCAGGACAGCCACAGCTTGTGGAATCTATTATTCGACAATCTTTCTTGCATCATCATCATTATCATCACTTGACATGCCGAAAATATCACGCGCTACCCAAGCACGATTGCTAAGAAAGGCCAATGCATCGATACCCGCATCAACTTCAACATCAACATCATTATCCGCACCACAACAATCAATACCACCAGCAAAAGACACTTCAATTAATAACAATGACACACCACCATCGCCCAACACAATGACCCTAGCTCGGGATTCGAATGACAGCAATAATAATAATGAAGCATGTTGTAACAGCCACCTCAGTGAGAGCAGCGACATCGTTACCAAGAAGGATGATGAAGATGATGGTAGTGATGGAAATCGTCACCTAGCAACGGCAACAACAGCAACAGCACCAGCAGCTGTGGATGAACCCAAAGACAACATTCATGCATCAACAACACTAGAGCCGGCGATACCCACGCCTCATTTGAGTACACCTCCTTCTCGATCATCTTCTTCTTCAAGTCGTATCCCCATACGTAAATCCAATTCCATGCCAACAGCTAAATCTCCTGAAGCTATTACAACACGTCGTGCACCCGCTACTACTGCAGCAGCCACCACGACCACGACGCTGCATAAGCGGAAGCATGACGGGCAACAACAAACACCACGCCCTAGATCTGCATCACCAAAGCCATCTACAGCTCCTGTTCGTAACAAGACAACGAGTGTGAATCGGTCATCATCGCCATCACCCAAATCGATTGCTACCAAGGTGCGTGAGGCGGATGTACCTATGCCCAAAAAGCCTATACCTACCAGTCCTCCTTTAAGGATCCATCATGGAGCACATAAAAAGAGTGGGAATAAGGATCACACGAAGCACGGCAATGAAGATGAAGAAGATGAAGCACCTGTACGTATTACAGCACAAGAACGAAGACGTCGTGAAAACATGCGAGCTCAACAGATCAAAATGTGGCGTGTTCGTGAAGAACGTGAGGCAAGAGATGCAAGGACTATTGCACGGCGTAAAATGATGGAACGCCCTACGTCACGCAATAAGGAACCGTCACCACCTCCTACACCTCCCAGGCGAGCTGTCAAATTCAATCTGAAACGTAATAAGGTTATTGAAATCTCTCATCAATAAAGTTTCATGTGACAACATGGATGGCCGTCCCCCCTTACACTTCTTTATGATGCATCATTAACACGGATGTTTTATTATCCAATCATGACCCCCAATGAAAATTTTCTTTGTTTCAAATGGCACGAGCACGGCACATGTTTGGGATTGATGTTGGACGATGATCAAATGAGCGAAAGCACGGACAATAAATTAAGCTATAGGAGGAGTGTGAAAAAGAGCCCCACTTCTTGAGGCACCACTTTAGGATCAACTAATTACTACTTTTTTCTCCACATAAACAACAACCTCCCCCTCCGCACCTTGGATATGGCCGTCTTCAGCCTTCTTCGCGATACTTGGGAACCTGTCGTTAGCCGCCTCGAGCGTATGGTACGCAAAGTAGCTGGTGAACTGCCAATCGACACCGACTGGAGTCAATCGATCAAGGGATCATGGTAAAGTCAATGGGGGACAATGGAGGGGAAAGCGTTGTATTCATTCCCAAAGCTAACCTTTTTGTACTGTTTGATAGGTACGTCCATCCTAGACAACATGGTCTCGAATTGGTATTCCTTGCATCTGCATTTGGCTGTGCGGCATCCTATTTCTTCACCAAGGCTCTTGGTCCAGGCACACTCAACTATAAGCTCTTGTCGAGCTTTGTGCCTCCATTGCCTGCTAGTTGGACCGAGAAGGCTGTTCTTGGATCCCTTGTTGGTTCTCTTGGTATCACGCTTGCTCACAAGTTGATTCGTGGCCATGGTCTTTTCATGTTGCAGCCTTGTCATATGAGTGCACTGCTATTGATCTCGGTGATGTCTGCCCCTGAAAAAATGATTTCCAAGGTCCTCTTCAATGTTTATCTCCATACCCAATTTGGAGGTTATGCTGCGTTGGCATTCCCTGACACCAGAGATCATCGTCTCTTTCTGGAGACATTCAACTTTTTCGCTGGTAAGGCTCATAGGATGATGTTCATTGTATAGTTGTATATACTCATCTCTCTTTTTATCGACATAGAACACATCTTGATTCTGGCAGCTCCCATTTACATGATTTACAGCCGTCGTTATCCTGTACTTCCTCCATCGCCTAGCATGGCCTTGTTGTCCTTTTTCATTTACGGCTTTTTCCATACCCCATTGCTGCATGCTTGTGCATTGAAGTCTGGACTTAATCTTAACTACCTTTTCGCACCGCCACCAGGTGAGTCATCTTTATTTGGTCTTTGCATGGGTCAACTTTTTACCATTGATCAGCTAACATTTGGGAATTACCTAGTCAAAATCCTTGTTAAGCTTGGTCCTCTTTATCGTCCAGCCATGTATTGCACTGCATTGGTGGCCATGTTTGCTACTCGCTATCTTTTGGTGGGTGGTATCATGTCTGTGTTGCCTCGTAAGGCTTTGCTGATGTAATCCGCCACCGCCGCAGCATCATCATCATCATCCTATCTGCCTCTTCTTCTTTCATTATTATGCATGTTCTTCTCATCCATCATTAAAATAGACGTTTTTATAGAATCATACTACTAAGTAATATATAGTCATTGCCCTCTTTTTGCATGATCTAAATCATCTTTAAAGATAAATCAGCTTCGGGATCGTTTCCGAATGACGGGAGAGTGGGATTGAAAAAAAAAAGAATCATGTACCTGAATCTGCCATGTGGAACCAGGGACCAATGACAGGCAAGAAGGTGAGAAGAGAACATATTACCGAGGTTCGGACAAAGATTAAGTTGTGTCATATCGGGAAATAATGACACACTGCCTTTATAAAATACACCATTTTCTAAATGTCAATCACCACCAACTCCCCGCCCCCCACCACCCCCACAGAAGCGGGGCCCCGAAAACGCGGAAGCGGGTGACGATAAAAGGGGAAACGGGGACGGGTGGGGGGGGGGTTAGTGGACGTTCAGTTACGTATTGCTCATCCTATCTGCCTCTTCTTCTTTCATTATTATGCATGTTCTTCTCATCCATCATTAAAATAGACGTTTTTATAGAATCATACTACTAAGTAATATATAGTCATTGCCCTCTTTTTGCATGATCTAAATCATCTTTAAAGATAAATCAACCGGGATCGTTTCCGAATGACGGGAGAGTGGGATTGAAAAAAAAAAGAATCATGTACCTGAATCTGCCATGTGGAACCGGGGACCAATGACAGGCAGAAGGTGAGAAGAGAACATATTACCGAGGTTCGGACAAAGATTAAGTTGTGTCATATCGGGAAATAATGACGCACTGCCTTTATAAAATACCATTTTCTAAATGTCAATCACCACCAACTCCCCGCCCCCCACCACCCCCACCCCTGGCATTGTGTATCAACAAAAGATGGTGGTCCCCGTAAATAACAATAGCAGCCCTTTCCATGTGCGTCAGGTTACCAGCGAAGATTTGAAACATGTTGGCAAAATTGTGGAGATTATCAATGGTGCCTTTGTTGCTGATAGTAACGTATCATACATTTACCCATTTGAACAAGACACCGAATACTCAAAATGATCCGATTAGATACGTGGACATCTGTGCGTCATTTTGGGATGAAGCAACGTGTCAATTATGCCGAGGTAGAAGATTTAGTAAGAAACAAGATCTTATTGTGTGTCTTTGATGAAAATCAAGTGGTGGTTGCTACGGCAGAGATCCAACCGATAAATTCAGAAGAAGCTGGCATTGGACTTGTTTCGGTTGACCCCGCACGACAATCTCAGGGCATTGGCAAACTTCTCCTCCTGGCAACAATAGATAAGATCAAGGAAATGGGATACAAGGTAACATCCATGTCCATTTTGGGCGAACGACCAGAGTTACTAGCATGGTACGCCAAACTTGGGTTCCAAGATACCGGCGAACGTCCTTTATACCGTAACCCTGCTGTCATCGAGGCCGTGCTTCCTCTCACTGTGGTGAAGAAGAATCTGAGTTGATCAGTCATAGTTTGTAATTGGTTCCGTTCTTACGGCATACTTGCTGTATAAATACATGTCGTCGTCTTTTTTCATCCTCCTTCTTTGTTGCCCCCCTTTTCTTTTTCCTTTGTTGCCTTTTTAAATATGGTTCACACTAATCTTTTGGTGCGTGACGCCACTGTGGATGATTTGAAACATACCAGTGAAGTCGTTGAAATCATCAACACCGCATATCGATCTGAAGGTAGAAAGCAGAGAAATACATGGATCGATCATCTTGCCAGGATGCTGATGTTATATAATAATAGCCAGCTGGACTTCTGAAAACGAGATTGTTGATGGTCCACGTATCAATGCTGCTGAATTGGAGGATATTGTGCGTAACAACGGCAACCCTCACCGAATCTTGTATGCATTTGAAAAGGATGAGCAAGGTGCTGAGTCCTTGGTGGTTGGCACGTCTTTGATTGAAGCTAGCAAAGATGATCCAAGTGAAGCCGAAGTGCGCTTGTTCTCTGTACGTCCATCGCATCAATCCCGAGGTCTTGGTCGCCTTATTTTTGATGCATCTCTCAATCGCATGCGAGAGCTTGGTTTACGTACAGCTGTTTTACGTGTGTTTGACACCCGAGGTGGTCTTATTGAATGGTACAAGAAGCTTGGATTCAAAGAAACCGGCGTATTGAGATACGAAGGTGCCAGTGGCAAACTTAAGATTGACGGCGTCAACTTTGTCATTCTCAAGCAAGATCTTTAGATCATAAATAGTACTATCCAGCATCATCATACCTCTTTTCCTAGACAATAAACCATACATCCCCCCCTTTTCATTGTGTCATATGAAATTGATTTTGGCGATATATGCGCGTGGTTCCCATTTTTGAAGTACGCGCCCTTTGTGGAACATTACCATTGTCCTTTTCTTTCGTGTTTACCACCCCCACATACATACACCACTTGGCCTTTTCTTGCCATGGCCAACAATCAAGAAGAGCCATTCGACTATTTTCAAGACGACGACTTTTTATTCGACGACAATGTGTTCGACGCCATTGATAAACAAGAATCCATCTATTTAAGCACACAACAACCACCCGATCCAGTCCATGTCCAAGAAGAACGGCCTAATGAAGTACCTACAATCGAAGTGACCTATCGCGATCCACCGCAAAGAACAACGGATACACTACCAACGACGGGCTATTCACTAAGGGCGGATGATACGGCTGGTCTTCAGTGGCAAAGTAGTCTTGGCCAAGTTGAATCCAGTGGATTACAAGAGGTATAGATACCTTGTACCTTTATTATTCATACGAATCATTAACACTATCAGCAACGCATTATAGCATCAACAACGCGAGATTGAAGGTCTACGATTCACAGTGGAACGGTTGCAATTAAGATTGAAGGAGGATCAACTCATCAACGAGAACCTATCACGTGAATTGACAGTGCTCCGATCTGACAAGCAGTTCATGGTAAGTAAGATGGCGTGAGAGGAGGTATCGACAAGATGAATAATGATTTATTACAAGGAACAAGAATTATTGAGTGCAAGACTTGAATTACAAGCCAAAGGAAGAGAAAAGGACAAGCGTAAGGATTTCATTGTGAGCTATTTATATACATGAAGCCTCATTGTTTGATTAGGATCATCGACATTTCCAAGTGGATCAGGGTTTTCTCTCCCTTCAAGTAGGCGAAGGTCTAATTTACCACCACGTCAACGTTCTGTTACACCATCATCTTCTCGTGCCACCACACCTGCACCTGTCATTCCTCAACGATCGGATCGTAAGCGACCAGCTCCACAGGAACCAGAATCACCAAGAAGCACATCTTCATCCTCTTTTCCTATCAACACGAGCAACGTTGATGTCGAAGTAGATCGGGAGCGTTATCAGGTAGGTTGGCACGCACATTCACACAGCAGCATCATCATGCATTTCATCTAATTAATGCCATACTAGTTCCTAAGACGTTTGCTTTCACAAGAATTTGTTGATATGGAACGAGAGAACCATGCTATGATCAAATCCTTCGATACCCATTGGTCACCATCCACCATTACGTTTCTCAGCAGCCGTTTTGCACGACGCTTTATCCCTGATCAGAGCAGACGTGATGTTAGCAGCAAATTAACCGTGTTGGCAACAGACATCTCCTCATGTATCGCACAGCATGATCCATTCAACTTGCAAAGTGTCATTCAGCAGCTATTCGGCGTCCTTGCATTGTATTTTTCGATTTGTGTGAATGACAAGACGTTGGATGTACTCGCACAGACCATTTACACCATCCATCGCTTGGTTTCGTTTTATAATGAGGCGATCCAGTACATGCTTCGTGATCTTCAACGTGGTAAGTAGTAGGAGCAAGGCATGGGGGGACGTCTTTATTGTGGAACTCATTTACGTATTCTAGCCGGGCAACAGGCTATTTACATGAAGCTTATTCAGTGCGTTGACGATTTTCTACAAACATTGAACATGGACGCCAAACAACAACGCATTCCTACCGACACATTACCCGATTTGACCACTGTATCTTATCAAGATATCAAGACTTGGTGTGCTGCCAATCGTGTCGATCCATGCGTGCTGCAAAGTGTATCAAAACCTACAGTATCTCGAGACACGGGTGAAAAGGCCATCATTCACATTATTGATATTTATCATCACGCCTTTTATTACGGTTCCGATATACAAAGGTACACCAAAATCATTGTATAGGAATAGTCCATGCTCATTGTTTTACGTAGTTTTCATTTCTTGTTGCGTGAGCCATCCTTCCTAAAGCTGATCTCTCCTACGACGCCGCTCCCTATCCTTTCACGTGCACTTGATTTGCTGATACGATTCACACAAGATGGTAATGGATAAAGACAACAATCATTCTATCTATCGAATACTGATTAAGGATGGGGTTTAGAGGATCTATCGGTCTTTTTCACGAGAACAAGGTTGCCGAATAATGAGATGTGGTCGGTGTCAGATCGTCTAATGGGCGTTATCAACATGTCATTGCGTTACGAATCTTTATACAAGGAGGTGGGTTTAGGATGGAAGTGACGATACAAGGGATATCTTTTTCTCATATAGATATCTTAGTGGTACACGGTACGGATCAAGAGCATCACCTTGCTAAAGGACACGTTTGCTACGCTTTCAAAGTCGGCTCGAGAAGAATGGGCTCATCCGGATTTGCTTGTGCAGATTGGGCAGACTATTTTCAATGATGTGTGGGCCATCATGGATGTTGGCAAGCCCCCTTATAGACCTATTCCTTTAGACCTTAGGTAAGAGGACATGGGGACATGGATGGATGGATGGTATTTATGTGTGTGTACTAATCATATATTGTAGTGGCCGCTTTATCCATGTCGGCTTACATCTTTTGAATGACATGCTGAGCAGTTTCGATGCTGCAATGGACACATCCGGCAAGACACATGATGCTTTACTCAAGATATACATGAAGATGCTACCTACGGTATCAAAACAATGGCCTGAAAAACATCCTGGTATGTGTGGTTTCCTTTAAGATCATCATCAGACGTTCTCATTTTATTCGAAAAATAATAGCTGGCAAGGAGTTGAAACGCATGCATCGCCTTTTACGAGCAATGCAGGGAATGATGCAAACCGAGAGTGCTTCAACGACTATGGGTACATGCTGACAAGGCTTCTCCGCTTAGCTTTTCTTTATTCAACGTGGGTCTTCTCTGTTGACGACGACGATGGGTTCACCTTGACAGGCCGTTTGGGTGATGGGAGCTTCTCAGTGCTGGTGGTGGTAGATGATGAGGTCTGTATTGTAATGGTTAATTTGGAGGAGTTATGAAGAGTAAGAAGGATTCCATGAAACTTACCAATCGACCATTCTCATCTTGTAGCCGTACAACATCGAGCGTTAGATTGTATATATGTCGCAAGACCCTGAATTCAAAAGACTTTTGCATTAGTGAAGGATGGGGCAAGAGGGAGGAAGCTATCGACTTACAATGTCAAAAACAGGGTAGATCCCGTCAAGTACCTTTGTAAATAGACCGTATGAATGATTGTATATAAAACAAGCCTAGAATTTAGAGACTTACATATTACGTTGTGCATAAAACTTTTTGGCAGCAAGATTAGCATCAGTGCGTGCATCATGTATGGGCGCTGTGCTATCAACGCCCTCGGTGGGTAATACAGCATTTTGGATTGTTTGGAGGCGATTGATAGAATCTACCATATTGCATCATTATCGCGTCATGTACGAGAAGTCTTCATCAGCCGACATAATACTTACCGATAAAGAGAACAAATATGAATCTGCATGACCGTATGTGTAACAATCGGATGATTAGCATGTTTGTTTGTTGACGATCGTGTATGACATGTTACCCAAAGACAATGCGTAGAATGTATTTAATGTGCTGTACCTCGGGGTTAGTCGACAAGAACATGAACATGTGTTTACGCCAATTGTTCGGCATTGGTGTCTACTCAACCATCTATTGTGAGTCCATGAGTCTAATTTTGTGTTAAGAATAGTTTACCATGAGCAATAGAAAGAATGCAATCTTGAAACCAAGACATGAGTGAGTATGGCGCTTTCCGATAATCTCTCTTCCTTTCCTCTTACCTCCACCACTAGGATGAGAAAAACGATCGTGTAGTATAAGGTCATGATGGTGAAAATGCATAAAATGGGAAGAGAGGTGTCGAAAAATGCTAGTTAAAGGTGAACCCAAATGGAGTCATTGACCCAGACCCCTGCTGGCGATTTACTTTAACCCCCCATTTCCAAGATTTAATTGGCCATTGTGTTGTTTCTCCTCCTTTTCATTGTTAAGATCATCAAAACGTATATCCATGCTGTCAATAAAAGGAATAGGTTTATTGGTTTGTGTATAAACGGTAGGATCCACGTGAAAAGCTAAGAGGAACAAGGGTTCCCAAGTATGCTTTGGCCAAGACGTCAAGCGAAGCAGCATCCAACACTAATAAGAACGAAGTCGATCGTGCCGAATCCATGACAATACTCAAAAGAACACCATCGTCTTCAGCCACTTCATCACCAGGTCCAGTGGATGGTCTTGGGATAAACACCGCTTCACTTGGGTAACATCCTTTCTCATGCCATGCACCTGCAATGGTTCGATCACGCATATTCTAGTAGATAAAGTTGTCAATACATGCTTCATGCAACCTGTATAATAGTCAACTTACCGCTTTGATAATGGTATCCCAAATTTGACCATCCGCAATTGAGCTGGATGCTGAAAAGCCAAGGCCATACATGAATGTGTGGGCATGTAACTTGTAGTTGGGATTGACTTGTGGAAGCTCGAGTGAAGGCTGCAACCATTTGTTGTAGGATGCTTCAGGAATCGAGTTGGTAGCTGGCGTAGTCTTACGGAAAGCACCAAATAATCCTCCTCCACCATTACCGCCCGCTGTAGATGGATGACGGCTGCCAGTGACCGAAACGGTGTGCAGCACATAACGTCGCAATTCAGAAGCTGCCAGTCGTGGTGGCTTCATTTGTGTTGGGTTTCGTAGACCTTCGACCATAAGCTGTTGTGCAATGGTATCATCGGGATAGCAGATAATGTCCACGTACACGTTGTCATTCTCATCTTCAAATGCATTGACATGATGGAAGCTGTTTATAGATATTAGTATATATGATGAATCTATATCCCATGATTTCAACACTTACGCAAAGCATGCATCAGATCGATAGGTAGCCACATGCTGACCACTTTGTCGCGATAGCACGTAAAACAGGGTTGGTTGCGAACGATTGAATGTGAATGATTCAAGGATGCTCTCGTTCCATGAGAATTTCATGCCACCGGATGTTGCCAGCATAGGGAAAATGGCCTACCATAACATGCATGTTACCTTCTCCCTCCTTTTGTAAAGTACCATCCGCCACAAAACTTACCAAAATGATATACTTGGGTGTGATAGAGAAACTGTTGACATAGGCAGCAGGTGCAGTAACCGATCCAATCAACGCACCCTTTGGATTACGATCGCTGATGGTGAAGAAGTTGTACTTTGTAGACTGATATCCAACATCCATAGTAAAGTTGATGTATTCACCGGTGCGTGCATCAAATTGACCATTGGGACAAGAGGTATAGCCCTTGAAAGCAGGGTTGACTTCATTCCATGTTACAACGCGTGTAGGTCGCATATCAAATGGATCCAACTCTTGAATCTATACCAATACGATGAGCCAACTTGCCCCATATACATATAACAAAGTACTTACATGCTTGCCACGATTTTGGCAGAACAATCGACCATCCATGCCTGGGATGCTAGGAAGCACACGTGCACTGCAAGGCTCATAATCAGGTTTGGAAGTAGCACCGACACCAACGACCTTGGTCAACACCGTCTGATTGGTTTTTGTCATGAAAAGACCACCAGGATGACGAGAAGAGTAGCCATGGTTATCTCGGATCTTATCAATCAAGCGTCGGCATGTCAACCGGTTACGATAGCTGATGCTGTTGCGCTGGCCGTGGATATCAAATCGATTCACCAATGGCAACCTTTTCCCCACAAGCATCTTTATCAGCATCTCATTCCCATAGTGTCCTCCTTTACTATTACTTACCCATCAAACCAGTGACCAAATGTGAAATAGCGAGAGACATGTTGCAATTCACCATCCACCTCAAGCTTGCGCATATACTTGATATCGTAGGTGCCGGGGCCCACAGTAAAGTGCTCACATACAAGCCAATCAGGTAGCTGACCAGATACTTCAAGATCCACAATCTCCTTCAAGTCGTTTGCATTGTAAAAGCCCTATGTTTTTCAACAAGGTTAGATCTCTTTACTGCTGCTATCATCATTCCCATTCCTTTTTACCTTTGTATGTGAAATATCCTTATCCAAATTTTCTTGCTCATCATGATGTTCCACATGTACAACAGGTGCAACTGTCACTGGGATAGGCTCGTCCGGGCTATCACGACCATTGAGCAATGAGGTATCTTCTTGCCAAGGATCCAAAGAGCTATCGTTGCCGGACTCAAGAGGTCGATTATCATTGCTGTTGGCTGTTGTTGCTGCAACAGGAGTAACATCAAGTGCACCTTCGCTACTCTCTCTCCAGGCGTTGGTTGACTCGTCCTTGTTGATGTCAAGGTCCACAAAGGAATCGGCAATGGGATCATCTTGCAAGGGCGATTCCGTTATCGGGACATCTTGCTTGTCTTGCTTCGTGTCTTTGTCCTTCTGCTCGTTGTCCTTGTTGTCAGCATGCTCAAGAATGTTGTTATCGTGGTCAGTGGTGAGCTTGTCTTCTTCCATGTTGTAAAAAAGTGAGCGAAACAAGCGGCGATTCTGGTGCCAAATTGGATGCCTGCATATTGGATGGATGCAAACATGTGCCCGACGATCCAGGCACTAGTAATAGAACAAGAGTCTTTTTTGAAGAGGAGCACTATGGATTAGCACCATCATCTCCTGCTGTACTTTATTCTCATTAATATACAAATATGCAACCTATTTACTTTGATAAAACGGATTCACCAGGCTTGATGACAATCTCCTTTTCCTTGTTGAGCACTCCCATTGCCTTTTCCAATGTTTCTTGTTTGACGAGGATGTAATCGGTATCATAGGTACTCACAACGAAAACAGGAATCTTGTTATCACGCAAAGGATCAACAATGCTTGCCAAGATACCCACAAGACCAAAATCCATTTGTGCATCCACCTGGAAACAACGCCATCCACCCTCGGTCTTGTTGGCTTCGGCAGCTACACTTGCTGCAGCGTTGGTTGGACATACCACGGACACTTCAGCTGTGGTTTTGGAAATAGTATACCATGGCAACGTATCAAACCACGTCGCACTGGGTCGGTGATCTCGGTCGAATTGGTACAAGGAGAACTCATCAGGCAAGATTAGTAAAGAGATCATGGTCAAGTTTGCTGATGGTGAGTAAAGGTGAGAAAGTAGTATGCTGAGTTGCGCAGCCAACAACGCTGATATATACACGCATCATTGAGCCGTAATGAGCTATACGCCACACAGCATGATTCATACACAAGTCACTGATCCCGAAATACGTTGAACATTGAACACATACACAAAGGTTTGGATTTTCCCTAATGCTTGGGCCTTTTGATTTTGGGGATGATGAGTTCGTCGTATTGACTAAAGGATTTCAAGTGGCGTGGTAATTGGCTTTGTGGAAAGGTGTTGTTCATTATATGCCATCTTTAGCTTGGCTTTGCATGACATCCCATCACTTCAAGTTCGACATGAGTAGCATACCATCATCCAGTTTTTTAGCTGCCTACACTGGACGCCAAGTCAAATCCCACAATGATATTACCATGAGCTCATTCATTCATCCCATACACCATCCACACCCATCATCTCCATCTTCATCATCGATACGTAATAGTACATCTAATAAATCCAATAACCATTACGCATAGCAAAAGGGCATGTGTCATTTTACACTTTACATGATAGTAGTGATAATCCAACAGCAACCATTGCCTCACTACCAGGTCCCCAAGCATCAACCCTTTTTTCATCATTCATCTCAATCCGAATCATTATTTCTAGTAGTATACTCGACGTCCTTGACAAATAAAAAGAGTCTCTTGCATACATACACCGATAAGAAGAGCATTGCTGTTACTAACATTTCATGATTGCATAATCAAACATGTCACGATCAACCTGCCGGAAAGATCAACGCATTCGAAAGCACCATCTTTGTAATGACGACAACAGAAGTCCCAAGCCTGCCTGTGGATGTCCCTTCTCTGCTGTCGTCAACCAAAATATGGACGACTTTTCTTACAGCACAAAAAGAGCCTAGCACGCTTACCTATAACAATTTACAGTATACGTTATCATAAGTGCACTTTTCATCTTATATACATACAACCTTCTTTGCGTGATTAGGAACGAACATTGAAGACCATCAACATCATTGCCACTCACATCCTTTCACACACAATACATTTGTATGCGTTGATCATTTTTCTCTATTGACCGTACGATGGTTGACTTGCCATCCAGGCTATCATAGGCGGGCCTTATTATAGGGGAGGATCCATTATGCACTCTCCGCCAATGGGGTTGACTCTTCAAGATCTGCCTCGCGCTTTGTTACACAAACAAGTCCTTCTGTATCTTTGTCTCGAATATGGGCGAGGCGATTGACAATGACGATTGACAATGAACAAATACCACCTTTCATATAGCATCACGCTTACAGCATATGTAAAACATAAAGACGTCCATATCTCACAACTTTACAATCAAACGTGGAGTCTTTAATCCAACAATATTGCTCAGCGGGGTGAAGCACACCTTGTGTGGCAGTTTCACGATCGTGTTGGCCAATCCGAGATTTCGCAAATGTCGCCACCAGCCAAACCGGATCAACCTCTTGAATTTTTTTCGACGACGACGGAACTATTTTTTGGCTGGCAGCAACATTGGTTGAATCTGGGATCGGCCACGATCGACTTCATAGTTTGACATAAGATCGCTTTCACCCCGACGACCAACTCTGTTGTATTAAAGACCCCACGATTGATTGCAAAGTTTCGAGGTACGGGCGTCTTTATGTTTTTCAGATGCTGTAAGCGTGATGCTATATGATAAGTGGTCTTTGTTCATTGCCAAGTAGCTAGACCCTGGAGAGCCAAAGATGCAGGAGGACCTCTGGGGGTAACTCAGCTAAAAAGTCAGGACTTCAGGGACAATGCATGAAAGGTACGCAACCCTCACTTTTATGTCATACAATGGCAGCTAATAGCCACTTTTGTGCATTCTCAACTTTTGTGCATTCTATTGTAGGTGGACGATGCTCCTGCTCTAGACATTCATTTCCATGATTAAAGTAGGTTGATCCGAGCTGATTTGGTTGAGTTACGCTCACACAAGATTACATCGGTTGAGCTACATCGAGCGTGCTTTATGTCCAGAGTGATGTAATTTCTCTATGACCGCAGCTCAGTCAAATCAGCTCGGATCAACCTACTTTAATCATGGAAATGAATGTCTAGTGCAGGGGCATCGTTCCCATGCAGTGGATCTCGCAACAATGATGATTGGATAAAAGTGGCTGTTAGCTAGCAATACATGCCTGTTCCTAGATGATCCATAAAGTAATTATACATTGACCCTTTCATTCATGCAAACATAGCTGTGTTACACAACACGACCCTCTGCATCTTTTGCTCTGTCAGGGTCTAGCTACTTGACAATGAACAAAGACCACTCCTCATATAGCATCACGCTTACAAACATAAAGGTGCCTGTATCTCCAAACTTTACAATGAAACGTGTGGTTTTTATTAGAGCAATGGGCTCGGCTTGGCCAACAGCACCTTGTGTGAAAGTTTCACGTTCAATGTCGCAACTAGCCCAAAAAATATGTTTTGGTCGTCGTCGTCGAAGAGGTCGACCCTCAGATCCAGTTTGGCTGGTAGGGACATTGCGAAATCTGGGAATGGCCACGATGAACTTCATACTTTGACACAAGATCGCTTTGACTCAGCCGAGCAGCTTGTTCTCTTAAAGACCCCACACTTCATAGTAAAATCTTAAGATACGGGCGTTTTTATGTTTTTACTATGCTCCAAGCGTGATGCTATATGAAAAGTGGTCGTCGTTCATTGTTAAGTATTATGCCTACAATAGAGCCAAAGACGCAGAGGGACGTTTTTGTGCAACCGAGTTAAACTCAGGACTTCAGGGACAATACTTGACAGGTACGCAAGCTTCATTTGCAGTGCATACATTGGCAGCTAACAGCTACTTTTATCCAATCAGCATTGTTACCCAAACCACTGCATACGAACGATTCTCCTGCTCCAGCCCATCATTTCCATCTTTTCATCTTCTTGATCCGAGCTGATTTGACTGAGCTACGCTGGAACAGCGAACACGAAAATTCTTGAAAGACAGACCCTGCGAATGTCTCCGTCTTTCAAAGTTGTGGACGCTCCCATTCCAAATTTTCAAATGAAGCATGAAGTATTTATTATGGAAAAGTTGATCAGCATGCTTGACAGCACCCATCTGACCAATTTTCAAGTTGGAGGTGGGCAACTTCGGGGCGGTGGGCCGTCCGCTCTTTTGTTGCCGTCATCCACCATTTGGGCCGCCCCCGCATTTTAAATCTTCACAATGAAGTCTGCGTCTTTAAATGAATGAAGTTGATCAGAATGTCCCAGCGAACTTCTGACAAAGTTTCAAGTTCGAAATGGGGAATCCCAAGGTAATACATACTATTTCGATAAATCATGAATCGGCGCTGTCCTCCATTTCCGATTTACATGGTAAGCCCACATTATACCCTCCCATTCCAAATTTTCAAATGAAACATGAGGTCTTTTTTAAATCAACGTGATCAGCATGACCAAGAGCACCATGTGTTAAAGTTTCATGTGTGAGATAGGAAATCTCAATATCAAGAATTGATGTACACAGTGTTCATGCATTGATACAAGAGGTGTCCGCCCTATTTAATTTCCACTCCTTCCACTCGCCGACTTCTTGTCTCTTCCTCCATTCCCAACTGTTGCCCCATTCATGTGTACAACTACCACCTGCGAACGATTGTCCTGCTTCAACCCATCATGTCAATGCTACTACTCTCTCGATCCGATTGCCTTTGACTGAATGGCAAGCCCATGGCGTGTACACAGCCTTCTTGTCACTCTTCTACAACACACGAGTCTCTTGACACGACACACGCTCTTGTACACTCCTCTGCCACGACCAATCGGAACTGCATTCATTCCAGCAGTTGCTATTAGCAAGGGCTTTACTCCATTGTCTCAAACAGCGTCCTTTACTTGCAGCAACTTGCCTTACAGCCTTGTTCACGTTGACAGCAGATAGCCATTATACAAAAGCAGCTTTATTTGCGCATAGCAACTTTGTTCAATACATACGACTCTTGTGGATATGGATATGGATCTGAATGATGGTTTGGTGTATGGGATGGAAGGGATTGGATATACACAACACGTTGAATCCCTTAAGCCATTGAGAACGTGATGTCTACTTTGGATGAAACCATGTCACCCATCAACTATACCGCAATGCAAGCAATCTTCAGCTGGTTGAGCTGCGATCGAACATGACCAACAAAGAGAGAGTGACCAAGGATCGGATGGAAAAGGAGGCATATCAACAGCAATCACTGGGGCTCCTTTCTACCAACATGCTGGGTTTGGGATGGTGATCGTGGGTGGATGAATGCAAATGAGGATCAAGGGTTGCGATTACTTGTCGCTTTGTCAGCAGGAACGTTGGATGGTATCACGTGGACATGGCTGAGGATGATGATGGATGGGGTGGAATTGACCAAAGATGTTTACAGGTATGGGTGATATTGGAATGCTCGAGTTAATGCACGCGGCAGCTATTTTGCGATCATGGATGAAGGACAATACAATGACGCATTCTTCCCCGTTATCTCTATGTGATTCACCCCCATACCTTATTCAATTTGCAATGCTATTCTTTTATCATATTTACTCCATAAACATCCACACTACAATGTACTATTACTTTCATTGATTGAAAATTGGATTCAACATGTTATTAAGAAGGGCATCGTTCTATCATTGAATGAGCAAGATGTGGACATTTGGACGACATCTGGATTGAGAGGGTTGGATAGAAAGTCAAGTTGCAAAGATAATGAATCCAAGAGTAGTGATGATGCCCAACATTACTGCTTGTTACATAAAAAGGTTACCTTGCTTCATTGTAAGCTTAATTCTTTACATAATGAACCTGCCACCACCCAATGGTTGACAAACGATAATATGTACAACACTCGCCAAGCATTACGAAAGGTCCTATCGCGTTGGGGACGTGATGCAGAGCTCATGTTGGAGAACAATGGCAGCAAGTTTATCCCTCTTTGGATAGGCAAAAATGACGCACGATAAACAAACATACCAGATAGGCAACATGACATCTTGACACGAAAAATGCACATATTTGGCTATGATAGATGGCATCTTTATTACATAGGAATAATCAGCATACTTGGGAGTGTTCATAATAGATGTTAGACGTAGAAAAAGGAGTGTATAGTAATAGTAGTAGACGTCGTGTTGTTGCATAAAAAAAGTATTGTCGCATAAAAGCATCCTTACATAAGATGAAACCGAAAGCTGGTATAGTGATCACCCATAAACAGAATGGCGATGACGACGTTGTGCATGATCGACACCATTTTGACACACCATGATACTCTTGCACCAAGGATCATCCAATACAGCTTGAGCCGAGATACGCTTGGATGCATCCAAATCAAGCATACGGCAGAGGATGCGTCTGATGGTCTTGTTGGTTAATTGATGAAAGAGGACGAAATCTTCACCACCGCTCTTGACAAATGCACGAAAGCCAACATCGTGTCTAACCGATGCCAAGTTCCAAGGCAAACCATGGCGGTATAAACAATACAGCACAATGGCAGCAGACCAAACATCGGTCGCATCGGGTTTTGTGATTGCTTTGTTCCGAACAAGTTCAACTGCCATGTAAGGTCGAGATCCAACGATAGCATCGGCACCACCACCATGCATGATAGAGGAGGAAGAAGAACGTGTGGTTGTTGCCGCCACCGTTTTGTTGTTGTAAGGGGAACGAAACACTTGGGCTGTGCCAAAATCTCCAATTTTGAGACATCCATCACGGGTCCATAGCAAATTCTCAGGCTTGATATCGCGATGTGCCACACCAATTGAATGCAAAAAGCATAGTCCCTGCATAAGTTGCTTGAAACTGCAATCCTTCTCATGGTCATGAGTCATTCGCATAGCCTTGATGCTTTGGAATAGATCGCCTCCACTGCACTTTGGAGACTATCAGTCATACGTCAACGATGCATGTATTTAAGTAGTACATACGTATTCCATGACGGCACAATAATTGCCTTCATATATCGCCAAATCAAATGTGCGTACAATGTTGGCATGGTTACCGACGGTGGATGCAATGCAAAATTCGCTATTGACGCGTTTCATATACTCACGCAAATTTTCACGGCGACGAAGATGAAAGCGTTTAATGGCATACAAGGCTCTTCCACGCTTGTAAATCATGACCACACCATTTGATCCATGTCCTACACGACCTGAAGGTACACCATATGAATCCACGCTTTTTCGATGTTCGGTGTCTAATAGCAGGGGAGGTGGTTGACAAAGGGATGGTATCAATCTTTGATGCCAATCCATAAGGTACGTAGCGTAGAGAGAGAGAGAGAGGTGTAGTAAGGGTAAGGGAGAAAGGGTGGGGGACTCATTATATGTAACGACGACCCATCCATCTATCATGTTTTCCAGCCCATTATCCAATAGCACAATTGCCTTGAGTTGTTTACATGCTGCATTCCCATTTATTCGCAAACAAAAAAAGGGGAAGATAGAAGAATTTACTCGTCTTGAACGATGGTGTTGCGCTCGGAGACATAGATACCATCCAAGAACTTACGGATATCCTTGTTACGGACACGGCAAGTTTGTTGAATGTCGGCAGCGGATTGGGAGACGTTCTCGAGATCGTTACCAGTGATAACCAACTCATCCTTTTGGTTCTTGGAGGCTTCACAGGTGACACCCTCGCGCATCTTGACTTGGAAAGCGACCTTTTGACCCAAAAAGTTACGGATCTCAACAGCATCGTTGGTACCATTCACAATCACGTTGATGGGAAAGTGAGCATACACATAACGCATCTTGTATTGGAAGCCCTTGGTGACACCAGTGATCATGTTGTTGACAATGGAGCGAACAGTACGGATAGCAGCGACGTGCTTACGGGCACCGTGGTAGACAGTGAAGAGAAGAGTGTTCTTGTTGGCGAACTTGATCTCAATGTTCAAATGGCGCAAGTTCTTGGTCAAAGTGCCACGGGGACCCTTGACGGTAACGATGCGAGACTTGATGCTCACATTGACACCCTCGGGGATGGTAAGTTGATCGTCTTTGACAAGGTCCTGAAGTCATAACAGTAGTGGTATTAGTGTATTTGCTCTCTCTCTCGTGCCGGTTTGTGGTGGCTGTAAATAATTACCTTCATGGCCGATTATCGATTCCCTGTAGAATAGAAAAAAAAAGTAATCCATCCATTAGTATATCCATCTAATCCATTCATCCATTCATCCATCTCAATCATCCATCACACCCCATCTGATGTAATGTGCTTGATTAAAGATCACTTACCGTATGCAATTAAGAGGGGAGAAAGAGGAGGTCTTCAGATTTGGTAACTGGAGGTTGCCATTTGCCCCCCATCCAGCTCGGTCCCTTCCCATGAATTTGAATATCCGATATAAATCCACACACACAAAAAAGTGATACGCACGTGATCTTTGCTTGTCAAACTAGCTCTTTTCCTCTACCTCCTTCACTACTTGATCCTTTATTATTTCTACTGACTCAAAATATTGATCATGCTGAAATTTAAGGCATTCATTTCCCCAGCTTGTCCAATGTGGAGTAAGGCATCGTGCAAAGAGTTCGAGACACTTAGGATTCTTGGGCAAATACTTGGCCATCACATCTTTTGATACCACAATCAATTTCAGGCTCTCACATCTCTTCACAAGTAATATACACATACCTTGTAATGGTGGTTTACGAGAATGGCGTCGACTTGGAATACTAATGATAGCATGCGTATCTGGTATCCTCCCTTCTCTTGTCGATAGAGGTTCTTCTTGATCCTGCTGTTGCTGCTGTGGCATGACAATACCCAACACGAGCTGCTCATAGGGTTTTCGATGAGGCGAATCCAATGGCACTACGGGTTCTCCTTTGGTTGTCACTTTGAGCCAATACCACACACCCACTAGCTTGATGTTCCATGTCGGGAATAGCTTGTTCATCACAAACTTGCGAAATTTGGGCTTGTTGGTCACCCATACTGCCAGTAAACCACCTGGTGCTATCAATTGCTTCATGGGTATCTTGAACAAGTCGTAAATATCTTGTGTTTCATAATGCGATGAGCGGTGGACTATCAACAAGGATAAATATATGAAACATCATCACCTTTCTTTTATTTACTTACCACTCTTATTGGGCCATGGTGGATCCATCACCACAAAATCAAAAAGGCCAATGGATCTTGCATGTGCTTTCAAGTCTTTCATGCCGCTTGACATGTCACTCATGTAGAAAGATGCACGTGGTGGAATAATGTAATCTTGATCCTGGATGGTGATTTGCATGGCGTTGCTGGTGGAGGGATTGGAGATGATGCGGTGAAAGACATCCAAAGGCTCCATCACGTGATCTTCTTCTTCTTGGAGGTTGAGGTCATCCTCTTTTTGTGTAAAGCGACTGGATGCTTGTGCCAATGCTACCAAGCTTGTAAAATCGATCCCAATAGCATCATTGCTCGCTGCTGCTTCCTTGTTGTCAAGGTGGCTGAACACATCTTTGGGAAGTTCATTGATACATTGGGTAAGAAATGGACGTGCATGCTCCTGGTGCCAGCTCTCAGTCTCGATATCAGCTGTATTCTCCTGTCGTTTGCGCTTTTGCCCTGCTGATGCTGTACTAGCACTTGACTTGTAATAAGGCTCATGCACACTGAATTCGCCTCGTCGCAATTGGAGTGGTTGTGAATGCAATTTGAGTTCCTTGGAAAAGGCTGCCTGGCAATCAAGAACGTCGACATGTTGCGTGGAAAAGAGGATCGCCATTGGAGTAGTAAAGCGACACACCTCAAAAATGGAAAATGAAAGCGGTGTATCCCATCATGCAGATGCCGCTGAGCACCGCAAGGTAAGGATAGTGTGATGTATATGAGCGTAAATCAGCGATGGTATTGATATCAACAGGCTACTATTGTAGTTGATAAGGGGTATCCTAGCTACAAAGAACACAATCGCCCTATTTTCATTGTCGCATTACCACAACCAGAGATACATTGCAGGAAGAGGTGGGTGGACAAGGAGGCTTTACACAAGCCATTATGTATTGTACGTTGGGCTCATCACTTAGATTTTCATCAAAGTATCATCAAGCCACTATTTTATTCGCCATAAGGCATCTCTTGTCAATATCATCAGTTATTTGTATATAAATAAACAGTGGATGTGTTCCCTTGGCAACAGTTGCCATGATTCAGCAACCAGCTCGTTGATCCCATACATGGCTCGTGACGTCTGTGATGAAGCAAAATTTTTGCTTGCCTTGTTGGATTGGGCCAAAGATGGAGCACCGACTGTCAACTTTCTGGAACGACTGCTGTTCATATCCACCACTTCTTTATCGCGTTTATCACACGCCCTCGCACATTCACACACACCCACATGTCCAACGGTATCTTTGTGCAAGGCTCCCTCGAGTCGCAGGTATACTTGCAACCCCATTTGTTTCTCCCAACTTGAAGCATGACCCCCCATCGTCCAATTACAACTTGCAACCCAATCACCAATCGACAATTCGACTCTCTTTTTATCCCATTACAGCAACTGATCTGGTTTATTATGATAGATCCTTGATCTTGCGTACTACATTTCTAATTTGCGAGAGGAGGAGGGCGAAGAGGAAGCTCCATACATGCAAGAAACCAGAAAGCTTCTTGCAGCAAACAACAATGACGTGTATATCCAGTTGGCAAAGGATGGTTCTATCTTTTTGACAAAGAGCGATCGTGGTATGTGATGATGATGATGAATAGGAACGAGTGAGCGAGCGACCACGTTATTGACGACCTATCTTTTATCACAGAGGTGGAAGGTGCCTTTAACTTGTTGGTTGTCATTACCTTGCAAGCCAAGGATGTGAATGCTGCTGTCAAGGAATTGATCAAGACTCTTACACAGACCGAAAGCACCAAGACAAGCTTGAAGCAAAAGATGTAAATGAATTTGCAAGCGTGATTGATAGAGACAACCATCGACTCATACCAAAATGATTGTAGTCTTCTCAACTTGTACAATGCTCTTCCAAGCAACTCGCCTCTTCGTTACGATGCTTTCCTCGGCCTTGTTGATGTCACTGCACATGCTGATGAATTGGATTCCCTTTACGGTCAATTGGATCATATCGATGCCTGGGTCAAGCAATGGGGAATTGATGCCCAAACCGAACGACAATTGTACAACCATGTGGGTGAAAAGTTGAGCCAAGTTGGCGAAGAGTAAGTAGTAGTGTGTGGATCACAACTAGACCGCATCAGAGAGAGAGAGAGAGAGAGAGTATATACTCACGTATCTCTATTTTGTTATAGCAAGCTCGCATTTGACTTTTTGCTCAAGACACTCGCCACCTACAACGACGATAGTGCTTCCTCAACAGATCTTGCCAAGGATGCTGTGATTCGTGCTGTGTCGATCGAGAACTTCTTCGCCTTTGAGGACCTTTTGCAATACACCGCCATCCAAAAGATCAAGGGCACCAAAGAATACGAATTGCTTGATGTGTTCTTGAACGGCGATCTCAACACTTACAAGACCTTTGCTGCTGCCAATGCCGATTTGATGAAGCGTTTGGATGCTGATAGCAACGTACGCAAGATCCGACTACTTGCTCTTGCATCGCTTGGCTGCGAGAACCTTACACGTGAATTGAGCTATGCTGAAATTGCAAAGAGCCTTGATATCTCTGAAGATGAAGTGGAAATGTGGGTGATTGATGTGATTCGGGCTGGTCTTGTCGAGGCCAAGTTGGATCAACTCAACAAGACCGTCATTGTCCACCGAAGCGTCCATCGAGTATTTGGCAAGGAACAATGGCAACAATTGAGCGAAAGACTCAACACCTGGAAGGAGAGCTTGAATGAAATCATGGCCGTGGTGGGCAACGCAAAACTTATTGCTGGTGGTGCATTGCAAGGAGGCGCAGCAGCTGTCGTTGTCGAGGATAAGACTGCACAACAAGCTGAAGTCACTGTTACCAACTCTTCCAACTAAATATTTTTTTTACGTATCCACACAATCCCATACAGCTTGTAAAAGTAGCAACAGCATCTACAACATCGCACACACGCACGCACAACTCACACTCACACAAGTCACTTTCTCTCTTTTTCTTTCTTTCCCCACCCCCCTTATTTTTCTTTGTCATCTTTCCGTGGTTCATTAAACAAAAACCTCATCCATAAAAGTATTCAATCACTTTTTGGAAAACCCATTCTCGTTTGTCATGTCATGTGTTTGTTTCATTATAACCAAGTTGTATATGTGCTTCATAAAAGTCAATCAACTACACACACATAATAATCCATCGGTGAGTACGAGGCGCACTAAAAAGACATACATGCTCGTTTTCTTACAATGCCAGGGCAATGGTAATGGAGTTCTTGAACGGGATGTACGGTCTTGTAGCCATTTTTCCTACGTATCCATATGATGTCTCCCATGGTCAATTGCTTAAAAGTAGAGCGTATCCAATAAAGCTTACCAGCTGATATATGCGAGTAACTGGTTTTTTGTTTCGATATGTTGGATATGTAGGAGTTTATCCATCTCCTTGGTCCAGTGGGTATCATGGTTTGGATAATCCGCATCCTTGGCAAATATAAATCCTTGTCGTTTCAAGAAGGGTGGTATACAGGTGATGCCATCCAAAAGAGCTGAATAGTTGCGATGATGCTGGTTTCTGGTAGTAGTAGATGGTGGTGGCGTTGGCTTTTCATTCTCATTCGGCAGCTTATCAGGCGTCTTAAAAGTCACCTTTGGCGTTGCTTTGTCTTTGGACAATGAAACCGGTGACAATGATGACACTTTTTCTCCTAATGGTGAACGACGTAGTGATGATGGTGGTTTGTCTTTCAACGTGGTATGATTGTGCGATGGTGATGGTTGTTTCTCTGAGAGTGATGAAGGATGGGTTGTTGGTAATGGAGATGTTGGTGCAGTGGCATTGTCCATCATTTCATTAAAAGTCTCCTGTTGCTTTGATGGTTGGGTTGATATTGATGGTGTGATTTGATCCAGCATGCTGCTCCCAAAATTGGATGATTTGAAAGATGATGGTGATGGTGATAACGATCGTTGTACGTCTTTGAGATAGGATGAGTGATTGTCTCTTTTGTGATATACCGAATCCACCTCACCCTCGGCATCATCAAGTTCAAAAGTCTCGGAACGTGGTGGTGGCGGTGGTGATGCTGAGGTTGTATCTCGCCGCTCCTCTTCTCTAAAATCGGGTCGAGGTTGCTGTGATGGTGATGATTCGATTGTCATTGACCTTGATGCTGACGTCGCGTCTTCCCCTTCTTTTCTATAACCCGGTGCATTGGGTGGTCGAGGTTCATGCTCATCCCAATACGCGGCACAAAACTCTGGGCAATCTCTATAAATCTTGATATCAGAATCCTCACTAGGCTCTTTGTCAAAGACCTTACTCATGGATGTCGTTTGCATTCTCATAGGAATTCTCCTTTGATGAAAAACCAGCCCATTGTATCTCATATTGAACCACTCTTCCCTATTGCACAATGTTAATCACCCTATCATATCCATACCCATCATTCAAGAGAATACTTGCTCGATAGATTTTGTGATTGACTATCCGCTCAACAGCGTACATGGGTTCCATATTCTCGCTCATGGCAGCAGGAGGTCCAAAATCAATCTTCTTTCTACGGCGACCATTGGGTCTTCTCTTCCTTGCTGTTGATGCGTCGGATGATGATGGTGTTGTACCAGGAGTACCTCCTGCTTCCTCATTTGATGGTACATGATTGCTATCATCATCTAAAAGGCTTCCACATACTGCATCCAAATCGTTGATATCGAGATAACTTGGTCGACTGTCACTGCTCCCAACAACTATAACGTCGTCGGAATCGCTGTTATCGGATTGGGCGTTTGTCACAGCGTGATCGGCGTTGGCGTTTTTGGTGTTCAGCGTAACATCCTGCTCATCGACACTCCATTTTGCTGATCTCATTCGAGGGTCGCTTTCGTCGTCTGAATCAATGGTGTTACTTTGTTCAGTAGCGTAGATCGTCATGAACCGTAAAAAGAGAATAAAGCCATTGAGCGGAGTGTATTGGCATTTCAAAAAGATATCAACCATCATTTGCCCAGGTACCAAACCACCCATTTTTGAATGACATCCTTTACCCTATATAGCTTCCCCATTGTCTTTTGTAATTCAAGTTGTGTTGTAACATACATATGAATACATGTAATCATTCTACCATACATTGTCAGCAGTAATGATCATACAGATGAAGGAAGATACAGTATCACGGCAACGGTGATCTCTTTACAACTTGATACCATTGAACATGCTATCCTTCATGGAGACGCGTGCCTCTTTGGAAAACGACTATGTTCATCATCCCAACTCATATAGCTTGAGCATGATGCATAGAGTTGCGATATGTATCTTGTGCATTCATACCAAGGAAACATATAATGGCCCAAATGGTAGCTGTGTACATAGGTGAGTTGGCATGCAGTATAGAGGTTTTGTGATTCATTATGCTGAATTTCTCGTGGATTGGTGAACGCATTGCTCAAAGTGGGTAGGTACGTGCCTAAGGAGGATTTTATCCTGCCATCCTATAGGTGTGCGCAAATAAGAAGCAAACTGTATCATGCCCTTGCAAGCGAACTAATTATTAGCGAATGCTTCGAGAGTGGATTTCGTTACATGAATATCCAACGTGGACTATGATTCCATCGTGTGTATACAAGGTGACACAAAATTTATGCAATGTGATACTTGGCGTCTTTATTGAAGAAAGCAGGCCAAGGGATACTACTACTATATCAATCGCTCTGTACATGACCCGATCCATGATAATAAACCATCTTTTATACTGCCCAAATTTACAAATAGAACCTTTTATTACAATAATTGAAAGCTTTTTTTTGTGTGTGTGTGTGTTATATGATTTATGCAAAGTTGTCATCGATATCGGCTTCAGTGACAGCCTCTGTTTCGCTGCTAAAGTTCATAAAGTGTGCAGCACGATGCGATTCGTGATAGAATTCCTTGGGAACATCAAGGACCAAGCGGTAGTTCATGTTGGCATTGAACTGTGCGCCCATAAAGTTGTAGTTCCAAACCTCGGATGGCACCATAAAGAAGCCCAAGAAGCGATCTGACAAGAGGATTTGGACCTTTTCAGCGTGTGTTGGGAGGTAGCCTTGTGGGTTGTTGCTGGTATCCATGTTAGCCTTGCCCCATTCGAAACCACCAGGAGTGAGCTTATAGGCTGTGAGCGATGCTGAACCTGGTGTGAAGGAGCAGGTAAGCGTGATCGTCTTTTCACCATCCCATGATCGGTTGTTGGCAAGAAGCTTGGCATGTGTGGAGACATCTTGAGGTGAAATGTTCATCAACTCTTGGGGCTGCGTATGGATCCAGCCAAGCGGCTCCAAATCGGAAAGATACTCGTGAGTCGGCAATGTGTTTGGCAAATGGATGGTTTGATGGGTGCCCCATTGAGGTGGAATAACGATACATCGAATCTCCTTCACATTGGGTGCATCGGCTGGGCTCACGCCATACATGAAACCTGCCACCTGTGTGCGTAGATCGGAAATGGTGATGAATCGCTTGAGAAGATTCTTTGGCATGACATAAGTATACGTGTTCTCCTTAATGTCATCCGAGTTGACGTAAATGTGGTTGGTACGCAAGTGGAGGTTGGTAGCGGAAATAGCACGAATACGCCATTCGGTCTTGGATGAGAAGGTAGCCGTCTCATAATTGCTGGTCGTGGTTACCACCATCTCATCACCATGGATATTGCGAGTCTTGGTAGTAACGGCTGTAAGCTGTGATTGCTCCTTGGTCTGCTTCTCAATCTCGGCAATCTGTTGACGCTGCAATGATGGTGCCTGAATCTCCATACCAAGAATGATATCACGGATTTCGGATTGTGTAAGCGATGCCACATTGACGTTGTTCTTCTTGCCATAATCAGCAAGGATAAGATCCTTGAGCTGTACTTCAACACGTGCCCATTCTTCATCCGTCAAGGTTGGCCAAATATGGTGTGGCTCGGTGATTGTGTTACGATCAGGACGCAAAATCATCTTGGTCTTGTCATTGTTGACGTGAAGTGCACGCAAGATCAACACCAAACGAGAGAATGCCGTGTAAGAAGAGAATGCACGCAGCCAGTCATCATACAAGTTGAACTATAATACAACGCCATCATCATTATTAGTCATCCCATCCCATGATTGAATCCTATGCAATAACACTTACCAAGCACATTTGTGGTTCAGTGGCCTTGAGGATAAGATCACCAAACTTCTCAACCTTGAGACAGGCTTGGAATGGCAATTGGAGTTCGGAGCCCTTGATAACAATGTTGGGGAAATCTATACAAGTATATAGAATTAATATACTAGACATCAATAAATCACATCAACTTACCAAGCAAATGTACTTCAAGAGGATCCAACATGCCCTTTCGGGTGACAATAATCTGCTTGGGTTGTTCTTCAACAGGCAATGAACGAATCAAGGCAGCGACTTCTTCTGCAGTCTTCCACTTGGCAAGCTGACCCAAACGCTTTTGACCAGCCCATACAGATGTGTGAATAATCTTCAAAAACAGTTGACCAGTGCGTGGATTGAAGATGAAAATAGCACCGTTGATAGGCTTAGTGGTCAAGTTGCCTTCGAATGTCTTGTGGATGGTGACACGATAGACGTTGGTGTCATCGACAAACCAAATGATCTGGTTGCTGAACAATTCACCATAGTTGGTTGACGAGAGATAAGGTTCAGTGGGCTCAGACGAATACAATTGCAATGCCTTTCGAATACGCTCACGCAACACGTAAAGAGCAGGGTTGGCCTTCATGATCTTACCCATGGCTTGTTGCACCAAGGGCTTCATACCAGGGATCCAATTACCATAGGCGGAGTACAAGTTGTAGGCGAGATCAACACCCACCATGAGACCAGTAGGTGATGGATAAATACTCATGTTGTCAGTGGTGTAATCCAAGAACTTGGCACGAGTGTATCGCTCAATGTCGTGAGAATCGAAATCACCCCAACGCAATTGAATATCAAGCCAGTACTTGGTTGTTGTAGGACCTTCCATGACATCCTTAGGGTCGTTCAAGAGCGATGGACGAGACACAGGCCATTTGTATGCAGCGAACAACAAGATATCCTAAACAATCCATCATCAGCAAACCATGTAACCATCCCTTTGTCCAATTGCCCAATTTACTTACACTAGCAGACGAATTCATCTTGTAGGATTTACGAGGGTGAATGGTTTCCTTTTGCACCGTTTCAATTTGAAGAGCTTCAAGTTCACGATCAAAGATCTGACAGAAATCCATGACAATACTTTCGTGAATCTTTTGCCACAAGTGAGCTATAAAAGAAAGATGCATTAGCATACGATGTTGTAAATGAGCAATAATAAACAACATACCTCTGAAGATTTGAATCAAAGAGATCTTCAATGTGGGGATCTTGCCGTGCATGAAAATACCAGTCAAATCAAGTTGGACCTGGAAACCAACATAGACATTGGAACGATTGATTGTGGGAGACCACCAAAGAGTGAAACGACGATTGGGAATTTGGTTCAAACCGCTTCGTTGGGCATTGGTCAATTTCTTGTAACGCATGCTCTCTTCGAAACCACTGGCTTTTTCCCAGAAAAGACCAAGCCAAGACGTAAAGTAGGTACCCTTGAACAAGGTGTGCTCCAAAATACCCTCGACACCACCCAAAGCTTGAATCATATCGGTACGATAATTGTTGAGATTCCACAATTTGCCATCGTGTCGGCTATGTGTCCAGTAGAATGGATTGTTCTTGAGCACCTGGTACTGCTTGAAATCGGTACGTACACGCCAACCCTTATCATAGGCAAGTGTATGACGATCCTTTTGGAACAAGGTGTTGATTCTTGGAATACCACGATCCCACGAGTCTTCAAGATCCTCCAAAGTCAAGCGACGGTTCTGAGCATTGGCTTCTTGACGCTTAAGAGCATATTCGGCCCACACACGTTGCGAATCGATAAACTCAGACTCCCAAGATTGGATGTAACGATACAAGTTGGGAATCAATTGATCCTCGTCATGGCTCATACCAGAGCGGAAATGAGTGATACCAGTGTCGGTTTGTTGTGACCATCGCAAATCAGATTGTGGAATAAGCACGTGACCCATGGAAAGCATACCAAGACCACCCAATTCCTTTGGACAAAAGAAGACAACAGGAGGGAATCTTGAAGGCATCTTCGAATTGAGACCGATCTTGATACGCGTTTGAATCTTGTTCTCACACTTGACCAAGAGATCAAGCAATTCACGAGTATGCACCACAGCCTCACGATAATAGGTCATCAAGCCAATCAATGCTGTATTGTACTTGTTGGCAATCTTGCTGAATGTGGTGCTACCCGAAGCCATCAAGATTTGACGAATACGATTATGGAAACGATCCATGGATTCTTGGTCAACACGCAAGTAGGCTTGAGCTGTTCTCTCCTTGGTTTGCTCATTGATCAAATTCCACACACCATCCTTGAGGGTGAATTCTTCATTCATGCTACGGATCTTGGGCAAGATGCGTACTTCGAAACCACACATGGAGAAGAGCAAGTTCGGGTTATCCTTGGAATAAACGCTCACAAAGCTGTCTTCCCACTCAATGGTGGTAAGCGAACGTGGCAAACGATTCTTGATATCCCAGAAGACGGCACGACCCAAGTTGACATCATGCTTCATCAAACGCATACGACAATCACGTGGCCAGCATTTCTTGTTGTTGTAGCCGACAATGTTTTCAAAGTTGGGATCGGGATGCTCTGTCAAGTAGCGTTGAATCAAATCACGTGCCTCATCGGCTGTGAATCGGAAGAACATATGGATGCGATCAATGTAACGAGAATACAATCGAATAGGATGGCGTGTTTCAGTGCTGACATCGCGATATTGCAAAAAGTCGTTTGGCAATTGAGGAGGACCAGCCATCTCGCTGGCTCTATGCAAACCAAGAACGAGCAAATCAAGCACCAAGCCGTAGTATTGGAAGATGAAGGATGCAAATTGCAAACCACGAATAAGACCGAATGCATTGACGTGATTCATATCCTTGTAATTGAGCACCACGTTGTTCTTGGCTGTAGCATAATCGGCCAAATTGTGATCCAAAATCAAACGCAACAAACGGCCCAAGAGAGTGAGATCGATCTTTTCATAGACACGGCTGAACTTGGTCTCAAGCATGACATTGCATTGTCCTTCGGAAGTGTCCCATACTTCAGTGAGGTTGTTGATACCTTGGCACCATTTGTACACAAGCAACGGGGGTGGTTCAGAATCGGATGGCTTGATCCATGCAGGGAACAAATGACGCTTGTCAGCTTCATACCAAAGATATTGATCCAAGTAAGCATCCGTAATCTTTTCCAAAGGCTCAACATCATAAACGGGCACCAAATGAGAGTAGAGATCCATAAATTCAATGCCGACTTCCTTGAACGCACGCTGAGTGAGCAAAAGACGCTTGATACGTGAAAGCGCTTCGTGTGGATTGTCATAAGCTTGTTCGATCAAACCAAGTTCTTCACGTTGACTCTGGTTCAAACGACCTTGCACACTGTATGCTTCACGCAATCGTTCCAATGCAAGAATAAGCAACTTGGTATCATGCTTGTATGACAAGGGTGGGAAAGGAATGGGCGAGAACTTTCGACTCTCCAACCAATGCACTGTAGATGTATAGATAGCAACAGCTTCTTCGGCAGTGATGTAAGGACCATCCTTGAGGTAATTGTGTTGACGCTCTTGTTCGGCCTTGAGCCACAAACGAGTGAGACGACCCAAGTTCTTACGGCATACGGTCTTATCAACAGTAGCACCACGTCGAATACGTTCACGGTTGTAATGAGCAACACTGGTCCACCAATCAGCCTTGGCCTTGACATAACGCAAGATCATGTTTTCAATGGGCACAGGCAAACCAGGCACCTTCCAAGGGATGTTGGCCTTCCAAGCGCGCCATGCTTCGGATAAATGTTGCAAAATGGTGCGTGATTTGTTGCCCTTGATACCTTCAGGCATGGCATCGGTGATATCGTGCAATACGGCAGCTCTCAATTCCAAATCATAGTGCGAATCGATACGTTGCTTGGTGACAGTCTTTGCAATACCCTTAGAATGACGACCTTCAAATTGACGTGCAAGCAAATTGCCGAGCCATCGTTCCAACAAGGGCACAATACCACGCATGAAAAAGAGCCACACACGCCAACCAGGGGCCCAGAAACCAACACCAGGACCTTTACCAACAGGACCCGTATTGAAGCGATAGTCTAAATAAAAACAATGGGTTGATGAGTCGTCATTTCATCTTTTACAACAACAATAGCAGCATTACTTACAAATCAAATGTTTCAAATCCTTGCACATACGAATTTGTCGCATCAAACGGTACTTGTAACGGTACATGCCAGTGAGTTGACCAACGTGAGCAAAGATGTATTGGAGACCATCAGCCAATTGGAAAGCATCGACGTTGCCAAGACGATATTGTACATGGGAGTCGACGATAAGCTTGGTGAGACGCAAGATTTCTCTGCACAAGTGGAAAGCATTGCCGAATCGAGACTTTTTGCGTTCCTTGGTGGTCAATGTCTTGACGGGCTTGAGGTTGAAGTTGTAATCCAAATGCAAGTAATTGAGATTCTTGCGGTGAATCAAGAGGTTCAACATGTTGTAACCTTGACGACACACTTGCAAACCGGCTTCGACCCAATCAAGCTGTGTGGTTTGGAAGAACTTGGTTTGCTTGAGGCTGCGGAATAGATACTTTTTGTTGAGTGCCTTTGGTGGGCGGTGCTTGAGAGCATTCAAGACATAGCATTTGAGCAACTTTTGATAGGAGACGCGCACCTTGACAGGCTGATTAGGTGGGCAATGCTCGAGATACCAATTCTTGACAAGAGGAATATCCTGTGCACGACGTGTACGACCTGATCGCTTGTCGAATGGATGAGGTGACCAATACAAGGCGATAGCATTGGCAGTGTTGTCAGTGTACAAATCAGTGTCCTCCAAGAAAGGCTGCACTTGTTCAGGTAAGCTGAATTCTGTATCCTCATCCTCGTCACCAAAGATCTCATCCTCATGCTTTGAACCAGCTCCTTCCAATGTGCGTGATGAGATGGGGTTGATGATAGGGTCGAAATAGAAAGCAGGCAAATCGGGATCCTCGGCACGAATATACACCACGGTGGGGTTGTGATACCATGAGACGCGCACACCACGTGGTAATGAGTTATACAAGAAAGGGAATGCGATCTTGTATTCAGTGCGAATAGGTTGGCGAATGATGATCTTGTTGACGTCGTTGAATTCGTTCCAATCTTCATCGGCTGTGTCCATGTCACGATACAAGGGTTCGAATTTGGGACCACCAGGAATGGCCACGTTCAATGCCTTTGCGGTGAAGAAGGATGGCAAATCAAAGAGATAAAAGTAGTTTTGATCATTCAAATCGGTCAACAATTGATGTGCCAATCGATACAAGGTCGACATGATAGGTAAATCCAAACGCCATTTTCTGTATGATGGGCCATTGATATGCTTGGTGTCGAGTAACGGCTTGGGATCATAAAGCCATTCATACACTGCTGCATCTTCCTCCTCATCCAATTCCATCTGAATAGCTTCAAGTGGCTCCACATCCATAATATTGTCGCCATAATCGAGTGGTGGTTCTTCATCATCAAAAGGTGGAAATCGCATACGCTTGAAATGTCGTCTGTCACGTTTCTCTCGTCGCATCATGATCCACATAGTGCCCCATTGTGCAATGTAAACAGGCTCCACAACCCAAGGAATCTCATTGACAAACGTAATCGCACCCGTGATGTGGTATAAGACATTGACTTCACGTACTTGCTCCCAAGGCATCGGCATGTTCTCCAACAACTTCAGGACAGCGTGTGGAACGTACTTGAGAGCACCAAGATAAATACGTTTGTCGTGTCGAAACTTTTTTGCTGACATGTCACCATGATCTTTGATGATCTTTCTCAAATGCTCTGGAGGCATATCTTCCTTTTCATGTTCAATAAAACCTACATCATGGGAGATCGATCATGATGAGTATATCATATGTATACACACACACACACTACACACGCGCTATCATTACCAAACTTGCGCTTCTCGCCATATCGTTTGCTTTGTAATTGCTGCCATTTCCTTGATTTCTCCAGGATCTTCTCCTCGTGTGTCTTTTCTCGAACTGGCGGTTGCTGCTGCGCGTAGCCGTAAGGATCGGTGTATTGCGATGAACCGCTTGGTGCAGGAAATTCGCCAGGGTGATTGTAAGCTGACATGGTTGTGAATGTGAGTATGTGTTGCGCTGATTCGACCGACTCGAATGAGAATCCTTTCTTTTCAATAGATGAAAAGGGCAGTAAATGGATTGAAGGAAAGGAAACCGTGGGATGAGTGGGTGAAAAGGCTGCAAAGAGGAGATAGGTCGCAGCAGCCCGCAAAATATTGAAGGTGACGTTTCAAGAAATGGCGCCCCCATTGTGATTGGTCGGGATTCGTTGATACAACTTGCTGGATGTCAAACCACAAGCTGCTTCTCGGTTTCACTAATGCTACTTCTTTTCTACCCGAATCTTTAGATAGCCTTCAATACATTCGTAATCCCCCCCAATACAATCATTGATCACAAAGAGATAGAGCATACAATGATTCCCTTCAAAAGATATATAAATGATAGAGATGCTTGTATTATACATGTCATACATTCATAAATGCAAATGATGATGATGATGGCTATTATCCAAATGGAGCTGTTTGGCTGTTGTAGGTTATAATTAGTGGCAATCGCTACTGGAAAGGTTTTATGTTGAAAATCCACGTACATGCTTCAAAGACTGGTAGCTTCGATGGTCTATTCGTTGAACCACCAATTGCACCTGCCCTTGAGCAAGAAAGCACATAGTTTAGTAATCGGATGAATGATGAACAACTTCTTCCTCCTCAACATACGAGCAAGGTCACCCAATTCGAAAGCGCACAACAATGGATCAACATGATGGATACATCCAACAAGGAGATGAAGGTCTATAGTGTGTGTAGGGATTTGGACTAGTGAGATCAGCTGATGATACTACAACATTATCCCATATCGGTATGCATTTGACAATCGGAGAGAGGGGAGGGGGAGAGAGAGAGGTAGATAGGTAGGTAACAAAAACAAGTGTCAAAACCAGCGGGGCTCGATATATTAGTAGCCAGGCAGCATGCAAATTTGTACCATTGTAGACCGCATTGAGCGCGTGGAATGTCGTGCAGGGAGATCGAACCATATTAAAACCCACACAGAAAGAGACAACACTTGTTTGCATCCCTTTTTTTTCTGCATATCATCATCATCATCCATCATCCTCATGGGCCAACAAAGAACATGTTGCTGTAACCGATTCGCTGTTCGACCTCATCGATTAATTGCTTTTTTGACAGGTGTCCAAGTGGTATGTGGTACACATACAGTCGACGTCGATCAACCATCCGAATTCAGCTAATTCATTTCTTTCAGCTTAGAGCATTATGGGAAATCTGGGGTTGCATTGACAACGAATGGCCATGTACGTAAGCAATGTGATCCTGTAGGCACCACGCATTATTGTCGGCTAACAACGGTTGCATAGCACTCGTTAACACCTGGATCATGCCAACGATCTACACATCATGCTTGTTAAGCATATGCATGATGACTACCAGCGCATGTGCCACATGGAGCGTCTACAAAGTATGAAGCCAACACGTATACATGTATATCCAGCTTGTTGATTAAACGTGTTTTAGAATCAAGTACGATCACTCAACATTAGCTGGTGGATCTATTATACGTTTACGGTCTTGGCATTCTTCAACAGCTGCGCTATCTTATCCATTATTTGCATTGCAAAGGATCGTTTCATTATTGGTTGTGTTGCTGACAATGGAGCCGATGTCACAAGCTTATCACCATGTATTCAAATGTGGGAGGAATCTGTAGCGTGGGCTGCTGTATCATCCATGTTTACTTTGATGATCAATGCAAGTATAGGTTAATTGGGAAAAGGGTATCCATGTGAATAACACAAGGACCTATAGATTGCATTTGCCTACATGTTATACCGGATCAAGTCGCAATACCCTTATCATTCATCCACAGTCAATCCTGAAACACGGTCAACAACAGCCGCTGATCCGCCACCCTACAATACCAAAAGCCAAACAGATGAAGATGGATTTCAAGTCATCGAGTTAAAATAAAACAACAGCATCATTTATCTCTCTCATATTGTTGATCCTCAAATGTCGGTAAAGATTTCAGGCTGCTGACCGTGGGAAACTCATCAAGGTCCGCACTTCTCAGCTTTTTGCTTTCGATCATTTCAAGGCCGTGCACAGGGAGGTATTTTACCACCTCCTCTCATTAGCGTATGATACAGCAAAAGAATTTTCAAAACAACAAAAGAGGCGCAAAATGAGCCTTTCATTGTGTATAGTATCAGCTTTATGGTATTGGAGAACAAAGAATGGGCTTGCCATCCAAATCATTGTGCCGAAAAAAGGGGAGAGTGATACAAAGAGCACATCTAGAATGACGCCAATGCGATCATCTTGGCTGGGGATCGAGAGCCCTACCCCAAATACGTGCTGGTGACCCAACACAACGATTCGAGCGCTATTTAAATGCCAAGCTCCAACATCGCTTGTATCACCCTCTTGCATCGACTGTCAAAAACATCCCGTCCACATCAAGTATCACCCATGTACGTCTCTAATCCATTTATCTCTCCCCTCAAGTCTTTTTTACTCATGCCAATAGGGTATACATGAATGATTACACCATCATCGAAGCTACCGGTATTGAGCTATTGGTTGAACATACACGTAATGGATCTCACCACGCGCGTTTGTCTATGCGGGTAAGATCATGTGCCTTCACATTCAAAAGCATGTGAAATGAAAGCCAGCAATCACTCCTCTTTTGATCGAGGCAAAATAACTCGCACGGGCACATTGTAAAAGAAAGCCACGAGGAAAAGGTTGCCACGTAAAATCCCATTGATAATGTAACTGCAACAAACACGAAACACAAACACAAATGAAATTGTGTTTATGATGGGCATCATTGATAAGCGGGATGAAAAAAGAGAGCAAGAGCAACCAATGTGTGTGAGAATGAATGGAAAGAGTGAAATGAGTACTTTCCCAATGAGAGAGGGATGCCTGAAAATGGGGGGAGGATGATGTTGGGGTCCCGTCCCTTATCACCAAAAAGACGTGTTTGCTGATAATGGGCGTTTTGGATGACCGCACCGACCCAAGACTCATATCCCCAAATCCTGCGTTTGTCATCATCTCTTTTTTTTCTCTTCCTTTCCCAACTTTACCCACCACACCCCTCTCTCTTTCTTTCTTCAAACGTACACACACACGCACATATACACACATCATGTCTGCTTTACGCTTTGCAACCCACTATACTATTCGTGCCCGATTCTATAGCACCGCTTCATCTTCGCGTATGGCTGCTGTTGCCACCGAAAATGCAGCCAAGGCAACCACTGCACCTGCTCTCTCTGCTGCAGCTCTTCATGCAAGTGGTCCTTTGAGAAACGACTGGTCGCGTCAAGAGATCCAAGCTATCTATGACTCACCTTTTATGGATTTGATGTTTTATGGCGTGAGTACATACATGATCTAGGTGAAAGCCGTACGTATCCATGGCAATGACTCATCTCGCGAAACCATCCCCTTGTATGTTTGATTACCCATTGCATCAGGCCAAGGTACACCGTGAAAACTTTAATGCACGTGAGGTGCAGCAATGCACTTTGCTTTCCATCAAGACCGGTGGTTGTACAGAAGACTGCAAGTATTGTCCTCAATCATCACGCTATGATACGGCCGTCAAGGCACAAAAAATGCTTGATACGGGTGAGGTGTTGGATGCTGCACAACGCGCCAAGGAGGCTGGTAGTACCAGGTAAAGTGGGATGGCAAAGAGAAAAGATTGAAAGAGAAAAGAGGATACTGACGTACACGTTCGTGACGGGTGATATGGATGTAGATTTTGCATGGGCGCTGCTTGGAGAGATCTTGCTGGTCGTAAATCCAACTTCAACAAGATCTTATCCTATGTCAAGGCTATTCGGTAAATGCGGGGACGAGATGGGAAATACCAGCAACGAATCATAATAGCTCTAACCAACAAAATTTATTTAGTGGTATGGGCATGGAGGTATGCTGCACATTGGGTATGCTTAATGAGACCCAAGCCAAGCAACTCAAGGAAGCTGGTTTGACCGCCTACAACCACAACCTTGATACATCCCGTGAATTTTATCCCAAGGTAAAAAGCAAAAAAACCAAAGCCCAAAGAAAAAAAATTGGCATCCACCACACTCTTTTATCTAAAAAAAGTCAACGTGATGATGCATAGATTATCTCTACTCGTAGCTATGATGAGCGTCTTTCGACCATTGGGCATGCACAAGATGCTGGCATTTCTGTTTGCTCGGGTGGTATTATTGGTCTTGGTGAGCAAGAAGAGGATCGTGTTGGCTTGTTACACACACTTTCCACTCTCCCCAAGCACCCTGAAAGTGTACCTGTGAATGCATTGCTTGCTGTTCCCGGCACACCACTTGAGAATCAGGAGGTAAGCCGACGCAGACTCCTTTTTTTTCTTTCTTTCCCTTGCTATATATTAATACATGCGATGTGCCATGAAATAGCCAGTATCAGTATTTGAGATGGTGCGCATGATTGCTACTGCCCGTATTGTGATGCCCAAGTCTATGGTGCGTTTGTCAGCAGGACGTGTACGTTTCTCGACCTCGGAGCAAGCCATGTGCTTTATGGCAGGTGCCAACTCTATCTTTACTGGTGAAAAGCTGCTTACAACACCCAACAATGAGTTCACTGATGATCAAAAGATGTTTGAGCTTTTGGGTAAGTAGGCAGATGGCACAATTTCCGTTTGGGTACTAACGCGGTACTAGGTCTTGTTCCCAAACCACCCAACTTTGAGCAAGGCTCAGACAACCCTGAGCAGCCTGTTTATAATGGCATCAAGATCAAAACCGAAGCATCTGCCTAAGGAGGATAGATAAAAGCAATGGATGATATCTTTGTACTATATTATACTAAAAAGTTGCTCTATAGAGTAACAATGGTGGTGTGGTGGTTGATGGTGTGGTAATTCATTTTCATTTACGCTTTGTGCTACAATGTCGCTCTCTCTTTCTCTCTCTGTGTATCTCCTCCTTTTTCTTTTTTCGATCCTTTCTTCTCTACACTCACTCTTTTTCCGTTTGCTTTCATCTTTAAACGCGGGCATCGGGAATCGCCTCGCCTGATTACCAGTCTTTCCTTTCCTTTATACACACATACACCCATTGCTACTGTTTGCCTTAGCAACCACTTGTCATCTCTTTCAATCCTCTCTCCTCTCGACATTATACACACATCAATTCTATAACATGGGACAACTCTTGTCGAGCCTGAGTCTGCGTGGAGGCGATGTTGCCGTACCCGAGCTTAACCTTGACTTGGCCAGTAAGCACATACACCCTCTCACTCGGAAAAAACAACAACATGATCTGACAACAGGTGTTGCACGTTTGTCAACGCGCGCTCTACCTTTTTGTTTTAGATGCTTCACCTTCCGCGGAAGAAAGTCAATTACACGATCGATTATCAGCATTGTTGGTTCAACCTGGTCCATCACTATTAGAGTTGCTACGCAACTATAAATCAGCTTCCACCGAGGTTAGGACAGCTATCGCTTCCCCGACACAGGAGAATGAGGATACCGCATGGGAGGCTGTTATGCCCATCGTCTCCATGCTACAAGAGTTTTATGGTTACTCGTGCGATTTAGGTAAGCATGGATACCATTGGAGTATATAGATAGCACTCATTCATCATCCTTTAGGCCAAGCTGTGCCCGAGTTATTGCAAGTGTTATGTCAAGGCGATGTGGCCAAGAATCTTGAAAACCATCAAGGATTAACCAAACTCTTTGCTGACATGCTGGATTTTGTCTTTGAGTTTGATTATCTAAAGGTAAATGCATTATTTAGGACTTTATGTGTCAGCCTTTACTAATAGGAAAACGGTTCATTAGATGCGTAACCCTACAATGCAGAATGATTTCTCGTATTATCGACGCATGTTGCAACGAGGACGATATGGCACAGCACCTGATGAGAGTACTTCGGACTTGCGTAGTGCTATGGATCAAAGCGATGAGGCCAACCGCATCTCTCTCTTTATTGCTTATCCCACGCCCATGCTCAAGTGTGTCATCGACACGACCACGGAGTTTGTTACAAAGCATCGATTGCAACGAAGCGTGGGTGATTGTTTGACAGCACTTTGGGCAGCATGTTTTCAAACCGTTAACAAGAAGCGTGCGCTATCACCCGAGCTTGTTGGATTTTGTCTCAAGGTGATGGTGGTTTCGATCATTCTTTACGACCATATCGATCCTAGTGGTGTGTTTTCCAAAAACTCGCCTATCAATGTACGTATTTTTTCTCTTGGCACAATGGGGGCTTCTAGAATAGAATGCCAAGCATTTTTCATTCTTTGGGTAAATACTGATATACGATATTGTTGATTCATTACCAGATCAAGAACTCGGTTAAAATGATCCAAACAGCCCATACCACCGTGTACAACATGCCCGAAGAGTCAAGTGCATCCAATCTCATGTCGGCTTTGCGATACAATTCCAAACATCTCAATGATGATTCCACACCAAAGGGAGTGAAGAACATGGTCCTTGCCGCTTGATGATGATGATCATCATCATCAATACACACAACATCATCATTTCCCTCCTCCTCTCTTTTTTCCCGACGCACGCACGTATTATCAACATCAAACAACACCCGCTCAACTCATGGATACCAGCATGATGATGGAAAACAAAACGACGATTATTATACTACGACGACAATCACTCAACTCTGCAAAGGAAATAATCCAATCACCATATACAACATCCTCTTTTTCTCTTTTTTACTTATAACTTAGTCTTCTCTTCTTTACGCTTTTCATCCATCATCATCCATCACCGACCCTATTCTTTCTATCTCTCTCCCACTCTCCTATATATCGTAGTCTTTCCCTCCTCTTTTTTCATCTTTATCATTTTCTCACTCTTTCGCGGGTTTACTCCCACTAATTCTCTCATTCTGTTGCTTTCCAAAACCTGTGTCTCAACTCTCTTTGATACGATCTAAAAATTACCAGCGTTTTAATTCTTCACTTTTTTGCAATCTTGATGAGCATGGTGTGTGGGTGGTGGTGGTGGTGGTACGTGTGGTGCTATTTCTAAGCATGGATGATGATGATGGCTATCCGAAACAAGCCAAGTGTAATATAAAAAGACCAACGGACCGTGGCTGAAAGAGGATGATGATGATGCGTCCTTAGACACAATGACTCACGTGATTAGCACAAACAAAAGGATAAGGGATGGTATCGTTCTACACATCGTCCATAATAGAGGTGATTTACATTTGGTGCTACGCCTAAGCAACACCTATGGAATACATCTTGATGTCATTTATTGTAACGTTGACACCTAATGGGGCAGTGCATGAAATAGGAAAGCGTATTGAGCCATTATTAGATCATAACGATGTTCTCGGTACACAATGAAACGAGGCTTTTCGCCAACCAATGTAAAGCATAATAATGGATCATTGTTTGCCTGGTATCTAAATTTCAGGGCACTATTACTTGGGTCGACGATTTCATTGGCTATCGGCAATCAGGGGGCCCCAAGAAGTTGTAGCACTAGTAGCCGTGGATAGTGGTTAGCAGGATCATCGAAACCCATCCCACGAAAGTTACCTACTATCAAACGTGAAATCTCGCATAAGGATTCATGCTATTTAAAGCGGCCTTGTCATTGATCAATCACCGATACAACAAGATCATTAAACAAGCTCACTACCCGGGGCTATTGACACCAACAATGCGTATATGGCTGCTAATTGCTGAGTAAAAGTGTGTTGATGCGGCGATGATGACCGACTAGCTGGGTGAAATGCAAGGTTGTACGCAGTTGTTTCCTTTCGTATATACTCTATGGGCAAAGCACAGAGCAAGTTAAGTTCCGAGCAAGTCAAGGAATTGCAACATTGCACGCATTGTAAGTAGCAAACACACAAACTCAACAAGAGACGTTTCTGTTTTTCCTCATTGGACACCTTCACTCATTGTCTTTTCTTTGGTGGTGCATTCTTATAGTCAACAAAAAGGAATTGCAGGAATGGTAAGTTTATTGAGTATATAGATACACACCCTTTCTACGACCCACATGTTCATCTATCTACTCTACTATCAAGGTACAAGGGATTTTTAAAGGACTGCCCGAGTGGCAAGCTTACCAAGCCCGAGTTCCAAAAGATCTACAAGCAATTCTTCCCTTACGGCGATCCATCCCGATTTGCGGATTATGTATTTGATGTGTTTGACGGCGACAAGAATGGCACTATAGACTTTAAGGAGTTCATCTGTTCTCTATCAGTCACCAGCCGCGGCCCTATGGATGAGAAACTTCAGTGTAAGCAAAGGTGGTTGGATGGTGTGGTAGTGGTAGTGGTGGCGAGAGAATTGTTCATTGACTTTTTTGGGATTACCAATAGGGGCATTCAAGGTAAATTGGGTCACACAAATCACCCGCTTCATTGCTAAGCCCATTATGTTATGCACATTCATACCCACACACACACACATACGCTTATTGATTTAGTTATACGACATTGACAACGATGGATACATTACATACGAGGAGATGCTACAAATAGTCGAAGCCATTTATAAAATGGTAGGGCGGATTGTGCAATTGCCACCGGATGAGGATACCCCTGAGAAACGAGCACGAAAGATCTTTACGATGATGGACCTGGTATGTCAAGGAATGGATTATGCTTACAATGCTCTTACACATCCTTTTGTCATTGTAGGATAATGATGGTCGAGTGACAATGGAGGAATTCAGAATGGGATCACGCAAAGAGCCATCCATTGTGCAAGCTCTCAGTCTATATGAAAACGTCGTGTAGATAGAATTATGCAGTTGATGTGCGACATGGTCGACAAAGTGATCGTTGTTCAGTTTTGTTTACAAGTCAAATTTAAATAAGTATCAAAAAGATAACCCAAAAGAACACACACAAGAGGGAGAGTGAGAGTGAGAGAGTGAGAGAGAGAGGTAAAGGAGGAATAGGATAAATATCTAACAATGGGAAGGGTGGGGGAAAGAAGTTGTTGGTATATTGTTGTTGATGTAAGAGATATTAAGATACACCCATAAGTCGAAGCCGTAAAATACTCCTGACATCGGCTGTAAAGCGTAACGCGTCGAGTAACGGTAACAAATCCAAAAGACATTGATCGTTGGGGTTGGAAATCCAGCCTGGAATAGGAATGCCATTTTCTAATCACCCCATAAGTCCCTTGTACATCATCATCATCATCCTTCTCCATCCTCATACCTTGAAACAGCTCAAATGCCGCGCTGCTGTTATCTACCAAACACACTTTACCCAAGTCAGGTTCAGCGAGGGAGATATCCTTGACAAAGTTTCCGTTCCGCACCACACATGACTAAAAGGAGATAATGTTTTTGTTAGAACATGACGATCCTTACCGCCACATTTTCCCTCTTGTTTTACCTGTCGAAAGTAGCGTTGAGAAACAAGGCTTTGATCCTGGTCCAGCCAGTCAATCACCGGATCTGCATACTCTGCCATAGATGCTGTAAAGATGACGACTTTGTACCATTGACTTATCTAATGACATTTACAAGAGTAAGTCCCCCAATGATACACAAACATCTCCTCCTCTTCAATGCATTACCGTTTTCAAGAAAAAATCGACATGCGGCCGCTTATAGACTTCATAGAGCAAGCTTTGCTTATCATCTCGAACTTCAATCTTTTTCCTCTTGATAGACGCGCTCACTTTTTGTTGCCTTGTAGCTGCATAGGATCCAAGTCGAACCGAGTGCACCAACGTTTCATCGAGGTCAAGTATTAGCGTCTTTCCCTTGTAGTATTGTAATGCTGCTGATACAGTAGCTGGTGTCGCTTTCCTATCCGTGGCAACGGTTGCTGCTGCCGTTGCTGCCGTTGCTGTACGTTTGGTTGGCGAGGATTGCTGTTGTTGTTGTTGTTGCTCAATGCACCTCCTTCGGATGGTCAGATTGAACATGGCACATAGGTATTGATATGCAACGGTGATATACTGAAATAGGTGCGAGAAAAACAGCCGTCGACGACGTAATGACGGGATTACAGGTGAACTAGTGCCACTCGTAGCAGTGCTTCCTGCATTGGCAACAGCAGTAGGTTTTGTGGTGGGAGGTGCCGGTGACGCCATGACGAGCTGTAATAAAGAAACAAAGTCTTGATGTGGAGTTTGCTGTCAATGTCGGGCGGTTATGAATAGAATATTGCGGTAGGCGCTGTGTGGTATAGGAGCAAGATAGAGAGAGAGAGAGCGAGTGAGTGTGTGAGTGTAAGAGAGAAAGAGCGTAAATGTGTGAGTGGGTGAGTGTGGAGATAAAAGAAAAGACAAAAAAAAAGCTCCCCTGAAGCTGGGGTCATACATAGCGCACACACACACGCACACACAATATCATTGACGGCATTGGGTCTTTCCCTCTCTTCTCACCCCCACCCCATTGACATATTGGGAGGAGAAAACATGGCGGCATTTGTCTTCCGAATAATGAAACTAAGCTGATACCATCATCAAATCTCTTTTATACATGAAAGAATGGGGATCATTGGAAAGATCATAGACTTCTTTTAAAAGATTCATGATATCATTGGGTTACATGAGTTGCGTACAATCTGCAGGAGTTGCCTTCCACCCCATCATTCTGATAATAGGCAAGTCTCATTTTTGTTTATCAGCTGTGCTCCGCTGATGCTTTAAACAATCAATGTGGCGGGTATACTTTAGCCGATATCATGCGCCCTTCCATCATTCACACACACACACACACACATCTCCTATATACCCCACACGTGGGTCAATCAATACGTCAAGTCCAATGGACCCTACCACATGGGTGATCATGTATCTGATCCCGCCAAAATAATATAAACGCATCCATCACTACCTCGTGCGTTGCTAGGCAACCAATGATAATATCCATTACTGAACATGCCAACCAATCATTCATTCATTCATTTAAACATCCTTGATGGGTTCATAAAGATCCTCCATCGGTAATTCTGTCTCGGCTAATAGAGAGCTAACCTTTTCAACCTTCTGCCACACACGCAAAAGATTGCCATAGGCTAAACCTTGGAGCTCTTGCTCGGTCCATCCACGACGCAATAATTCTGCGAATAGGTTGGGATATTTGCTGACATCTTCAAGTCCATCGGGTGCTACTTCAATACCATTGTAATCGGCACCAAGACCAACACGGTGACGACCCGCAACAGCTGCAATGTGTTCCACGTGATCAGCGACGGTGTTGACGGTTGCTGGTGTATCAGGGTAGTCGCATTCGACGAATCGATTATAAAAGTTGACCTGGACAACACCATCCGTTTCATCAAGACGTTCAAGCACAGCATCAGGAACGTTGCGTTCAATACCACATAGGGCGTTGCTGGAAGAATGAGAGAATAATACGGGTGCCTTTGTGATATTGAGAACGGCATGCATCGTCGAATGAGCAACATGGGAGATATCCACCAGCATGCCAAGCCGATTCATTTCAAGCACCAGCTTTTGTCCAAATTCTGTCAAACCCAAGCTTGCATCAAATGGAGGTGGATTGGGGTCACAGCAGGAAATAGCCCAATCGGTATCACAATTGTGCGTCAGCTATTATACAATCCACATCCCCAATACCCCACATCAATATTCGGCTGCTTCTTTTTCTCTCTCACACATGTATTTATACTTACAGTCATGTAACGAACACCTAAATCATAAAACGTACGCAATGCGGATGCCGAGTTGTAGATGTATTGGCCACCTTCCATGCCGAGCATCGATGCGATACGACCTTGTTGCGTAGCTTGTTTGAATCCCTCGGTAGTTGTCACATACTCGAACACGTCAGGGTACTTGGCAATCATCCGCTTCGTAGTATCAATGGCATGAATGGCCCATAGCATCTGGTTATCTTCCTTGAGTTCACTATATGGACATCCCACATGAATCATCATACACACACGTTTGCTGCTACTACCAAACTCCTACCATGGATAGTAAATGCTCCAAAATTGACCACCAACGCCACCAGCATGGAGTCGTGTAATATCCGTATGTCCTTCATCGAGATGCGTCAAGTCGAGGTTGTTGATTTTCCCTTCTTTATAGAACGAGAGATAGCTATTATCATACTTTGTCAATTAGCTCATTCGACTTGCTCATGGAAGCGTGCAATGTTGCAAAAGGGGCAAAAGGGGGAGAAGTGCATGATATAGTACTCACAGGGGCCAATCATTATGCGTATCAGTAAGAGGATGTTTTTTGAGGAAACGTTTGGCACGGTCAAGATAGGAGTTGTCGCCCAATTTGATGACAATTTCAGGAAAATCCCAAGATGCAAAAGACCAAGCGGATACTTGGAAGGTAGCAAACACGACACAAAGAATGGCCGCAACAAGTAGACGATGATGCATCATCATGAAACAAGGCCCCAAGGAGAGAGAGAGAGAAAAAGACCCGTGTGTGAAAATGGTAGAATGGTGCGGGTTCCCAAAAAGAGATAAATGCTTAAATCCACTAGCAACGCTCATGTGACTCAGGTAGTGTCATCCCCCTGAATATGGTAATGAATACTTCTTTTGAATACAATCCTCTATTGCTACAATGATCCATCATCGAGAAATGTCCCTTCCATCATTCATTACTTCCCTTTAGAAACTCCTCCCTCTTTCTATTGACACGCACCCATGATATTAAAAGATGATGATGTTGTTGTTGCCATACACACATCTCTTACTTCATTTTGTCTCTTTGCTTGCTTACATTATCGTTGTTTCATTATTATCCAACATTCATTGTCATGATGGTCGTCTTTGTTATACATTTGAGACTCCCATTCCTACACACACACACACAAATTAATACTACCATCATCCGGTTGATTGCGTACATCATCAATAGTATGTAGCCGCAACGTGTAGTATAGGGCACAGCAGCCTATGTGATTGAGGTGATCCTACATGTCCTTAAAAAGTATTGTATGAAGGCTGCTGTATGTAAGCATTGCTATTAGATTTACTACTTGACAACTTTATTCACCCTTTCATGCATGGCCTTTTCATCTCAAACTTTAAATAACTAACCAAGGTGGCCTACTGACAACAAATGGTAGGACCACAAGGTCGACATGTACATCACTATAGCTACACCAACGCCGTCGTAGATGGGGAAAATCAAACCTACAAAGACATGTATCACCCTGATGAACTTGACTTTGGCCATGACAGCCTTAGTCCCCGGGATTCCTGCTGCAGGGTAGACCTTCTGGATAGCCATCCCGTTTTTTCGGTAGATGGGATTGGGATACCTTTTACAACAACAAGAATGCAATACATGGCCATCAAAGTAAACGCATCTTCCAATTTGTATTGTATGCGCGCATGATAAATTACACGCTTTGTGCTCGAAGCATGGTTTTACTATCCAAAGAAAAGTGCTGAAATGATATACCACAAGATCCTATACACATCTCTTACACCGCCATCTATGGTCGAATAGTACACAATGAGACGTTTTGTTGATATTATGAATGATTTTTGTGATAGTTTATCCATCTGAGAGAAATATATTGAAGATTGATACTGAAGAAAAGAGACATTATAAGGTGATACTAGCATACTTGATGGAGGAGATAGAAAAGAAAATGAGCAGGAGGAGTAAAAGAGGAGCGATAGGAGATGAGGGGAAAGGGGGTTTGTTAAGCGAGGTAAATTGGTAGTGCCGGGATATTGTTGTCATTTCATCTACTGTGCTGTTGCTTGTACAGTGGTCGTAGTAGTGGTGGGTGGTTTGCTGATATGATCTTCCTTGCTCTGTTCAATCAATAAATCAGGATTCACTGATGACCAACGCATCCAACTTGAGAGGACAGCCAACTTGAGACGGAAAGCCATTGGCAGGAATGAAGATGATTTTGTGGGAGGCGAGGGACGTACAGGCCATGATTTCACAGGTGTTACTTGTTGACGTACACCTACAACGCGGCTTTCAAGGATGACTTCGTAAAGAGTGAGTTGCCATGCACCACCAATTTCGATTTGGATGGTTTCCTTGGCCATATCACGTAGTCGACGTAATGTCTGCTTGGGCATGGGACGTAGCACATTGAAAGCGAGATCGACTCTATCCATAGGGCTGACATCAAGTGCACTACAGCGACTCTTACATTTGGCTTGAATGCGTTTGGCAAGAGCTGCATATTGTGGATCCACGCGGAAACGCATTGTCAATGCAGCACGAGACACTTCATAACCACAAAAGACAGGTGGTGGCAGCTGAATAGAGCTTAATTGCTGTTGGACCGTTGATACGAAATCATCCACAGCATCCCACTTGTTGTGTTCATGATCATTGGTTGCGCTGCCACATTCGATATGGACACGACTGAGAATGGAGATATGAGGTGCAGAATTGTGTGCTTGATTAGGCCCAAACTCTGTAAAAGATCGTTCTTGAAACGTCTCCAATGAACGCTGGAAAGCGGTGTCTTTTGCGGGCTCCAGATACAATGCAAACGACCTTCGAGCTTCCCTCAAACGATGAGGAGCCGGTGTGCCCGAATCAGCTGTCAAATGAAAGGGATCGAGTTGGAACTCGGTAAAGTCGGGAACGTTGTTTGACATGAGGAAACGAGAGTTGTGGGTAAATGGGCGAGCAAGTGAGTGAGTGAGCGAGAAGGATGAGTAGAAAATGAGGAGAAAGAGGGAAAAAGGAGTGGAATGAGCGAGAAACGAGTTTTACAATGTCAAAACACTCGTACAGTTGCAGACTTGGATACACTTTTTTTTTCTCTTCAACCCCCCTTTGAAACACAATAAGCTGATTGAAAAGACTCGTTCGTGTGTTTAACATGCCATTTCGGGATACTCCTCGTGTTGCCATTAACTAGCATTAGTCCTGCCGATATGTTGATCCGCTAGTGTATCACATGTTTAGAGACATTACTGATATATTGATTCAAAAAGTGGATACCACATGTCGACCGATGTACATCAATTACATTGCAGCAACACTTCTATGCTATGATCATACACGAAATCACCACCAAAATACGCCAACTCTCTCTTATTTCTTTAAATCACGCACTTCTCGTTCCAATTTTTCTACAATCTCGGCCCACCTTGCTCGTTCTTGACTGCGTACCTGCCGCAGGGTCTCCTTGATCCTTTCATTCTCACTTTGACTGCTATGCTGCTGTTTCATCTCCTGGATGGTGTCAGCCAATTGGGCGCGTTCCATTTTGACCATCTCCAATTCTCGTTTAAGCCGCTGATTCTCTTGCACCAGCCGATTGTTTTGGATAATCCACGTTAAAGCTTCATCCATATTGGAGACTGGCATGATAGGTGATTTGGTTGCATTGGCATACGCCCACGTGCTTGGAAATTGTGCCGAATAATCAATCACATTACTTTGGGAACGTTCATGGCGAGAGGAGGAGGATGATGCTGTTCGTTGTTGATGATGGTTGGATGGATCTTGTAGTTGTAAAGGTTTTGGTGGTTGTCGACGTCTTGATGATGATGATGGGATCGGTGTTGATGCGGTGGGTGTTGGTTGGACAGGCTCGATAGCGGAGGACTAGATCAATGAAGCAAAAAAAGTACAAGTTGCACATGTAAATAGAAACGAATACAAATGATGTTGTCATACAATACATACGGGTGGTCGAGAAAGCGGTGGTGATGGGTATCCTTGGAGATCACTATACAGGTTTACATGATGAGCATCGCTTTGGTTGTTGTTGTTGTTGTCATGGCAACATTATTATTCATACAACGCACATACCTTTCATGCATGGATGTGGGTGAAGCAACAGTGGTAGTGGGTGATGGGATCCCTGGATCATCTGCATTTAGCTTTGAGTTGATTTGAAGAGATCGATGTCGCCACTTTTGAGAAGAAGCTGAAAGACGTTTCGTGGCTGCATCTGTCAACAGTGATGTAGAAAAGCTTGTATTCGTGCTACGGCGGCGAAGCTGATAGTCCTTGAGCTTAGAAAAAGAGAACACCCCGCCATAGTTAGTAAATGCCTATGCATTTATCAGCTATCAACAACGACTCACCTTTTTGCGTCCTGCTTCCAAAAGCTCCTCTCGTTGTAATTGCGACATGAGGTCGACATTAGCACCAGAGGAAACAAAGAGAAAGAAAAAGGATGGGGGCCCAGGCCTGGTGGTCGGTCAAGCTACCACATCAAGTGTTTCAAACAGCGCGCACCAAGGTCGTCCTCGTTTTGGAAAGGTTCCTCTTGGAAAGATCGACACTCTAACTAATGCTGTGAGACCTGCATTACACCAATAGATTAAAACACTACATTACGCTGGTTAAAGTGGTCTTTTACCTTTGGTAATAAATAGTCATTCCAATATGATCGTTCTTGATTTATGCAGAAGATGGTTCATTCATGTATGTGTGAAATGATTTGGTGGTGGTTGTATCATCACAGCAGCAATAATAATGTTGGACATCATGCCTACCGGCTTGGATGTGGAGGTAAGCGCTAATCGTAAACCCTGCAACATAGTCACGTGCCCCTAGAAATCTTCCTAAACATCCATCCTTGAGCATTGCCATCTTCCTTTGTACCTTCTTTAATCCCACAAATGAAGACTGCTATACCAAGTGCGCGTGTGAGTTGCTCTTACCCAGCTGTGTAAGATTATTGATGCCAACGTTTTGCTATACATACTGACAACAATTACCTCCTTCATTGTGTGGGTTACTATTGTAATGGAAGAGAGGCCCTATGAAAGTAAAACATCATCATAAGAAAGACGACGTTAATGTCATTAGAGAAAGCCTGCTTGTGCTAAAGCAATTGAAACTGAGCTAGGGGATTAAGACTCATTGGACGACTTTAAGATGCGTGTAAGGACGTATGAAAAAGGCAGTGGTGGATCCTGAGCATGACATCGTTTATCCCAACAATAATCCAAAGCTACATGTTGGTGCCTGAATGTGACATGTGCCAAGGAGACATGTATAAACACGCATCGAGAAAGTACATTAACCCCTTTGAAGATGCCCTGTCAAGGATTTGGGATACTCTTGAAGGCACCCAAAAGTTATTTATACTCTGACGGCCATCCAAGGCTTTTAAAGTCTTCAATGGTATTCAAAACTATAGTATGGCTACATACATCCAAAAGCCTTTAAGGATACTCTGTGAGATGACGTTGCATTCAAAAACGTTTTAAGGCAGCTCATGGCTTCATGCAATATGTATACACTGCTGCTTTTAACGAAGGTCTTCAATTGGAGACATGTGAACCCAGACAAGTCTTTCAAATTAGTTTACAGGCAGCTTTGCTAGAAAGCGATTGTTAAGCCAATTTATAAACCTCGTGATATGAAAAAAAGAGGTCGCATTACTGTCACTGGTATCGATCACTTCCCTAAAAATGGTACACTCGCCGGCCCAAAGAAAAGCACATCCAATACAAACCTCGAATGAGACCCTTTTCGGTATTCATGCAGGTGATGCAGGTTTCATATGCTGTGCATGCTTGAAACACTTTTTGGCAACCACACTATCATACGCCATCGTATCCGAGCAACCATGATACAGTTGCTATGTACAACCATATCCCCATAGCAACGAATCCACCTTTATTTTGTAGATGTTGTATCGATCCCTTGTATGCGATGAATGGGCTATAAGTATTACTATGACAAAATTATCACGTGTTTATACCCAGCTGTGACAGCCCCAATGTCTGGGAGAACTACGTAATTTGCATCCAAACATTGACATGAGTCAAGCATTGTACCTCGTGTTAAATGTACATCTCGGATATCAGCAGCCACTCGGATGAGTTGAGCGCTGTTCTTGCAAGGGTGACGCAAAGTATCGGGAAGAAGTGGATATAGTTATATGCAAGTCCACCTAGTGTATTAGAAGCAGTGCATTCTTATATCTCAAAGACAAGTTTATTTGCGTTCTTGTCCTACATTTATGTGCATATGGTTAAGTCATGACATATTGTCGTCGATATAAACCGATGTGTGTTACGTAGGAAGGGTGTTGTGTAGCCGTAGATGCCAATAATGATAACGCACGTTGACTGATATGATAAAAAGGTGATTGTTAAAAGAGCGGTTTAGGGATGATGACCGGCATGGATCAGCCGGCATCCCCGAAATGCTGGATTAAAGGGTGATTGGGTTGTAATGTGTTGTGTTGTGTGTGTTGTGCGTGGTGGATGTGTGCTTGTGACACAAATGAAAAGCAAGATGCAAACAAACCCAAGAGCGAGAAAGAACCAACACCAAGTCGGGTCCCCTCGTGTGGGCCTCTATTGGCTGAGATTATAATTTCTCGAGTGTTTCGTGAAAAAAGAACTGTCTCCAAGACGTTCCCTCTTCTTCCCTCCCCTTTTTATAACGCGCGCTCAAACCATGGGTGAGTAGAGATACATTTATTGATGCGATCCATTATTAGGTTATAGTAACCATGTTTTTTCTTTTTTCAGCCGAGGATAAACCTGCTGTCAAAAAGACCAAGCTTAACAACGGAGCAGCTACCAGCACCACAGCTTCCAGAGCAACCGATACAACCTTGCCAATGTCTGAACGATTTGCAGGTTACAGCTTCAAAGTCAATGAGGTAAATTACTCCTTGGTCATTGGAAGCGACAAGTGCACTAACGATGGAGTCGACTCTTCTTTATAGCCACCCAAGGATAGACCTGTTCGTGTCTACTGCGACGGTAAATAGGCAACAAGCAGTGTATTGAGGATGATCATACTCACACATACTCGTTACAGGTATCTATGACATGTTTCATTTTGGACATGCCAAAGCATTGGAGCAAGCCAAAAAGGCCTTTCCTGATGTTTACTTGATGGTCGGTGGTACGTTTTTATTTTCCTTCGTTCTTTCTTTCTTTCTGAGTTACCTGGTTTTTGGATGACGAGGTGTTGTATGGGGTGATCAACAAGGGGTCTAATGAATGTGATAGTATCCAACGATGAGGAAACGCATAAGCGTAAGGGTAAAACGGTGATGAGCGACAAAGAGCGGTATGAGGCTGTACGACATTGTCGATGGGTGGATCAAGTGATTGAAGAAGCCCCCTGGTTCGTGACCCAGGATTTCATCGATAAGCACCAGATCGACTATGTGGCCCACGATGCTGAACCTTATCAATCAAGTGAATCCGGCGATGTCTATGCTTTTGTCAAGGATCAAGGCAAATTCTTGCCCACTCAGCGCACTGACGGCATTTCTACCTCGGATCTCATTACTCGCATTGTGCGTGATTATGATGCTTATTTACGTCGCAATCTTGAGCGAGGTGTGAGTGCCAAGGATCTCAACATTTCATATTTGAAGGTATGGAAAACAATGGAAGCCATATGGCTCGTGCTTCAAGAGAAAGAGAGAGAAAGAGGCAACACAGCAAATGACGGAGGATGAACTCAAACTTTGCTTTCTCGGAACATGTAGGAACAAGAAATCAAGACCAAGAAGTCCATCGATGATCTAAAGAAGACCATAAAGTCAGCTGTATTGGATCAACTCGACAATTGGGAAAGCCAAAGTCATGATTTTATTCGTGGTTTTGCTGGCATGTTTGGAGCAGAAACGGTGGTGGATCGATTTTTGCAAAAGCGCAAAAGAGCCCTTGGAAGCAAGAGTAACAGCAGCTCACCAGCACCCAGTGTCAGTAGTCAAAGCAGCGCCCACAGCGAAACCGATAGCAACAGCAACAATCACAAAGTAGACGAACAACTCAAGCACTAAAAGAGCACACCATCGTCCCACACATCCATCGACACTCACACACACACACACACACGCACTCATCCATCTCTATTTCCTTTCCCTTATGTGCCCGCCCGCGTATCCTTTTTTCTTCGTCAACTTTCACATATAGATACCTAAATAGCTTTCCCATTTTTTTTCGTCTCACCACCCACTTATAATACAACAAACAATTTGATGAAGCATATGACTTATTAGATGTACATATTCAGTGTCACCTTATACCCTCTTTTTTCATCCTTTTCTCCGTTTACCTCATTTGGACAAGCCAATAATGATAAGCACAGACGCTTGCTAATCGCTTTACCCCCCATGTTACACGTCGGTTATGCATTACTCGTGGTAGCAAGATCAAGCAAATGTGTTGAGAGTGTTTGATTCATATTGAAAATTAAGGCAAGTAAGCCAAGGTAGATAGGTGGTTCTTTATTGCATCGACATATGAATAAGCTTGTGATTCGCATGTTGATCTTATGGGTGCAGAGGGTAATGGACAAGGAAAGAAAAGAAGATGATAGATTGAAGTCGTGTGTTCAGTCATTGATTCATGATGCATGGTGACCTATGTCATAACGACTTAGCAGCTATCAGCGTTGATCCCCCATGACTTGATCCTCAATCATGCAGCACGTGTCAACCACCAGGTACTTGTAGGATAAACAGCATTGAATTTATACATGCGTGATGAACTACTAAATATCCACACACTACTATTGCCTCGAGTTGTATACCCCATTCCCGTCATCTTCCATGTATCCAACATCCCATTGACATGACTTTTTGACACCAACAAAGACCACGCGATGGTACTTTTTTTTATTGCACTCAAGCGACCCAGCAAGCACGGATGAATTCACTAAGACCGACATCTTGGGTGTTGAATTGATAGCAACCAACAAGGACACCAGCAGTAGCAGCGTAGAGAGTACCCTTCATAAGAGGACCAAGAACGGGAGCCTTGCGCTTGTTGAAGTAATCTTTTACAGGAAATACCCATATTAGTCATGTACATGTTACACCTTTTCCTCCCCTCCCATCCTAGTCATCTCTCGCATTACCAATGATACAAGCATCGAAACCTAAGTGATAGAAGAACATGATGACACGATTAATGCATTGCATAGTTGTGGTGATGATTGATTTGTGTGCATACCAATATGAAGATGGACAGGCAAAACAACACCCAAAAGAGTATCAATCACAGGGGATGCGCCAAAAGCAAGTTGACCAGCGACGATGGGAACCAAAGCAGCAGAGGCGGCACGCTCCAAATCCCAGTGGTAGGAGCCATGCAAACGGTCAGGGGCATGAGTGGTGGTGGTGGCGTTGTTCTTAGTGGCAGCAGCTGTTATATAAAGTGTGTGCGTCAATAAAAGTCGTAAAGACAACGATGGGACAATGGGAATCGCGCATGCATGTGTGTAGTAGATAACGTTATCTCGTAATGGGGGTTGTACTCACAAGAGTGAATCTTGACCAAAGCCATGGGCTGCTGACGAACCAAGGCACGTGCAGTAGAACGCACAACGGGAGTGGCGAGACGAAGTGACATGTTTACTGTATGTGTGTGAGAGAGAGAGTGGGGAGATATATAAAGTGAATAAAGAAGTAGGCACGGCAGGAAAGAGATAAACACAGCTTGGAATCTCCACACTGGGAAACCAGCCGGTTCGGAGTAGACCGGTGGATGACGTGTATCTCACATGTGAAAGGAGGATGGAACAACATTTAGCAGTGGTTGGTTGTCCTGACCAATATGGACCTTCCATGAGAATTGGGAACACTTCCTCACTACCAAATCTTTGTTTTTCTTTGTTCAACTCAATGAATAACTACAAATCATTATCTCCATTCATGGTCCCTGGAAGGGTAGGTTTATTATCATCCAATCAATCAAAAAAGCCCGTTTTTCCTCAAATGTTACAGGTTACTACGACGACGTTGCCATGGCACCCTCTTTTTGCCTAGCAACGAGTGACATGTATTTCCCCCCCCCATGATGTATCTAACAAGGCCCATCCGATTTGTATTGAGGATGCAGCATGAGGTGGTGGCTCATCCTTTAGTATCAACCAGCACGCGAAATGTGTAACCCCGTTGTCGTCGTCGTTGTCGTCGCTGCAAAGCAGGAGAACAGCAGCATTCATCATCCTTTTTTGTGCGACATGGCTGATTTGATCCGTGATCCCATCTTTCTCTCGCTGCAACCACAACCATGGCTCTCGACATCTCGCTCATTTTCCGTGCCGTCAACATAATCGCAGCCGTGTTTATCATTGTCGGTGGCGTGAGCACGATTATCAAAGGTAAGAAGGCCAAGATTAGCTATTGGAAAGTATGCCCACTTGTTATTGACCGCTCTCCTTGTCGCAAACTATAGGAGGTAGTTATCGTCGCGTGTGTGTGTTTTAGCCTTCTGCCTTTTTGGTATACTCAAGTAGTAGGATCATGGTGATAGGTTTTCCCAATTTCATCCAGGGTATCTTTTGCATGTAAGTGAGCTGCGTTGAAGAGAGCCACCACTTGTCGCCGCAGTGGACTCATATCATTACTATAATAGCATCTTTGGTGCAGTGACCGTTCTCTTTGAATTCAAACTTCCAAGTCAAATCACGCGTTATGCATCTTTCATGTTTGGATTTGGTGGACGTGCCATATGTAAGTGCTTTATTCCTCTTCCTTATCCATTATCAATCATGCTTATCAAGTCATCTTCTTTCTAGTTTACATTTTGTAAGTGATTGGGAAATGGATATTAAGAGGGCTACAAGGTTGACATATACTCCATCACGTAGCATTGGTGGTATCACTTTGAATTATGGACCCTTGTCGATCGCTTGTGGTGTTATTGTAAGTGGAAGGAGTACCGGAAAAATGGAATCGGGATGTGTATTGGGGGTAACTAACTCATTGTGTGTTGGCAGGTGCTTCTTATCGGCGTGGTTTATCTAGTCTTGGAATTTGTCCCTGGCATTCAGACACCCACCAATATGCAAATGGAAGCGTTTGAGCAGTCTCTTGGCTATAACAGCGTACGAACTACAGCTCCAATGCCACAACAAAATGCTGGTGTTCCACATGAGTACGATAGTGCTCATGCATCTGAAGCAGCAGCTAGTCCTTATCCTACCAAGACCTACGTGTCCGATGGTGCCGTTGTTTAATCCTGATATCCATATCCCTTCAATATTGCATTCATTTTCTCTCTTTCTATTTTGTTGTTGTAGCTTTGTTTATCCATGTAATAACATTCTATTACTTTGTCATCAAACACTATACAAGAATATCATGCTACTACTATTGGGTCTCTTCCATGTTGCCTCCAAAGACACCCTTTCTGTAATGTTCGCGCTGCTTCCTCAACCACGATCTGTAATCCGATACCGAGTTGATCTTTTCACCATAATAGTCAGGCACAGGATTGCGAATTGAATTGAGACGTGCACTGGATCTGTTGCGCTTGATATGATCATAGAAATCCTTGTCACGGGTATCCATGGCACGCACATACTTTTGGTTCATCACCTTGAAGAGAGCATCACCAAACACAGGTCCAGCCAAATAACCACAAAATCCCTAACACGCACACATTTCCAATGAGTCACCATGCAACAACCACGTGATGAGAGCGAGAGTACTTACAGCGCCTACAGTAGCCAAACAAGCTGCCATGATAGGATCCATGCCCATAATTGTTGACAACGGGTCTATCTGCATGGTCATGAAGTACGATCCTGTGCCTGCCACTGGAACCAAGGTGCATGGAAGATAAGAGGCTATCTCGTATTTACGTCGCTTGGCTCGCAATTTGAAGTAGTCGTCCCATGTTGGTACAAGCGACTCGCTGCCGTTAGATGGAGGCGTGTTTTGAGTAGTGTAGGTGGATGTACGCGAGATGGCAGGTGCTCTCATAAAGGCTCCTTGATGAGCGATTCGTAATGGGGCAATGCACAGCATAGTGGAAATACTGGGTAGCGTGGGTAAAGGAACAGGGCGAGAGTGAGAAAGCAATAGATGACGATTATGCAGTTGGCCCCAGCTGATGCTGAAATCATTTTGGCTGTGTGCAACCTTTACGCATTGTCCTCCTCTTGCTGGATGATGATTCTTTGTCTTTACATGTTGGAAAAAATCCTCTTTATGAGAAATGGGTTTCATTGTGAAGCAAGCTATGATAATAAATCGTCATTTTCATTCACTACTTGTTGTCGTCAATGATAGTTCCCCATGTACAAATACGCGTTTCCTTCCATGGGGGAGGGTTGCAAGTAATAAGAACACGTGTAATATAAGCACACCGGGTAAGAAATTGGATGAGATGACAAGGAGAGGCATTTCATCTATCGCAATGTAACATCAAGTCTCGGCAAACATCACAATCCGCATTATAATAATACAAGTTGCAGCTCGTGAACAGATCAGCCGTGACGGAGAAATATCATAGCCAGAAAGAAGGAGTCAAAGTTTTCCATAACACAAACAATAAAGAACCGGGCGCCGCTTGACCGGACTTCTTGGCAAGAGGTACTGCAGCAGCAAGTGTCCCATATCCTCAGCTTGTGCCCTGACAGGATAGCCGATCAGGGGCCATCCATAAGGAGAGCCCAACAAACATTGCCCCACGTAAGAATATCGAGTTTCAGCATAAATTCACGTGCCACGTCTTTGCTTTATACATGTATACGTGGCATACGTCGATGATAAAAATAGACTTTACCTCCCTGCATTGATAGATTATGCACATGCCCAGAGGTGTATGTGCATAGTGGATCGCCCATGTACCTATAAGGTTAGCGGATCTCGTGGCGTTACCATGGCGCAACGGTGAGTTTTGCCGAGAAAGCGATAGAGAAAAAAAGAAAAATTAACCTTTTCCTTTCGAGATGCCAAGATGATCGCCGTCTCTGGCTCAACGTCGTACATGACGTAATTACGTCGTACCAAGATTGAGTAAAACATATAAAAGGGTTCGTCTGGTTATACATTTCTTGCCCATCATCATCCATCAAACAACTACTATTACAATCATGAACGTTCAAACTTCTCCTGTTTCTCAAAACAACAAGATTCCCCAACGAAGAAAGCTCACTCTCACAGACGAGTCGAAGCATCCCCATCTGGCTCAAATTCATGAAGTCCTGCATAACATCAAGCACGAAGTCAAGGAATCCTATGAACAACATCGTCAAGAAAAAGAAGAACGTCGTAGCAAGATTCCTCAAGATGGAAAGACCAATCCCATGGAGTAAATAACACACACAATTTGCATCACACTTTTATCAACACATTCCATCCATTGCATCCCCTCCCTTCTTGATGTATATATACATTAGCATTGTTTTCTTTTAACGTTGTATAAAGCACTCTATCGACCCGTGGGGTTGTACCATAAACCATCAAACAATTTGACATCTGTGAATCTTCCCTTGCGATCCAACATGTATGCCATACGTTCACCCTTGGCACGTAAAAAGATATGTGATGAATTGGTTTTGCCCAAGGGATCAATACCAGAGGGACCTATTGACATAGCATGCATTAAGATCCCATTGACCCATGTCCCCCCCCTTGATTTAAGCTTACCCAATCCTGTCAACACCTTTTGCTTGCAGTACAATTGATCAATAGGGTACTCCTTAATCTTGTGTGATTCAATCATCCGTGCATGGGTAACGAGTCGAACGCGATTGGCACCTCGTAATAAAATCAACTTGTCAATGTATCTGTTGGAATGGGGTACTCTATTAGTTGAAGGGATCCAACCTCAAAGTAAACTTGCCTCTTACCTCCATGGATACAAGCACATAGCAGTTGCAATACCCAAACCAATGCTCATCAATCCACCAGCAATAGCCATACGCTGTCCTTTAGGTGCCAATACAAAGGGAGCATCCTCCTCATCACTAGAAAAGATAACCGTTAGCTTGTGTTTTTATTATCAATATCGATTCATCACCCTCACCTTTCTTTTGCGCTGTAGCTGACATAGGCCAAACTTGCCAAATTGCCCCTAGTAACACACACACACGCGCGACTTGTTAGACCCATCATGCTCCTCAAGTTACTGCAGCACATGATACTTACCAGAACAAGAGCTGAACACCAGCAGAGATATACAATAATCTAAATGTGCGGTTTACTCCATTGGGTGCTTGATAGAACACAACGTCGCGTCCTTGAAGTGCTTGTTTTATATGCTTGCTATTATGCTGTAAAGCTTTACGGTCGAATACGCTGGTAGAGGCAAAACGTAAACCTTGAGGAGCACATGCTAATGTTCATGCTTCATTAGAATACATGCTAAGGTGCGGCATGAGTCAAATGGCATACTTTTACCCCGAGCAAGCAATGGGCGAAGGATCCACATGTGTGTAGAATGACAAGAGGTCGTTTCGTGTAGGTAAGCCACTTGGAGCTCAGCTCTTGCCCTTGTAATAATTTCAGCAATGCCGATCTTATTCACGCACGTGCATTCATTTACCTTCCCCTCCCATCATCCACCCCATTTCATCCAAGAACTTTATATATAAATATGATGTATTTATAGAATCACTTGCGATAGAATTGTCGCTTAAAGTGGAACCATAGACTTAGTACACCTCTATCAAAGCTGCATTTAAATCCCTTCTTGTGCGAGTATTCCCATTCACGGTTGACAATACGAAATGCAATATCCTATACATGTATCTTGTCAGTGGACCCAATCCATCACTCAATTCCTGAATGTATACAAACCTCATAGGGTGGTCCAGCACTAAATCGAATCAACACCGTCTCTGCAGAATCAGGATCCTTTTCAATCTTATAGGTTGGTGCCTTGGACTTGTCAATGAGATCAGGATAGAAAATATTGAACCTAGCAACATTAGTTAGCAACCACAATCCCATCCTTCCCTCACAACAACAACAGCTATATCCACTACATACTTGTATCCTTGGACAACTATTGAATGTATAAACAAAACACACGTTAGCTTAATGAATCCTATTCATGATCTATATACATACCTTTGGGTGGAGGATTATCATGGTCATAGTGAGTTTGATTGTACTTGTTCCACTCGAAACCGGTATGCACACGATTGAAGTAACGAGGCTTCCGCGGCCGATACTTGTCTTGCCAGAGATAGGTTTGCTTTGCAAGTTCGGCTTCAATATTGAAGATGGCTTCATCCTCATCAATGCCCTTGGCGGCTTCTTGTTCAAACAATACTGCTGATGCAATTGAATCATCCGCTGGTTGTTCAGCCACTGGCTCTGGCTTGGTAGGTCGTTTGATAGGGATAATCTTCTTGGTCAATACACGACGGCGTTGTTCCATCTAAGAGTATGCCATGTCAATTTATCGTCCCATCCATTTTTCACATGTACTCATCTTACCAGTTCACGCAAGTCATCAATAGGATCCACCATAGGTAATTCACGGTCGTCACGATTGAGATGTGATATCGGCTCAGGGCTCATGCCACGTTCGTAGGGTTCTACTGCCAATGTTTGCTTTGCAGCTGCCTCGGCTTCAAAGGTGCGATCTTGTTCTTCGGTCATTTCCTGATCCACAGGTTCCACATTGATACCTTCTCCAGCTTCAACACCACGACCATGCACTTCAATCTCTTGCATAGACAAGACCTTCTCAAGCTCCTCTTGCACTTTACGTGCTTCCTCTTGTTGTCGTGTACGCAATTGTACGAGACGACTCGCCAGCATTTCCTGATGCATGTCTGTCAACTTGGCCTTGGCCTTGTACACCACCAATTCACGTAGCAAATTCTCCCAATATTCCACATCAATCGGCTCATTGGATCCTAACTTGCGCATGATTTGTTGTTGTAGTGCTTCCAATTGGGCATATGTCTTGCCAGAAAGAACTCGATCCACATCATGCTTGACACCTTCTGTAACACCCGTTGCTGCATAATGAGCTTCATTGGCACGTAATTTGCTGAGTCTGTCATCTGCCACCACAATCAATGCGCGCCAAAATTCGAGAGTCTTTTCATTCTTTTCAAGCTTGAGATGCATCTGAATGTCTTGATATAGCTCCTCAGTATCCTCGAGATTCAAATTCTATTCATTGATATTAGCCTCATGTTGACAACATTTACATGCATGTGTCTTACATCGAAAATGGTATATGGCTCATCCAGATCAATCTCGAGCTCCACATCATCTTCCACCTTGTCCGGTTCATTGGCTAATCGCAAGTTCATTGCCAAGATATCAATTGGTTTTGCACGATTCTCTTTGATACGGATCTCAGCACGTCGTTTGGCTTGTTCAAGATGAAATTCCTCTTCCTTGGTCTCCCAATCACCCATTTGTGCAAGCTCAGCGTCTCTTTGCATACGTTGTAATTCCTCTTCACGCAACTGCATCTCAATCTCACGTTCAGCACGTCGTTTGTTAAGTTTGGCGAGTTCTTCCTCTGTCTCTCGACGTCGTTCATGTTCACGTTTGCGAATCTCGGATGCGTCTTTGCCGAACATCTTACGATCCCTTTGCTTCTTTTTGGTCCACTCAAACTTCGATTCGAGGTTGATATCATTGAATGGATTGTTGACGTTTGAATAGCCGAGGTGTTCAAGCGAAGGTCGTGAAGAAGAAACTGGAAGCTCATCGTCGTCTTCACCATGATCGCTCACGTCTCTGTAACGGTCCTTCTTTGACTTCTTCTCTTTGCGTCGTCGTGATCGCTCATCAGGTGAACGAGACCGATGTTTGCGTCTACAAGTACAACACGTTAACAAACTGGTAATCTTGTACACTCCACCACCCATCGTCTATTTCTATGCTTACTTGCGATGTCTGTCCTTGCGAAAATCGTCCTTGTGCCGATCGATTGAATGGCTACGGTCACGATGGCGTCGTCTTTCAGGAGATCGTGGCATGTGAAAAGAGTATTGTTGAAGAAAGAAAGCTGTTAACACTCTCGTCTTGAGATCGGAGGTCCTCTTGTATTTTCTCTCCCGCTGCCAATGCGCTTGGTCTATGCACCACATCACCCGCTTTGATCTATTTATTTCTTTGCCTGCTGTTTCAACCAAAACACCCATCAGCATGAACCATGTTATAGAGTTATGATGAACCATTCTTATAGCTTATAGCTTAGTTGGAATAAACGTGCAATTGGATCCACTCACAATGTACTACCTTTGATTCAATACATAATTGGCTTTCAAGATCTTCATTATTGCTTCATCCCATACTATTACTAGTCTTATCTTTATCACCACTTACATACTTAAGGCTGCTGTTGATTGCTGAAAAAGATCTTTAAGCACATCTTATGAGACGAGTAAAACACGTGTTACAAATCGAAGGCGTGAGGTATTTATGAAAGCCACATTCATCATCAACGTGCCCGAACGTACCTTGTGTGAAAGTTTCGAGTCGAATGTGGAATGTCCTAATTATGGATCAATTTGTAGTGTTTAACAGCCCATGAACGGCATACTCTGTTTGATTCGTAATTCATAAACTGCCAGCTAACAGCCACTTGCTCATAATCGGCAATGATGTGTTTTGTATGACATAGGAACGATGCACCTACTCCAGACATTCATTTCCTGGTTCAATTGCCTTGATCCGAGCTGATTTGGCTGAGCTACTGTCAAACAAAGAAACATCGGTTGAGGTAGTTAGTGGGTTGTTGGATGTGCCTACCGATATTTCTTTGTTTGATCGTAGCTCAGCCAAATCAGCTCGGATCAAGCTACTTGAAACATGGAAATGAATGTCTGGAGCAGACGCATCGTTCCATTGTTATGGAATACACAAAAGCTGTGATTGGAGAAAAGTGGCTGTTTGCTGCCAATAATGGCTGTACTAAATAATGCATAAAGTAATCATGCATCCATCCTTTAGTTCTATCTTCTTTGCCCTGTTACACAACACGCCCCTCTGCATCTTTCGCTCTATCAAGGTCTATCTATGTGACAATGAACAAAGACCACTCTACATATAGCATCACGCTTACAAACATAAAGGTGCCTGTATCTCTAAACTTTACAACCAAACGTGGGGTTTTAAATAGAGCAATGGGCTCGGCTTGGCCAACAGCACCTTGTGTGAAAGTTTCACAATCAAGCTTGCCAATCCCAGATTTCGCAATGTCGCTACCAGCCAAACTGGATCTGGAGGTCGACCTCTTCGACGACGACGACCAAAAAATATTTTTTGGGCTGTTTGCGACAATGAACGCGAAACTTTCACACAAGGTGCTGTTGGCCAAGCCGAGCCCATTGCTCTATTCAAAACCCCACGTTTCATTGTAAAGTTTGGAGATACAGGCACCTTTATGTTTGTAAGCGTGATGCTATATGAGAAGTGGTCTTTGTTCATTGTCAAGTAGGTGGACCCTGGCAGAGC